TTTTAAACAAAATGGTAATAAAATATACAATTAGCTAATTAAAGGTAGTAAGACAAACCATATAATTTGCACAGCTCCCAAATTAAAATAGCAGCAAAATCCAGCACGGCAGCAACTTCAGTTACAGTGTTTGGAACTATGTATGTAACACGCTATTTGAAAGTGCAAACTATTAAAATGCCTGAAAGTATATAAAAAAAGTCTTAACCTGAAGCCTGAAGGATAATGCCATGAGCACCAGGTGAGTCTCCCTTAGATCTCTCCTTTAGCCTCACTTGCATGATATCTGATGGTTCTCTTTTACCAACTTGATAAGGCACAAAAGTTTTGCGTCAAAAAGGCTGCCGGAATAATGTGACTATCATTCATTCCCCAACACCTGTACTTCCTAATAAAATAAAACTTTATCTTGGCATTTTGTACATATTGGGTTGTATCCAAAGGAGAGCTAAGTGACTTGTTCCATTAGTGCAAGGATTTCTGCTTGTGCAACAAAACTCCTTTCCCCCTCTCCTCCCCAATCTGCTCTAAGGGTTCCCCCAACACTCTGGAGCAGATCTCAGGAGGGTGCAGGTTGTGGGTGCGTAGGAAGATAAGAAGAAACAGTTCTGTTGCACAAGTGGAACTCCTTGTGTTGCAACACGTTGAGGCAATGGGAATTATCCGGCTAAGAATCCTTGCACCTATCATGTAAAGAATGCCAGTATTACTATCCCAATTTTTCAGACGACAACAGGCTATGGCAGAGCCACATGTTGCTTCCAGGTGAGCTGTTTACTGAGCATTCCTTCTGATTTGTTTGCAAAAGGGGTTATATGACATTGCATCGAGGAATTGTTATCCCAGAGCTTCCAGTGCGCTTTCCCATCACTTTCCTTATCTGAAAACATTCTGTTTGTCTGGGGCAGAAGCAGGTTTGTTGCATTGGAATGCCAAGTCAACTTTAATTGAGCAACCTCAATTTGCTGGTACCCCTCAGGCAGCAAAATATCTTGGGCCAACCCTGAACACTACAGATTAAAAAGAAAGTTACTCAAATCTGTTCAGAAAGTGGCAAGGTTAGGATAACTTTAACAAAGAATGCTTTGCACCCTCCCGCAGTTATGAATCCCGGGGTTCTTTCGGAAATGCCAAGACGGCTACAGAGCTGCTATGCCCTAATGTTTTCCTTTGATAGTCCTCTCTGAAACTGTGGGTTAATATCATGTCCTCTGTTCTTACACAAAACTTGGCACGGCAGAATTCAAATGCGCCACATGAAGTGGAGGTATTAAAATTGTGCTATCAGAGACAATAAAGTGAAATTGCCATCCAACAAATGCTTTAAGGAGGTCTGACATAACCAGAGAAGGTTTTTCATTTCCCACTACACCCTGCTGCGGATCTTCACCTGTCTTATTAAATCATAAAGTCCCTTTTTAATAAGTGACCCAGTGGAAAACAATAGTGAATGACAAGTTTCATTAGATTTGGATTTTTCCCCCTCCAGATGCAAGCGGAGGGTAGAAAGTGCACATTATTTGTTTTCTTTTCAGCGCTATTTGTGTGTGTGTATGTGTGTGTGTTTCCCCCCTCACCCTGCAAATTTGGTTACATTGGTTTTTAAAGGAACAACAGAAATTGGTTTTATGTTAAGTCCCAACCACATGTAATTATAGAACTAATAGCTCTGCATAGCTGGAGACAAGACAAAAGGCTTTGCTTATTTTTCAGAGAGTTGAAGGCAAGTTTAGAGCGGGATCGCCGTCCTTGATGTGAACACCAATTCTACGTTTACCTCTGGTAAAGAGGCGCTGCAGGTTTTTCTGCGGTTTCAAAATCCTGCCAAACCTACTTTATCAGAGGTGGCAGTAGGACAAAAAAAAAAAAAAAGGTGGTTCTATCGCAGGAATGGATGCTTCTCTCAAACCACGTTAAACTTTCTCCAATGCTATCCATCCAGCAATTGTCCTAATGTCTTTGCAGAGAACGCTTTCAAGAAATGTGTGCTGCGATGGGTGAATGGGGAGAAGGGGGGAATGATTAAAAAGCCGTTATAATAAGGAAAGACTGGGGAAAGTAGGTCAAAAAGTACTGATAGCATTTTTATTGTCTCTCAAGGCACTAAGTAACTGCGTGCCCGTGGGAACGGTGCCCTCGGAACTGGCGAACTGTAGCTCGCCAGATTTCTACAGCTTGTTCGGCAGACGCTGTCCTTCCGGTGGCAGAGTTATTAGTGCTGAAAGGAAGCAGTAGTGGGGTCATCTCGCCCATCTCGTTGCATCACGGCATGATTTATTTCATTATCCTTAAGCCATCCCTGATAGATGGTGCATGTCAAGTTGAGATGGTGATGTCACAACCTCCTCATGTTTCCTGTTCCGTTTCGCTAACCATTCTAATAACTACGGTGGTCTCTCTCTCTCTCTCTCTCTCCCCCGCTACACGGCAGCGTCAGCTGTTGCCGCTTGCCGCATTCATTGTTGAGCTTGGTGCTGCCTTTGTGAGCAAATAACTGCTTTTATTAGAAGCCACCCATACTTTATTTGTGGAGGAGATCTCAATCTTTTTGTCTAGACTTAATGGGTGACTTAACTGGAGCTCTGCCATAGATTTCAGCGGAGGGAGACTTCCCCCTGTTTTGACGGCGCAGACGGTGAATAAAGGATCCACCGACTGGCAACTGGAGTCTCTGGGTGAGGACCTCCAGGCCATTGTTTATAGACCCAGGCAGGATAAGAAGGAAATGGGCCAGATTCTGTACCCATCCCCCAGTCCAATTAGATTGAATTGATGTGATTTCTTACAGCAGCCTTCCTCAACCAGGTGCCCTCCAAATGTTTTGGCCTACAACTCTCATAAACCCCGACTGTTGGTGATGCTGGTTGGGGCTGATGGGAGATGAAGTCCAACATCATTTGGAGAGCACTAGGTTGGGGAAGGTTCTGTTTCCCTCCCACAGTGTGAATTAGTTTTTGTAAAAGCAGCAACAACCTGACCTGATGTCACAAAACAGCTAGCTCAAAGGGATGCCCTTGCAAGACATGGGCTGCTTTTTACATCAGCATAGAGTCGGTAGAGGATGAGGATCTAGAGAATATGCTAAGGGTGGCCAAATTCTGTGCGACTGCCATAAAACTTAGGGAACAAGCTGTACTACCAAAATGATTAAGGTTCTAAATAATAATTTTAGGTTATATTTTAGTGATCAAGATTTAATATATATTTTTTAACTGCCGCTATATCTGAATTGTCTCTGTTATATCCAATTGCAATTCAATGTATTCCTGTTGTGCTTTATGGTTTTCCTGATATTGTAAGTGACCCGGAACGGGTCTGTGAGCGTAATAATAAAATTCTAATCAGCATAGAGTCTAACCATGTGTTTTGCCCTCTCTTCTTCCTCTTGATGTTAATTGCAGCAAATTGCATGATGTGACATCACCAAGTGCATGCAGTGACATCATTGTTCTGTGTTGATGGGAGCAGGAGTGTTGGTTGCTGCTGCTGGAAGGGGCTTGGGGCAATGGTTGCTCCCCTCGTCGACCCTTCCCTTGGAGATGCAGGAAGAAGAAGAAGAAGAAGAAGAAGAAGAAGGGTCTCATCAGTATTCATGAAAAAATGACAAAACGTAGACAATCATGCAAGTGTAGGATTAATACTTCAACTATATCAAACATTAAAATATCTGAATTGGTAAGGAAGAATCTATAATGCATGCTTTAGCTGAGATTCCTGCACTGCATGGGGTAGGACTTGATGACCCTCAGGGTGCCTTCCAATTCTACAATTCTAGACACACACACACACACACACACACACACACACACACACCAAGCATCACCCTCCTCCTTCTCATGGTGATCAATTACAATTATTTCCCTCTTCAATACAAAATGAAGGAGGATATGACTTTCCTCCTCGGAGACTGACAGCAGCTCCCTGGAGATTTCTGTGGGCTAGACAAAACAGAGCAGGGAGCTGTAATTTGGCCCCAGGCCAGAAGTCCATACAACCCCCCTCTCCCAATTTTATTTCATAATGGTTCAGACAAGAAAACATAGGAAACTGCCTTATACTAAGTCAGCCCACTGGTCCATCAAGCTCAGTACTGTCCATGGAGAGGCCATGGACCTTCTGCATGCAAAGCAGATGTTCTACTACTAAGCTATGACTGGAAGGCCTGGCAACCCCATCCAAAGCATGTTTGCTTGCAGCTAAGTCCCCAATGCCTCTTTCTTCCACTAAGGGTTCATATTGGGAATGCAACCTAAGTCTTTTGGGTTGTAGGTAGCCATTGGTTCCATGAGCTTTCCATCTACCTGAGCAGATTTTAAGGGACGGCCGGGTGGGGGGGGGGGAGAGACAGGGAGAGAAATAGGATTCGCACAATCTCTTCCTTTGCAATTTACTGCCTCGACTCTGACATTTACAGCATTATTGCCTTCGGTTTACAAGTTGAATATTTACACAAATGGATTTAGGTCAAGACGAAGGGCAGGCTTTAAATGTCCCGTAACCGTTTGCATTCTGAGCACGTTCCCCACTGTGGCAGATCTCCCGATTAACCCCCCAAATGCCAGCATCTGCCGTATCACTGGAGGCATAATTACGCAGGGCCCTAATCCATAACGTTGCTCCTTGCATATATACCATTGTGTGCCGTCAGTCTCTCACAGAGTTAACAAGGAAAGGGCCTAACCATAGCCATGGGAGGATATATATATTTAACATACAATAAGCAAAGCAAGCAAAATTAAAGAGAGGTAATTATATGGAGCAAACGGCCTTCCTTCTCAAAGGATAGCAGGATGTGCATAAATCCGAACCCTACAAGCCGCGTTTTGAAACATTCGTGCGGCTAAGAATAGGGTGGCCACTTTCTTCTCTGCTTCTGCACCTTTAACAGCTGACTTCGGCTGAAGTTATTCCTGGCATGGGGGAAAGGAAGCTTCACCTGTTTCTACATAACAGGCAGCTGCTGAAGACACAGGAGCGAGGCGCTGAAAAAATACATGGCGGCATTAGCTCAGTTGGTAGAGCACGAAACTCTTAATCTCAGGTTCATGGGTTTGAGCCCCACATTGGGTGAATGATAGCTGTATTGCAGGGGGTTGGACTAGACGATCCTCGTGGTCCCTTCCATAGAGCCAACTCTATGGCTCTATGGTTAGCCACATGCCCCTCCATAGCCTCTACCGCTTGTCCTTATTTGAAAAGCCAGTCCACAGTCACTTGTAAGATGGATCAGACCAAACACCCAAATAAATCCAGCTTTCTGCTGTCAGCATTTATCTAAATGACAATGGGAAGCAAGACATGGGCGCAATAGCTCTCTCCTGTTACTTCTGCATCCAGCATATTGCCTCTGATCCTGCACGAGGACATCAGAATTAGCAACCTAGCCATCGGTAGCCTTAATAATCTATGAATTTGCACAATTTCCTTTTGCAGCCATTCAAGATGATGTACATCTTGTAGCCTCTGTGAAGAAGCACTTCTTTTTATCAGTACTGAATCCCCAACTCTTCAGCTTCATTGAATGGCTCCAGGTTCTAATAGTATTCTTTTCTTTTCTTTCTGTTGAATATATAGAAACATAGAATTGTAGAGTTGGAAGGGACCCCAAAATTCATCCAGTCCAACCCCCTGCAATGCAGGAATCTTTTGCCCAATGCGGAGCCCAGACCCACGACCGTGAGATTAATATTATTATCACTATTGTTATTTGTTGAATTTGTAAACCACCCTTCATCCGAAGATTTCAGGGTGTTTCACAACATAAAACTACAAAGTGAAAACACAAAATACATAATAAAATAAAAACAGACAAACAAACCAAAAATCTCCCCCCTTCCACAGACATATTTTAAAAAAAACATAGAATGTTAATCAGCTGAATGCCTGCTTGAAGAAAAACATATTGATGCTTTTGAATTATGGTGCTGGAGGAGACTCTTGAGAGTCCCATGGACTGCAAGAAGATCAAACCTATCCATTCTTAAGGAAATCAGCCCTGAGTGCTCACTGGAAGGACAGATCCTGAAGCTGAGGCTCCAATACTTTGGCCACCTCATGAGAAGAGAAGACTCCCTGGAAAAGACCCTGATGTTGGGAAAGATGGAGGGCGCAAGGAGAAGGGGACGACAGAGGACGAGATGGTTGGATAGTGTTCTCGAAGCTACCAGCATGAGTTTGACCAAACTGGGGGAGGCAGTGGAAGACAGGAGTGCCTGGCGTGCTCTGGTTCACGGGGTCACGAAGAGTTGGACACGACTAAACGACTAAACAACTAAACAACAAAAAGATATGTAATGAAGGTGCCAGGTGAGCCTCCTTGGGGAGAGCATTCCACAAATGGGGAGTCACCACAGAAAAGACCCATTCTCATGTTACCACCCTCCGAACCTCTCGCTGGGGGGAGGCACACAAAGAAGGGCCTCTGATTATAATTGCCGGGTCCAAGTAGGTTCATAGGGAGAGAGGTGGTCCTTGAGGCATTGCGTTTTATAGGTCAAAACCATCACTTTGAATTGGGCCCAGAAACTAATCGGCAGCCAGTGCAGTTGGGCCAGGATCAGCGTAATGCACTCGAACCATCTTGTCCCGGTGAGCGACCTGGCTGCCAAATTCTGCACCGGCTGAAGTTGCCAAACCATCTTCAAAGCCAGCCCCACGTATAACGCATTGCAGTAATCTATGAGAGTTCAAGCCAGGAAACAGTAACCATCTTCAACACTCTCATCCTTCTTTCTATGTCCACTAATACAGTGGTACCTCGGGTTACAGACGCTTCAGGTTACAGACGCTTCAGGTTACAGACTCCGCTAACCCAGAAATAGTACCTTGGGTTAAGAACTTTGCTTCAGGATGAGAACAGAAATTGCGCGGTGGCCGCGCAGCGGCAGAAGGCCCCATTAACTAAAGTGGTCCCTCAGATTAAGAACAGTTTCAGGTTAAGAACGGACCTCCAGAACGAATTAAGTTCTTAACCCAAGGTACCACTGTAATGCCTTGCTACATGATCCAAGGAATCTCTGGTTCTAGTATTGTAAAGAGAGGGAGAAAAAGTTCTCTCTTATCTACTCGATCTCAGGAATACTTTCGCGCACCTCAAATCACGTCCCACCTCCCCTCTCCTCTTTGCTTCCCGCCACCCCCCACAACAGCCCCCAAAGATCTCGCTCAATAACTGCGGGTCGAGCTGCCGCAAGTTGGGCTCATGCTAAAACCATCACGCGGTCTCTCCAACACATGCGGAACTCTTCACAGATCTGTGTGACCGACATTCCCATCCTGCCAGCTGGAGCGAGTTCACTGGCCTTAGCTGCACACTTTGCTTCCACTGTACAAAGCAGACAGCATTTTTTCCTCGAGTCTTCCAGTTCCCCACACGCTATATCCTGGCCGGGAGCCTATGTCAGTACACAGCAACTCCATTCAGATAACACAGAGGCCAGGATAGCACACAGGCCGCTCCAGGCACAAGACACCGCTAAGCTCCCCGAATGTTGTAAAACGGGTCAGATTAGGATAAAGCAAACACACACTGATGATGTTAACCAGCCATTGCTTTGGCCACTTGCCAGGTGACACCTAGTTTATTTCTGCATTAAAAGGTGCTCTGCCAACTTTGGAACTGGTTCTGCTTTGCAGTAATTGAAGTAGTATAAAGCAACATTCTTCTTGTTGATACAGACGTGATCTGTATTGTTTTCAATAATTGAAACACATGGTTCGTATCAACAGTGTAGCTTGTGGTTGATGCGTTTCGGGCGGGGGGGTGGCAGGGAGGAAGAGATCACAAAGTTTATTCAGCTTACACAGATCTGAGTATTCTCTTCTGAGTTCCAGTTCTCGGAGAGTCTTAGCAATTTCATCTCACTCAGCAGAAAGTATCCGGACCGTGCCAAATGGGACACTCTGCAGATTACAGCGTCCAAATGGGACACTTTTTAGATTAAAGTGTCCAAAACTACAGTTCCTTGATGAGTTTTAAGTTTCTCCGATTTGTCCTTTTAAGGATTAAGTGCTAAAAGGGGAGAGGGGATTAAAAATAGCCATCCATGTAAAATGAAAATGAACTTCAGATCCACCCCACCCAAGAACAGGGGTTATGTATTCAGGTTGCCTCCATGCATTGATCATTGAAGTCTGAACATCTAAGCTAATGTGCAGGTAGACTAGGGTGCATTTGCTATTATCACCATTCAGATGGGACAGGCAAAGCAACGGCTTTGCAGGCAACGGCTTTGCAGAGTGTTGATGGAGGTGTGACAAAAGGCACCACTATCATTTCTGGTAAACAGATATTGCAGATTATGTAGTGTTTCAAAAGTCAGAAAGACCCATTTGAGTTGAGAAAGCAGTAAGGTTTTTGTTTTTAAAAAAATGTGTGCATAGGTAAAAACAATAATACCTGACTCATCTTACTTTCAGTTACTGACCTGGTTTGTTCATAACACTCTAAACAAACCACTATCTGTAGCCATGGTTCGTTACACCAGGGTTGCCTGGTGGAGATAAACCATGGGTTTGGATTTGCATGTAACCCCGATTCAAACCATAGCTTAGCTCAGAGCAACCCAGCAGCAGGGGCAAAACTAGAGGAACTGTAAAAGTGGACACAACCTTCTCTGTGCTAAGCCACAGTTTGGCTTATGCAGGGTTGCCATATTTCAAAAAGTAAAAAACAGGACACCCTGGCTGTTGAACTTATTTTTAGGAAGATCCCAAAATTGTTGAGCTTTGTGGGACTTGTGCTCAGCTAGCCAGACCTCCAGTACCCCTCTTCCATGCAGCCCCATGATGCCAATGAGTGGAGATGATGACTCACTTGCAGGCTGGTCATTGTGGAGTAAGTTTTCTCAGAAACAGGGAGTTTTCTTGGTAAGCTACATCCAGCTTGTTTGCCTCATGTTGCCTACTGTTTAATCTTGCCCCCCCCCCCCAGTGCCCTCCCCTTCTTTTGTGGTCTCCTCTGAGCTTCACAGAACGAGGCTGCTTTCAGATGACCTGTTTACTGAGCACTCAATAATCCTGATTTGTTTGCACATAGTTTGTGAGGAAATTATACAATGCTATTTATCAAACACTTGTTCTAGTGTGTTGGGAGGGTTACACATCACTGCATCAAGCCATAGTTATCTCACGCTTTCCAGAACATTTTCCTATCACTTTCCTTACCACAAAAAATTGAATTTTGCCAGGTTGGGGAGAGTGAGTTTATTGCGCCTGAGTACCTAATTCAGTAACTGTGCAACCTGAAATTGGCAGTATGTGACTGAACCCTACTTGCAAAATTGCCTGCCGCTTTCCCCCCGGAAAACCCGCTATCTACTGCTGAATCCATGGATAACTCGATTGCTGTTTGAACTGATTCAGCGGTAAACAGCGGGACAAAAAAAAGAGAGAAAAGCTCGTTCAGATATGGACATGTGTCTGGAAAACAGGGTGCAAAAGGATGAGCCCACGAAACAGGTTGTTCACATATTGCTCCCCTTCCCCGAGTTTATTTCACAGAAAAGATAAATAATCTGGATTAAATGTGGGAGAGGGAAGAAATAGAGCCTGGCATTTTGAGGCCAGCAACCTCATGTGGACGCTGCAAGAAAAAGAAAAAGAAAACACCTTTGCTTGCATAAAGAGCAGCCGTCCCACAAGAAACACCCAACTGGAACGCCATGTGTGTAATGTGGTTTTCCTGCTGTGGAACAGGTGCACAAAATAAAAGACTTGGTGACCTAAAGGGGGAAAAGAACGGGGCTTTTCATGTCTGATGTGCGACTGGTTTCAATTGCTTTCTTCACAGGATATAAAATTTTATGGGTGCTACTTACTTGTTTCGTTGTTTTGCTTTAATATTGTGTTTTATTCTTCTTGTGTTTCTAGTAAGCCACCCCCCCCCGGGGGGAAATATGTTATTGGGTGGCCTATATAAATACAGTGAACAAGAAAACCATGCTCCTTAAGAATTAAAGATATTAATAGCACTGGCCCAAACAATTATAGTAAATTTTGTCATCAACATGCGGCATTCTAGAACAGCACCCCAAATCTCGACCTGGTTAGTGACAGGGCCTGCCCTGGATATTAAATAGGATTAACAACATCATACACACTCCTGCCAATGATATACAGAACAGAGAAGTGAAATGGCCCCTGCTCAGAGGACTTGCAATTTACACCACAGGACCTACAGTCTCCATGTATATGTATACAGTGGCTATCCACGGATGCTTGAGTTGGGATTCATGCATTGCAATTCTATGATTGCGTGGACAGGCAGAGTCCCCAGATCCTGAGCGGTCCCCCCCGTCATGTGGAATAACGACTCGAGACAACGTGCTATGGGATTAAATTGGCCACAACTTTATTAAATTTCAAATGTGGGTAGACCTTGACTCAGGCATTGGGCGTTCTTCCTCCCCAGTCCCCAGCCGGGGACCTAGGGAGCATCAGGGTTATCCAGTGTGTGGGGGGGGGGATGGGCCGGCTCTGGAGAACATATGTTCAAGCAGAGATAGCCGCCCCCGTTACGCCGCCGTCGCAGGGGAGAGCAATGACGACCTTTCAGCGTACGGTCAAAGCCTCCCTTCAGAAACCCCTTTAACAGGGAACCCTGGTATAGCCGCCGCAAAGAGGAAGATGGACTAAAGGATTCTGCCCAAGGCCTGATACCGCCAAAGTTGTGACGTTTTGCTACGGGAAAGGCGAAACCTGCCAATGCAGGGAAATTCCTTTCCGGCCCTTTAACAGCGACCTTATCGTAGCAGCGCCCGCATACCTGTGAAGAAAAGTTAACCTGCAAAACCTATGAAGAAAAGTTAACCTGCAAAGGAAGACATTAACTGAGGGTGGGTAGGGTGGGAGAAGCTCTGGAGCCAAGTGAGGATTCCCAGGTAAGATCCTCCCTCTATTGTGTGGGCAGGTAATCCCTCCCCTACCTGGCCTGGTCTCCTTGGCAACGCTTCCCCCAGGTGGGATTGGACAACTGACTGAGGTAGGCGGGGACCTCCAGGTATCCCACCTGAGGGAAGGCAAAGCCAAGCCTATGCTGATGGGGCCGCTCCAGATCTAGGGCTGAGCGCGTTTTAAGCGGGGAGCGGTCATTCTGTGAGATGCGTGTTGCCTCTGAACCCGGAGGTAGCATAAGCAGAGAGCCAACCTCTTGTCAGCCTCTGGCCTCCAGCCACTCCAAACTCTGAACCCACCATAAAAAAAAGGTTCTGCGGTTAAAAACCTACCAGATGCAGCCTTCTCCCCTTGATCTCCCAGCCTAAAAATACTCTTCTCTCTTCACCACATTTTGCTATAAAAACACCTTTGCAATATCACAGGCCATTAGAGGGAGGTTGCCTGCAGGACTGGGGCAGGCGAAACAAGCGTCACGCCTAGGGAAAGCCTGCTGCCGCTGAAAAGTGCAAGGCGTTCCGTTAAAAAACCCAAACCGATTAAAAGGAAATAAGACCAAAAAAAGAGGACTTGCACCAGGATATTCCCCACCCTCAGACGCAAACCAAAGAAAGCAATAAACAGTTGGCTCCCGTGACTGCGAACAGAATGGCAAATATTCAATGGTTCGGCTCTGCCACTGAGATGGGCAGAAAAATGCAACTAAAAGAGAATCGCTCGCACTCTCCTGCCCCGCTCACCCCAAACCAGATGAGAGAAGGACGCTTTATATGAAAGGAAGCCACAATCTTGGCACTAAATGACAAAGCACACCTCAGATTCCAGAGGCAACCATGTGTCTCTTTAATGACTAACAGATTTATTGGCGCATACGTTACCATGGGCTAAAGCCCTTCATTAATTGTTTGTTTGTTGTTGTATTATTTCATATACCTCACTTTTCTGTTCACGACAGCTTGGGGGGTGGGAGACTGACAATGAAATTGCAACAATAAAAGAAAAAGCAGAAGCAAAATACAGCATAATACAGTGTCCTGTTGTGCTCCAAAGACCTGCTGGAACAAATAGGACTTGCTGCCTGATTGAACACAGTGCGGGGGATAATCGGCTCCCTACAGAGGGTGCCACCACCAAGAAGGCTCTGTCTTGTGTGAAAACACCCACCCCCACCCCTAACCTTCAGGCCATATCTCATGAGGTAACCACAGGCACAGCTTCCCCTGGAGTTCACAAAACTTGAGTTGGCTGGTACAGAGGAAGATGCTTCTTCAAGTGCTTTGTTCCTTCAAGTTGCATGAAACACCTCCCCAGCTGGTGGATATTTGGCACATACGTATATGGCTAGAGAATGGAGAAAATGTAAACAGTGGAACTGAAAAGTCATGAAGTGCAAGAAGCACAGTTAAGGTCCAAGCATGGGGGGCATAGGGCCTTAGTACAGGGGCAGCTAACATCTTCTGGGCGAATGGCTGCACTGACCCATGGCTATCCCACCGAGGGCTGCATGATAAAGTGAGATGGCAGAGGTGAAAAAATGGATGTGGCCAAAACAGAACATTAATAAATTTTATCAAGGCGCTCTCTCTCTCTCTCTCTCTCTCTCTCTCTCTCTCTCTCTCTGGTAAAAAAAATGAGCTGCTAGCACTCATATATTCATATCATATTAAAAATGCCCTGGCTGACAGCACAAAAAGGATGTGTGATGGCACTCCACACTAGTGAGTAAGATCACAAAAAATGCAAACTGCCTTTTATTACATTTCATTCTATTCCTAAATCCCTCAAAACTTGGTCTTTCCATGAGCTGGTGAAACTCACTTGGTAGCAAAAAGTGAATGTCATCAGCTCAGTCCTGTGGAATTCTGCCGGCACCTTCTGTTTCAACTTTTTAAACGCCTGCTCAAAACTCTTCTATTCCACCAGGTTTATGCAAGCGCTTCAAAACACTTATTTCCACAAAGGTTAACTAATGTCTGTTTTTAGCTTCTTCTTTTTTTAATGGTTTTACTGTATGGTTTTATGTACTTTTGTTGTAAACCACTTTGATATTTTTAAATGAAATAGGAGTATATAAATGTTTATATATATATATATATATAATAAACTGATTCAATTTTTATTTTAACCATTTTCCTCAAAGTCTCAAAGCATCGCAGTGGAAGAAACAGCACAGCCAGCAGTTAACAGAAGTGAAGGGAACAGTCTGATGATCGGCAGCACTATTAATAGAGCATCCAGAGGCAGCAACAGGAAAACATCAATTAAACATTTGGAGGGTTTTTTAAAATCATCAATTTACTTAAAAGTGACAAAAATTAACTGATGCCCAATGAAGGTAATTAACCTCAAGAAAAAGTGGATAGGTCTCCCTCTCTCTCTCTCTCTCTCTCTGTGTGTGTGTGTGTGTGTGTTGCCATAAAAAATATGTATTTCCAAAGAAAAACCACAAAATTGTGGCATTGTTATATTGAAACCGGACCTCCCTAGCCATCGGCTTAACACTGAGGTGCCGTGCAATGTTTATGAACATCTCAATGTGCTCAGGAGTTTAAAATAAAACATGCCAGCACACTAGGCCTATGCAACAGAGAAAGGAAAAGGCAATACTACATATCTGTTTGGCTCGTGGTTAGACTTGTGTATTTGAACGTTGGATTTGCAATGTAACGACACCAGTATATGAATTACGTGTCTGAGTAATTGTGTACATCAATATTGTGAATGAGTAGGCTCAGCAAGTGTGTGAGAGAGCAGAGAATATGAGTGTGGTGTGAAAACTGGAATCAGAAAAAGCTCTACATTCAAAAAATTGACTTACATAGATCTCTGCTTCTACGACTACTGCTACATTTATCATCTTTACCTCAAAGGTAATGCACATGGCTCATCCCTTCCCCATTGCACCCCCACAGTAGCCCTGAGGGAAGTCGAGAGGCAGGCCCAAAGTCAATCGGTAAGTTTCATGGTGGAGCGGCATTTGAACACAGGTCTCTCCAGCCTCAGCCCAATAAAATAATCAGTACATTACACTGGCGAACAACAACAAGAAGAAGAATTTAGGTTTGTGGCGGCAGTGCATTTGAACTTATTCTGCCTGGAGTCCTGTTACTTTTTCCCAGCCGGAAGTAAAAATCCGAAAACCTGTAGTCTTGTGAGAGAGCAGTAGAAAATGCTCGCAAGCTAAAATGTGCTTCTTTGCAAGACCTTCTCCCTGCCAATAATACAATGCCACACACCACAAGAAGCTTGAGGAAAACCCCAGCTACACTTTGCATGATACAATGTATAGCTTGTGCCATTAATTTCTCATTTTCCTTTGTTAGCTCTGCGAATGACATCATGTTAAGTCCTGAAGCATGACACTTCTGGCAGGACTCCTGTTTGGCTGCTTGCATGGAGTTAAAAGTTCTTTTTTAAGCGTTATCCTCTACGTTTAATAAGAATGATTAATGGAAGTGACTTTTTAATGATTTTGTTTCCTCCTCTTTGGAATAAGGTGTGCCCTGGGGGGGTGGGGACTTGCCACCACTCTTGCAGCCACAGATGGGCCATCGCTGTCACTCGGAGGTTCCTCGGAAGAAAATCAGAATACGCTGGCATGTAAATCTCACTGAACTCAAGGGACCGTAGCTCAGCTTTGAAAGCTGCCGATGGAGCCAGGAATTACCAATTCAAACAAAGCTCAACTTTTGTTGTTGTTTAGTCATTTAGTCATGTCCGACTCTTCGTGACCCCATGGACCAGAGCACGCCAGGCACTCCTGTCTTCCACTGCCTCCCGCAGTTTGGTCAGACTCATGCTGGTAGTTTCGAGAACACTGTCCAACCATCTCGTCCTCTGTCGTCCCCTTCTCCTTGTGCCCTCCATCTTTCCCAACATCAGGGTCTTTTCTAGGGAGTCTTCTCTTCTCATGAGGTGGCCAAAGTATTGTAGCCTCAGCTTCAGGATCTGTCCTTCCAGTGAGCACTCAGGGCTGATTTCCTTCAGAATGGAAATAAAACAAATAGAACGGTTTGATCTTCTTGCAGTTCATGGGACTCTCAAGAGTCTCCTCCAGCACCATAATTCAAAAGCATCAATTCTTCGGCGACCAGCCTTCTTTATGGTCCAGCTCTCACTTCCATACATCACTCCTGGGAAAACCATAGCTTTAACTATACGGACCTTTGTTGGCAAGGTGATGTCTCTGCTTTTTAAGATGCTTGTCTAGGTTTGTCATTGCTTTTCTCCCAAGAAGCAGGTGTCTTTTAATTTTGTGACTGCTGTCACCATCTGCAGTGATCATGGAACCCAAGAAAGTAAAATCTCTCACTGCCTCCATTTCTTCCCCTTCTATTGGCCAGGAGGTGATGGGACCAGTGGCCATGACCTTAGTTTTTTTGATGTTGAGCTTCAGACCATATTTTGCACTCTCCTCTTTCACCCTCATTAAAAGGTTCTTTAATTCCTCCTCACTTTCTGCCATCAAGGCTGTGTCATTGACTACACAAAAGCCTTTGACTGTGTCAACCACAGCAAACTATGGCAAGTTCTTAAAGAAATGGGAGTACCTGATCACCTCATCTGTCTCCTGAGAAATCTCTATGTGGGACAAGAAGCTACAGTTAGAACTGGATATGGAATAACTGATTGGTTCAAAATTGGGAAAGGAGTACGACAAGGCTGTATATTGTCCCCCTGCTTATTTAACTTATATGCAGAATTCATCATGTGAAAGGCTGGACTGGATGGATCCCAAGCCGGAATTAAGATTGCCGGAAGAAATCTCAACAACCTCAGATATGCAGATGACACAACCTTGATGGCAGAAAAGCTCATCTGAGACCCACTCTATACCGAAATGTCAAGGCTGAGGACTATACAAAGCTAAGGGGAGAAGCTAAGGTGGGGAGAAAGCTTTTTGGCACTGCGGCCTGTGTTGGCACTCAGCCCTTACGGCTGGAGAAATGCCAGAGCTTTAAATCTATATATCATCCCCTGCACCGTAAAACAAAAACGGCACAGATTATCTTTCCATAATCCTTCCATAAATTAGCTAGAATTGTGAAGCTTGGGTAAAGAGAATAAAAGGGAATCCTTCCTTTACGCTCCTTTCTGGTGGCCTGCTTCTCAGGTGAATGCTATTAACAACATCGTCCGTATTTTTAGGAAATCACTTTCCTTCAGGGTGGATAAAAATCAACGAGATATATATATATATATATATATATATATATATATATATATCAATTTTTTTTATTTAAATCAGATTTTTTTATTTCTAACAGTTTTGTTATTTAAATTGGGTTTTTAAAATGAAATGCTTTTGGAGGAAAAATCTTTCTAAATATAGTTTTCTATTTAAGTTACATTGTAGTCCAAAGGCGATTCATCAGGAAATAAAGATTTAAGTTTTTCATGTGCGCTAAAACTCAGTCTAAGTTGTTTTTTTAAAAAACTGTTTAACCACCTCAGATAACAAACATGGATAAATATGCTATAATGTTATTGTTTTGGTTAAATAAATTGTTTAAATTGTTATTAAGGAAATGATTATTCTTCTCATTCCAATAAAGTACAGCAGAAAAGTTGTCCAAATAGAAAGTTAACTTATTAAACCTCACAATAATTTCATAATTCTCTGTCTATGTATTTCTAATAGTATAACCAAATCAGTAATTTTTGATATAGCCGAACTGTAAAAACTACTCTGAAAATTTACTATTCCAAAAATGAAACCTTCATCTGGTTGTAAATATTAAGATTATGCCAGCAAGAATTAGTCTTTCTGTAAAAAAATATATGATTGAAATCAAGTCTTACTGACTAGTAATTTATATCATGATTTAAATCAATTTGATTTAAATCAAATCCACCCTGCTTTCTTCCCTTCCAAATCCATTGAACTTTTGGTCCGGGGTGGGGAGGAGAGACCACAGAATGAAACAGCAACAACTGTGGGGGCTTGTGGCATTTTTTTGCCTGGCGCAAAGGACAAGATGGCGCCCTCCTCTCAACTGCTGGTTGTTGGGGCGCAATAAGGGTCAGTGTGCCTGGCTGCTAACCAGAGAAGGTTGATAGTTCAAGCCTACCCAGGGATGGCTGTGGGCAGATTCCTACATTGCAGGGTGTGACGTTTGACCGTTCGTTTGAAAATATCTGTACGGGGGAGAGAAAGAGTCAATAGGTAGACCAATAGAAAAGCCAGAGGCGGAGCCTACCTGTTTATAAAAGGGCTTAGCCCGAGGTTTGGATTGGTTGGTTTTAGTTGGTTGGTTGGGAAAGGCAGTTGGGAAAGCAGCTGGCAGACAGCTGGAATTAGAGAGACAGTTAGTGCAGATGGTTCATTTGTGAGGGGAGGTAGAAGCGTTAGAGAGAGGATAAAATAAGACTAAGAAGGTAAAGAGTAACAACGTTTTGAATGCACTTAAAGTTTATTTGTGTTTGCAATAAACTACACTCTTCTTTGCTAAGAACCTGACTGAGACTAAGTGATTTACCAGGGAGGACCTGGTTGGTGGCAGCGGATTAGTGGTGTACAGGTCAATAGTCCGTGAGACGACCGGGGGCTCCGTACGAACTCGACACAGGGGGATGGACTGGATGACCCCTGAGGTCCCTTCCAATCCCTACAATTCTATGTGCAGAATCCAACCGGGCATTAACACTGATGATAGTACACTGTCCACCTGAGGATGGTAGGCTAGCCCAGGGGTGCTCAAAGGAGGCTAGCTCAGGTGTCTCAGGGGAATGGTGGTGTGTGCAGGCTGCTGCCAATGGGGCCAGCTGTGCAATGAAATTTTGGTATATCTGAATATCTTCTCTCACAGAAGGCACAACAAGCTGGTAGCCATGATGGTTACATTCTGCTTCCAATGGCTGAAGCAAGTCTAAGCCTTTCACAGACCATGATTTTGACAACAGCAGAAGCAGCTGGGAAGAGAGGAGCTCAGTGATAGTTTTGAAAAAACAGTTCTATAAGTTGTGTATCTTTGTTTCTCAATTTGATCCTTTTACATTGTTTTGCATGTTTTGTGGTATTTCATGCATTGAGATTTGCTGTTTTTTTTAATTGATTATAGATTAGCAATTCTTTATTGTAACTGATAAGTGTAAACTGTTTATTATTTGCCGATCTTTAATTTTACTGTTGACTATTGGATTCCAATGGAGTTTTGAATATTGCTTTATTTATCAGCAAACTGCCCTGAGACCTGCAGGTATAGAGCAGTATATAAATTAAATAAATAATAAAAGTAAGAATAAGGTTTGATATAAGTTGTTTATTTTAAAGGTATTGTAACTTTTCACATAGGATCTGATTGTTAATATTAATGTCTGGTGTTTTATTATTATTTTTATGTGTGTTGGAAGCTGCCCAGAGTGGCTGGGGCAACCCAGCCAGATGGGCAGGGTATAAATAAAATTGTTGTTGTTGTGCCTCTGAATACTTGCTGCTGGAAATCACAAGTGGGGAAAAGGCTGTTGTGCTCATTTGATGGGTGATTGTGAGAACAGGATGCTAGATGAAATGGGCCTTTGGCCTGATCCAGCAGCGGCTTTTAATGCTTTTAAACATTAAAGGACACACCAAGGACATATTTACATCGAAGACTTTAATGGGCTTAAGTTTAATGTCCACTGCCAGAGAACTGGAGTTTGTAGTGGATCTGAAGAATTTTCTACACCTTCTCTAAAAGCAACAATTCCCAGGATTCTTCTATAGAAGCCATTATAGTTGAGGCAGTAAAAAGCCAATACAATACAGTCGAACCTTGAAAGTTGAATTCCGGAAGTCTGTTTGACTTCCAAAACGTTCGGAAACCAAAGCGTGGCTTCTGATTGGCTGCAGTCCCATCGGACGTTCGGCTTCCAAAAATAGTTTGCAAACCGGAACAGTCACTTCTGGGTTTGCGACGTCTGGGAGCCAAAACGTTCGAGAACTAAGCTGTTCAAAAACCAAGGTACGATTGTATATGCTTGCCACACAGCTATGTCCAATAGGAGATAAGATAATAGGAATAACAGCTCTTTTCAAATGCACATGAACCAAAACTGAAACCATGAAAAAGAGCATCATCTTGTACACCGTGCCCCCAAAAGAATCCTGAGAACTGAAGACTGCTGGGAATTGTAGTTCTGTGAAGGGTAAACCACAGTTCCCAGGATTCTTCAAGGTAATCCATGTGTATTCAATGTATGGTCTTGTTATGACCAAAGCTATTTGATGCATAATGGCCATGTCAAATTAAAAAGTCAATTCCAGATTAGTTTAAGGAATGCAGTCTGCCTGTCTCTCATTTTGGAGACTGCTACAACAACATGTCTCCATACAAAATGCCTCCAACCCAAGGCACCAATGGTAGCTGTGAATTCAAAACAGTAACGATGAAATAATAAAACAAGTTGCTGCGGTTCAAAGGCTACGAGAATGAAATTTATGAGCAGGGGGTTGTATCTACTCCCCTCCCATATGTAAAAAGTAATTAACGGATTAAATCCAGGCAATTCCGCAGCCAGTGGAAAATGCTGAGATGCCTTTTACATCGCATTGGTTTAGCTGTATCTGTCGGGTCCGGAAAGTTCTGTGGAAGGAGAAGCATAAATGCTTCAGCCCCCATGAATTACGATGTGAAATTGTCACTGTGGTTAATTTCAAAATGCCAGAACCTCAAATGCTAAAAATGCTTCTGAGACAAAACCTATAAAACAATTCATAGCTGCTGTGTTCTTCCCCGTCCCCTCCTCCTCCTCCTCGTCCACTTTTCGAATACAGTGGTACCTCAGGTTATGTACTTAATTCGTTCCGGAGGTCCGTTCTTAACCTGAAGCACCACTTTAGCTAATGGGGCCTCCTGCTGCCGTCGTTCCACCTAAGCACGATTTCTGTTCTCATCCTGAAGCAAAGTTCTTAACCTGAAACACTATTTCTGGGTTAGCGGAGTGTGTAACCTGAAGCGTATGTAACCTGAAGCGTATGTAACCCGAGGTACCACTGTATTTGCAGCCTTGTTACTTGCTTATTTTTTACCTGTAACGATCTCTCTGTGGTCCCTGGCAGGAGCCTGTGTGACTCAAACAGATCTGCTAATTTTCTTTTTTCTTGGGAATTTCACTGGCATTCCCTCACAGGCCCTACCCCTACCCCTGATCCTGTTATAGGTCTGTGAATACACTGGACAGTATCTTTCAGCATTTTTGGAGTGAGACAACATAACATACTTTTTATGTTTTACACTGCGGGTGGAGAACCTACTGCCCTCCAATAGTTGCTAGACTACAACTCCCATGATCCCCTATCATTGGTACGGCGGTTGGGGCTGATGGGAGTTGGAGTTGAACAACATCTGCAGGTAATCACACTGGCTACCCCTGGGAAACCATCTAAAACCAGCCTTCTTAAAAAAAAGATCTCTACCACAATGAAAACCCTCAGTCCATAATATCATCTATTGAAACAACACTGTTTGCCCTTGCCCTCCCATATGTTAGAAGTACAGCAGAAAGGCAGGGATGGCGAACATCAGGGTTGGAGGATGAAAGTGGTCCAGGGCCTGCTCCTGCCCAGCCACACCAACTCTACCTAGTCCAAACCTGTTACCAGCCTTGGCTGGCGCTCTACTTGAATGTTCTTGCCAGGCTGGAATGTGTCCTTCTGATAGTGCTTCTTGCTTGCACTGAGACTCTTAATCTCAGGGTCGGGGGTTTGAGCCCAACGCTGGGCAAAATATTCCCGCATTGCAGGGGGTTGAACTAGATGACCTCAGTAAAGGTAAAGGGACCCCTGACCATTAGGTCCAGTAGTGACCGACTCTGGGGTTGCGGCGCTCATCTCGCTTTATTGGCCGAGGGAGCCAGCGTACAGCTTCCGGGTCATGTGGCCAGCATGACTAAGCCGCTTCTGGAGAACCAGAGCAGCGCACGGAAACAGCGTTTACCTTACCTATTTATCTACTTGCACTTTGACGTGCTTTCGAACTACAGTGGTACCTCAGGTTAAGTACTTAATTCGTTCCGGAGGTCCGTTCTTAACCTGAAACTGTTCTTAACCTGAAGCACCACTTTAGTTAATGGGGCCTCCTGCTGCTGCTGCTGCACCACCGGAGCACGATTTCTGTTCTCAACCTGAAGCAAAGTTCTTAACCTGAAGCACTATTTCTGGGTTAGCGGAGTCTGTAACCTGAAGCGTATGTAACCTGAAGCGATGGAACCTGAGGTACCACTGTACTAGGTTGGCAGGAGAAGGACCGAGTAACGGGAGCTCACCCCGTCGCGGGGATTCGAACTGCCAACCTTCTGATCGGCAAGTCCGAGGCTCTGTGGTTTAACCCACAGCGCCACCTGCATCCCTTAGATGACCCCAGTGGTCCCTTCCAAATCTACAATTCTAATAGCCCCCCTCCCACAAACACAATCAAAAGGCCATAGATTGTTTAATCAGCCAAGGGCATGGTTATAGAGTAGGGGTACCCAAAATAAGGCCCATGGGACTCGTTTATCCGGCACGCAGTGACCCCCACCGCCCACTCTTACCAGCACTGCACTGCCCACTTCCAGGTCGGAGGAGCACTGGAAATAGCTTGAGTGCATGTGTGTTATTTGTGCATGTATGTTATTTCCAGTGCACATCTGGGTCAGAGGAGGCCTGTGCACATGCGCACAAGCTATTTCGGCTGCTCCTCTGACCTGAAAGTGCGCCAGAAGTAGCGTGTGCACATGCGTATGGGCACGTGCTCCCCCACCCTCCTGCCCGCCGCACAATTGGCGCTGGAGACACCGGCCCAAGGCGCAGTAAGTTTGCTGACCCCTGTTATAGAGAAACATTTTCACCTTATCCCAGTACAGGGGCACTAACTATAGGGGGTAGCAGGGGCTTCAGCCTCCTCAATATTTCTAGGCAGGGGGCTGAGCCTCCCCAATATTGAGGGGGCTGCCAACCTCCACCGCCCCCAGGTGAGCACTGGCCTGCCGGTTAAGAGCAGGAGGCACCGAGTGCGATTTTCATCCTCCATGCCCCCTGCCGTGATCACCAGAAAGCCTTCTGGGAAAGCCTCTGGCAATCCTCAAAGGGACGCCTGTGTGTCCCGACAGGCCTGGCCAGACTGGGGGAGGGACAGCATGTGTGTGATGTCATGCATGTGCAACGCCCCCCCTCCAATGATGGGCCTAACTCGGTGCGCCTGTCCCCAATATATGCATTCAAAATAAAATAAAAAACATGCATTGGAGACCTGCGTCACAAAATTGTACTATGATAGAGCTTTAGTCCATTTGTAGCTGCTTCCAGAAAGTCAGTATTTTGAGGGAGGTAGTCAAGAGCATATAGCAGAAATGTAGGTCTGTGCAATTAAAGCACTCTGCTGAAACAAATCTAGTAAATAAATAAATAAACTGCTGTTAGGAAAGTGATGAGGAAATGCATTTGAATGAATTATCGGGAAGGCCTATTACCTCTCCACAAACAAATCAGAATGAACACTCAATAAAGATCAGACATAGTCTAACCTCTGTGAAAGCTTTGTGCAAGTAAGCTAAGATTAATAATAATAATAATAATAATAATAATAATAATAATTTCTTATTCATATCCCACCCATCTGGCTGAGTTTCCCCAGCCACTCTGGGAGGCTTGATAATGCAGATCATTTGCAGGAGCCCCATCTCCCAATTATGGCACCTGAAAACCTTCTAATCAGAGATGTCAAGAGTTTGATCTGTCATCTTCTACATGCAAAGTGAGTGCTCACAAAATCAATGGTCATCACAGCACCTCCAAGAGCACGCTACTTCCACTCATATAGCTGTTATATTTGTTTCATATGCAATTATTTTATTATGCTGTTTCAGAATATTTCAGAAGATATATGCAAATTGCCTTGAGTACACCGGTAGCCACACAGATCTTTTGTGGGGGGCAAAACAAAATCAATAAATAAGGAATACGGGCACTCCCTCATATGCCTGTTGGATGGTCAGGGAGCCAAGCTATGCTGACATTTTTCAGAACGGAATTCTCTTTAGGCCCAAGGGCAATAAAGGTGACACGTATGGTTGTTCAGCAACTCCCTTTCGCAAATCATAATTAAAGCCTGGCATTGGTGCTGACGGCTCACCAAAATTTAGGGCCGTTGTAATGTCTTGCATTACAGCTTTGTACTTAGTGGATGAGCTTTTTATTACCGTAATGTGCTGGCGATTAACGAAACGGGCTTGGCAGGGCAGAAAGACACGTTTCCATATTTTGGAACGCGTTGCCATTCAGATTATTGCATCTTTATTAGCCAATTAACCATGTTGAAATAAACAGGGAAACAAACTAGCTGACTTCTGTTATACAATCACCTCTTGCAGGAAATATAAATCTGCTGTCTTTTTTTAATTTGCTAATATGCAGAGAATGAAAAATGTATCAAGCAAGAGGCACATTTCTCAAGTGGCGAGGAGGCTTTCCCTCAGGGAAACAGCAGCCTGATCTCTCAGGAGATTTGAACCAGTTTCTTTTCCCTTGGAATTAATTTTAGTGGACTGTGTTCACTTCAGCACTCCAGGGGGAAAATAAATCACAACGAGAATATAATGCTTAAACAGGGAGTTTAGGAAGCTGCATGGCAGCAACCGTACCAGGCAGTGTGGAATTTAAGATCTTATGCAAAATTCAGTGGGGTTTGGTATAATCTCATCGCTCATTTTTTAAAGGCAGGTTTCTATCTTTCATCCTGGCTATAAATAAATACTTGAAAGAGGCTGTAGCAACTGCTAGTCTTTAAAAAGAAAGGGGGAAAAAAGATGGTTCTTGTGTGTGGAAAGGTCTGCTGGCCTTCATACAGGACATCTGCACTGTATCCAGTAGAGCTGACCTGAAATATCTCAGAGAAAATTTCTAAGATTTCATTTTCATTTTTCTCACCTTCCTAGAAAACGGAGTGCTGCAGAATTTTCTCCAAATATCCTCTACCAATTTTTGTGGCACCCTGCCATTTTCTGCCTTCAATGCCCTGGAAAGATGTTAGTCTAATGCACTGAGGGGGAGTAAAATAGTGGCCAGGCTGCCAACGCAGCTAGCAAGCAAAAGGCTTAGGGGGAAAAAAATAAGCTCTGCTACTTTCATTGCTGCGGGATGCGGGTGGTGCTGTGGGTTAAATCACAGAGCCTAGGACTTGCCGATCAGAAGGTCGGCAGTTCGAATCCCCGCGACGGGGTGAGCTCCCATTGCTCGGTCCCTGCTCCTGCCAACCTAGCAGTTTGAAAGCATGTCAAAGTGCAAGTAGATAAATAGGTACCACTCTGGTGGGAAGGTAAACGGCGTTTCCGTGCGCTGCTCTGGTTCACCAGAAGCGGCTTAGTCATGCTGGCCACATGACCCTGAAGCTGTACGCCGGCTCCCTCGGCCAATAAAGCGAGATGAGCGCCGCAACCCCAGAGTCGGCCACGAATGGACCTAATGGTCAGGGTTCCCTTTACCTTTACCTTTACTTTCATTGCTAATGGTGAGCCACATCCCTATCGGAAAATTTTTCCTCCTGTCACTGCTGCTATTGCAAGTCTATTGAACTTGTAGTCTGCCAGATGTTGGTCAGATGGTGGTCTGCCACCATAGCCAGCATTACCAGTGGGTCTGGGATGCTGGGAGTTGTAGTCCAACAACTGTACTATATTAACGTACTTTTGTTGTTGACTTTATGCTGCCATGATTTCTGTCCTTGATGTTGACAGTGCAGAAGTTTCTGGAAATAAGGTAATAAACACCTTCAAGGCCCCAGGTTCCCCTCACCCACTCCTGGGTGAATTGCCATGTCTTCCCTCGCTGAGCTCTTTTGCCTTTCAGTAGCTGGGATGATAGTCACAAAAATGACAGGACAAGGTTTTCCCATCAGTGCCTCTTCACAATGGGAGAAACTTCAGCTGTAGAGCAGAACTAATGTGGCACAGCAGACAGACCATTAGATTTGGGTTACAGGCATGAGTTTTCAACTCCTCCAATAGGTAGCTCATAGCATTGGGCCCATCACTAACTCTCAGTTTTACTGGGTTGGGCAGAATGTGGGAGAATGTGATAGCCTCATGTTTTCTGCTTTGAACTCCTCAGAATAATAATAATAATAATAATAATAATAATAATAATAATAATAATAATATTTTATTTATATCCCGCCCTCCCCAGCCGAAGCCGGGCTCAGAGTGGCTAACAACGATAAAAGAAGACTGCTAAGATACAGATTGAGAAGAGAAGACTCCCTGGAAAAGACCCTGATGTTGGGAAAGATTGAGGGCACAAGGAGAAGGGGACGACAGAGGACAAGATGGTTGGACAGTGTTCTCGAAGCTACCAGCATCATCATGAGTTTGACCAAACTGCAGGAGGCAGTGGAAGACAGGAGTGCTTGGCGTGCTCTGGTCCATGGGGTCACGAAGAGTCGGACACGACTAAACGACTAAACAACAACAAGATACAGATGTGATATACAAACACACCCATTTTTGCCTGATACTTGAGCATGCCAGAAAAGAAAGAGATGGTAACTCTTAATTACAAGTCCCCTCTAGATTTGTGGCAAGCCAACAGCTGCAGTCATGCTCACAGGAGTCACTGTTGGGATCTGCCTCGAGCAACAATGGAATGTGCTTCCAGGAGTGAAGTCACAGCGCCTGCTGTGGCTGCAGAGACTGGTATCGCGTAACTGCCGCCTGCTGTGTTGCTTTTGCAGCATCAGCAGCACCACAATGACCTCTTCGGGGCGCAAGCCTGAGCAGTGTGCATGAAGGTCCTGGGCTGCCCCCGCTCAGCCTCACTGGTGTGGTTCAAAGGAAAGCAGAGCAATACATCTGGCACCCTCTTGGAGTACATCAAAGCAGGGGTCCCACTCTGCTGCATACTTAACATGATATACATTTTGTGTGTGTGCGTGCACGTGTATTTAAAGACAGTAGGCTTGGGAGAACCCATCTGTTTGTGAAAGGAGCCAATTGACCAAATAACCACACACGTTCTTCCTCCTGCGTCTGAATTAACAGACAAAAAGTTGGCAAACACCAGAAAACAGAAAGCTAAATGAACAAGTCTGCTGAGTTTGCTAGCCCAGCGGGGCTACGAAACCTTATCTGCCGTGTCTTTTAGAATACAGTTTATTAAGCTCTGGTGCTCTTGTATAATTCAGTGCTGAAATTTGCTTATTTAGTTAGTTAAAGGACAGGGCGGGGTGCGGCTCTGCTGTTGCAGTTGTTGAATACAGTGGTTGGCAAGCTTGCATCATTAATCAGATCTGTGCCTTGCTCACAAAAGTTATTCATGTTTAGGGCATTAAAGCTTGAAGCTGAAATTGCAGCAGTAGGCAATTTGAGTAGGCGTAGCCTGTCCGTCTGCAACAGATTTATGACTGTTTACTCAACAATGGATTATATTGGGGGAGGCGCTGAGCGAGGGAAAGGGAGAAAAAGTCCCATTTCAAAACACTACCTCAACCCGCAGTGATAACGTGTCTAATTTTTGCTCTCTCCCTTTTTGGTCATAGGAGCTTGTTTCATAATGACTGCCAGGGCTGATTCACACTTTACTAAACAGACATGCCTGCCATGTATCCATCAGTGCAGGAGTGTACAATGGATGACCCAGACGGCCAGTGGCTGTGACTAGCTGCTGCTACCTGGAGTATACTTATCTCCAATGGACGTGCAGTTTTCCAGTGTTTACCATGGCAAATACACACTGCAGACATGTGAAGTGGTGCTCTGTTTGGCCCACAAAATACTTAAGCCACAGTGTGCAACCCATATTCACTTTGTGAAATTCACCATCACAAGGTGAGATGATAGCAAGTGGCCTGGATGGGTTTAAATCACACCCATGCTGTATAGTTAAAGCACATTGCTTCCCCCAAAGAATTATGGGAAGTGTAGTTTACCCATCTTCACAGAGCTGCAATTCCCAGCACACTTAAGAAACCACAGTCCCCATAATTCTTTGGGGGAAGCCACATGCTTTAAATTAAATTCGTGGAGGAAAGCGGGTCTATCAATGATTATTGACTGTGACAGATGCCACATGCAACAAAACGTTTCATTTTAATTGTTTTATTTTGTTTATTAAATTTATATATCTTCATCAAAAGATCTCAGGGTGGTTCGCAGAATAAAATACAAGATAAAACAAAAGTAAATAATTAAACCAAAACAACATAACAATACCCCCTTCCCACAGAGACATTTAAAAGGCTGTAGAATATTACAGCGCATCCTCACCTTCTAACTGAAATGCTTCTCCTTGGTTTCAGCAAGACACCTAGCCACATCTTCCTTCGGGATACTTTAGATTTTTACTTTTATTTTCTAACTGAAATACAACATTCTGTGCCTATGGAGAATTCTCAATCCTCATTGAATTGGGATTTTTTGAAGGGGAGGGGAGTTGGCTGATACCTCCCTCTTGTATCACAGAAGCCCCATTTTGGCTACACAGCCATCGAAATTTCACGTCTGAGTCTGCTACCAGGAAATCATTACTGCCATCACGGCCTGATGATGCACTTCCAAAAGGCACCTGTCTGTCTCCTGTGCAGTGCGGGATTCAGAACTAGACAGACCTTTGGTCTGATCCAACAGGACTCTCCTGGTGCCAGTGTTTCTCAAACTTGGGTCCTCAACTGTTGTTGGACCACAACTCCCACCATCCTTTAGCTAGCAGGACCAATGGTAAGGGATGATGGTAGTCCAACAACAGCTGGGGACCCACGTTTGAGAAACACTGCCTTATGCTAGGATTTATGGCAATGCATAAGGTTTTTAAGGCAGGGCTTTGAAGTCCGAAGCTTATGTGGGGTCAAATAAATGTGGAAGTTGTCGTCTGTGGCGACTCACGTTATGAGATACACGGCACATGTTTAGAGGAACTCTAAAAACAAGTGACACCAGGTGTCCTGTGGGAAGGAGAAGGAAAGTACCTAGGAGGCTGTCATAGAAGACAACAGAGCCGGCTATGGCTGGACTGCCCCCACCTCCCAACACATACAGTGGTACCTCAGGTTAAGTACTTAATTCGTTCCGGAGGCCCGTACTTAATGTGAAACTGTTCTTAACCTGAAGCACCACTTTAGCTAATGGGGCCTCCTGCTGCCGCCGTGCCGCCGGAGCACAATTTCTGTTCTCATCCTGAAGCAAAGTTCTTAACCTGAAGCACTATTTCTGGGTTAGCTGAATCTGTAACCTGAAGCGTATGTAACCTGAGGTGCCACTGTACTTTGACTGGGCCAACTGACACCAAATGACCTGTGGGGAGAATCCTGATGAATTGCTATGTGTGAATATTGAGTGTTAAGAGACATTTGAAAAGCTCCTACCCAAAGATATTGGGTTTTCCCATCATGGCCTACTGACTTCCATCTCTGCCTTTGCCTCTCAGTTTCCTGGACCTGGCCACCTCTTCTTGTCCTCTTCTGCTAACAGGGACAGCCTTACCATGAGGCAGCTGCCACCATTAACAGATTATGAGTTTCCTACAACAGTGGCTCAAAATATCTTGGTCCTGTGTGCTGGCGCAGAAGTTCAAGAGAAAGAGGAGGAAGTACACGGAAACACAGGCAAATCCTTGCATTATTATAACATTTTATCCCGTCTCTGCACGCCGAACCACTTTGGGGTGTTGAAACTAAAGGGCGTTTTGCGCACTAGTGTTCCAGTCCCGAATACACAGCCATGCACCAGACTATCTGCCTGCAATGCCAACAGAACGTTGTGGTTTGTGACGCTACACAGCCACAGCAGCCTGAATACTTCCATCTGGACCAATTTATTTGCTGGTGCAGCATGTTTCGGGCTCAGGCCATAAATATGCTAACTTTTAAGGCCCACGTTGAAGGGGCCTATTCACGCAAGGCACAACAAACAAAAATGAACGGCACTGTTTTCTAGAAATGGGCTTGCCGTTCACAATAAGCGCATTTCAGCTGCATAGCAATGCTGGGGGGGAAAGCACCATATCCAAATTAATAATCCTTTACTCCCAGCTTTGCAAATCCAATTGCTGTAAATATATTGTCCTTTTCCTGAGGTTTTTATCTTGTTAAGTTATTTGCTATAAATGAAATGCTCTTCTGAAAAAGCTGCTCTGTGTATCAGGTTCAGAGCAAAATGGGTTTCGTCTTACTTGTCTGTTTTGCCAAGAGGGCTATGTGTAAATTAATTTGAGAAATTTTAGTTGCTTGATTATATGAGTTTCAACCAATTCAACATTTAATTGATTAAATCTGCACCAATTTACACATGATTTACACATGCCTAAAACTGACAAATATGAAGCAGTTTATACAAAGATCCATGCCAGGTGGGCAAGTTCCTTCTCTCTCTGCCCCTCCTTTCCCAGTGGACCAAGTTTGGTAAAGACAGCCCATGTGGTTCCCTTCAGTTGTGATCAGAGTCTAGCTCCCATTGCCCCTGACCATCATTGGCCATGATTAACAAAAGGGAGAGAGAGAGAGAGCCTCTCCCCCATTAATTAGGGTAAGTAAAGACTATCTGAAATATACTCAGAGTCCTGTAGTGATTTCATGCTCTTTATTGCAGCTTGTAAAACAGTTGATAGAATTGCCCCCAAAACCTCAGGCTGTTATATACATTATTTACACAATGAGACCCATCTGATTGGCTGATTCTGCTTCCCTCCTGGAGCCTGATTGGTCTTTTCCTGCTGGCCAATCAGTTGTTGCATTCTAGGATCCTACTTGCCTATTGTTCTAGGATCCAAGCTTAGTACATAACGCTATCCTTCCTAGGTGGGGACAGAAAATAGCAATCCCCACCCCACCCTGCTAAGTGCTGAAGGTGATACGACAGGACAATTATAAGCTTGAAAGAGTTGTAGAGTTAGAATGGTCCCAACCACCCCACCATCACCTCTTTTAAACAGGCTTTTGCCAGTTTTTATAGTATTTCGAAACACGCACAACCTATTTCATCAGAGACAGCAACAACAGGAAATGAGGACTGGAAACTTAAAAAAAACAAGGCAGTGGAATTGTGAGCATTAGCACTTAAGAACAATTATTATTAGTAGTAGTATATGGTCTCAGAGCAGTTCACAGGATTCAATCATTTCCATCAGTGACATACAAGCCATGCCCCCCCTCCCAGTCTAGACTCTAGCCTCATGCTACTCTGCTAATATCCAGCTGCATGTGTCCCATGAAGAGAGTGACTTATGGACACAGAAACAATGACCAGGCCTTAGGGAGGGGCATGGCAGCATGGGCAGAAATCCCATCATTTTCACAACCAACATGGCTCCATCATCCATATATCGTTGGAAGTGGCATGGGACTCCAGGGGAGGGTATGTGGCCCAGTGGTACACCGTCTACTTTGCATGCATAAGGTCCCTCACATCTCCAGGCAGGACCATCAGGAAAACCCTCTGTCTGAAATTCTGGAGATCCACTGCTGGCCTGTGAATATAATTCTCTGTTTTCTGACTGGGTGTTAGTCAGCTTCCCATGTTCCTATAAAAGGTTCCCACAGCACTACAACAATGAAAACATCAAGCCTAGTGGGCTCAGAACAGAAGGGGTGGATGTGGTGGCTTATAATTCCCTTGGCAGAGACTATTTGTTATCTTTCCAGGGCCCAGACATGAACATTTGCACAGAGGATCCCAAATGCAATATCCCTGCCATCTCTACTTTAAAGAATCTGAAACAGCAAGACTGAGGGGAAAACTCCTCAGGAGGCCTTGGGGAGCTGTTGGCAGCCAGACTGAAGTTTAGTCTGTTTGATCACTAAACACAAGTGGGCGAGATAGACCTATGGCTCAGTATAAATCAGCTTCCTCTATATATGACTTGAAGCTACAGTTTAGTCCCTAAAGCCATGAACTGTACAAACCACACTTAATAAAACCAAGGTTCAAACAAAAATTAGAAATATACAAACTGCACATGCTAGGATTTGAAAAGCATATCAGGGAATCCTGAACCTAAATCAAGATAATCCTACACGCTCTCTATTTTGGATTTGGCTTAATGGTTACAAACATCCTGTTAGTGCTAGATTTTGGTGAGAGAGTGTGAGAAAAAAACCCACCCACCCAACCTTTTAAACCTCCCTCTCTTAAATTGAAACTTGATATATAGTGACTCAATCTCAAAATGTTATTATTTATATGACATTATTTCATGGAACAGGGGAACACTTCTTTTTGGATCATTCGAGAACAATTCCAATATGTGTGTAAAATGCTGGCTTTAGGCTTCTTACATCTCCATTGTGGACTTATTGCCTATACTGTACATCTAAGATGCTTTAGCGTTAAATGCCACTTAAAAAACCTATTTTGTAGACACTTTCTTTGAGGCTTATATTAATAGTATCCTGTGGCACATTCCTCCAACGACACATGTTTATCAGTATTTCCCTATTTAATTATTTTTTCCCATTTGGACTGATGAGGGTTAGGACTCATGGGTAGGCAAACTATCTGGCCCAATCACCTTCTAAATCTGGCCCGCGGATGGTCCGGGAATCAGTGTGCTTTTACATGAGTAGAATGTGTGCTTTTATTTAAAATGCATCTCTGGGTTATTTGTGGGGCAAAGGAATTTGTTCATTTATTTATTTTTCAAAATATAGTCCAGCCCCCCACAAGGTCTGAGGGACAGTGGACCAGCACCCTGCTGAAAATGTTTGCTGACCCCAGAGTTAGGTAAAGGCTCCAAGTTTGTAATGATATCATTATGACATGCCTTTTTTAAAAAAAACAAAACCTGATATAGTGTTAATCCTTCTCTCCACCTAGCAGAACTTTGAGAATAGGAGGGAGTGCAGAATTGACCTGTGCGCAAGTAGTAGTTAAAACTTCTCTTTCTGCCAGTTCTCCCAGGTTCCCTTTCTCCCCGTGGGCATATTTCTGAAGGCTGGCTAGGGAAGAAATGGTGCAGCATGGGACATGAGGAAGAGCAGTGGCATATAAAAAATAGGCAGGGGAAGACTGAAGATCCCATCCTGAATTGCAGGATTCTATATTGTCATTGGGGACGCGGGTGGCACTGTGGGTTAAACCACAGAGATTAGGACTTGTCAATCAGAAGGTCGGCGGTTTGAATCCCCGCAAAGGGGTGAGCTCCCGTTGCTCAGTCCCAGCTCCTGCCAACCTAGCAGTTCGAAAGCATGTCAAAGTGCAAGTAGATAAATACGTACCGCTCTAGCGGGAAGGTAAACGGCGTTTCCGTGCGCTGCTCTGGTTTGCCAGAAGCGGATTAGTCATACTGGCTCCCTCGGCCAGTAAAGCGAGATGAGCCACGACTGGACCTAATGGTCAGGGGTCCCTTTACCTTTACCTTTTATATTGTCATTACAAGGCAAACAGGGGTTTAGGTCACTCCATACTTGCCTCATAATGTGCTGCCCAGTTTGAAGTTTCTAGGCACAAGCTCTGCACTGGAGGAGGCGGGTGTTTAAAAAAGAATTCCTTAGTCACAAGGAACAAGTTGCAGGGCAAGTGAGCATCGCCTCCGTGAGTGAATTACTTCTCAGCAACAAAACACAGAGGCATTCAGTGGGGTCGCTGTGGTGAAACCATTCACCTTTTCACCTTTCTGTATCTGTGTTACGTACTAGCGCATACATAGATGTGTGGACCACATGTCTGAAGCCGCACAGGAGGACCGCCTTGAAACCATTTTGACACCCAAACTGACCAAATGTTTTCTCTGCAAGGAGGGAGGGGGTGGGGGATCTTCCCCATTGTCTTTTTGTTCACAAATCCTGTCTTAAGGGTATGTCTGTATATGAATAGGGTGAGCCTGTGACCTGGCTCAGGAACTAAGTATTTGTCATTACAAAAGACTGGCCAGGCTCCCCAGGGTATCCAATCAAGTAACCATTAACAGGTAATGGCCAGACAGGAGATAAACAACACACTCAGATTTCTGTTGTAGACTGCCTCATCTATGATGTAGGTATGATGTATGGGGGGGGGGCTTGGGCTATACTCCTTCTGTGATGTAGGTATGATGTTTCTGGGGGTGGTCTTGGACTCCAGGACCACCCCCAGAAGTCTATACAAGTCTATACAAGGGCAGACACACCTTTGTTCGGAGTCCTCCTCCTTTCCTGCGTGTGAAGGGAGCACCCTGTTGCAACAGTTCAATAAAGATCAGGCTTACGAGCTGCTTTGCTTCTCAATATTCTCTGGTTGGCCTCTGTTATTTTCTCCGACCAATGGAGAACCTACAAAGGACTCTATAAGGGCTCTTGTGTCCCCCATAAGGGAATAAAGGCAGATTTTCATTTATTACAGTTCAGACAGTGTTATGGGACAAATCTCAGGAAAAAACTGCTTTGGTAGGGTGAAGACACCTCGAGACTACTAACATCCATGGCATTGGAATGAAGGAAGGTGTTCTTCAGCCTCTGCGTTTGGAACAGCAAATGCTGCATTTTGCAACAGTGGCGGGTTTTATTTTATTTTATTTCTCAAGTTCAAGCGTTTCACACAGATAGGTCCCATTTTTTTATTTTAAAAAACCAAACCAAACCTAGATAGTCTTTCAGAGACAGGCATCTTTGGTGTTTTTTTTACTGCTTCCAAAGCTGCTGAAGAGTGGCGAGGGCTGCATGTTTTTAGCCCAGCTCAGCCCACATTTCGTGATTCGATGATGTTGCATAGGCCATGGCGTGGGCAGAGCCAAACCTTTTTGAGAAGAGCCCCAACTGCTTTGTGCACAAGTTCCATCCAGGTCATGTGATAACATCATAGTGTGGGAGGGACTGTGAAACCCCACACGCCCCCAGAAAAAGAAAGCACCTTGTTTTCCCTCAGAAAATGCGTAATTATCTGAGGGAAATCACTACTACGAGACAAGATGACGTCGAGGTGTTGTATTCCAGCACTGTCACCTTAAGGGCAACCCAAACCACAGCTTCCCCTCTCCTTCTTTCCCCTTAAGACTTGGACAGGCCTAGGTTAGGAGCCCTGCCACACAGCTTCATATATAACCTCAAATCAATTCAGGCAAGTTACTGAGGTGAGGCCTGAATTCAGTAAACAAGTCCTTACTTTTAGACAGCGTTCTGCCTACAAGGTTAAAGAGAGCTTCAAAAAGGCACAGGCTATTTGTTTTCAATTGGTGGCTGAAATATACTTGGAGTCGAGTGTGGATTTCATGCTCTTTATTCAGCTCATAGTAGTGAGGAGGAATGGAAGTTCCCCCGAAATTTCTGCTTTATATACATTATTTAGACAATGGGCCCCACATGATTGGCTAATTCTGGGATTCTCCTGTAGGCCAATCAGGTTGCGGATTCACTTCCACCTGGAGTTGGATTGGGTGGCTCCTGCGGACCAATCAGACTGCTGCATTCTGAATCCTATTGTTCTAGGACCAATCAGACTGCTGCAATTTGGATCCTATTCAACTCAATACATAACAGTGGCTCTGGATACACAATGTACTAGTTGCTCCCTTTTTCTTGTTATCATTGTTCGGGTTTTTACAAAGAAAATGCAGGACGAGAGCAAGAGAATTAACAGGTGCCAAAACAGGACTGCGGGGTTACTCTCATACCTCAGACCAGGGGTAACCAAACATGGCGCCCTTCCAACGTTAATGGACTACAGTTGTCATCATCCCTGGCCATTGGCCAACCTGGCTGGGGCTGATGGGAGTTTATCTGCTTTATTAACATTTACATAACCCCCACCCATCTTTCTTCCAAGGAGTTCGTGGCAGCTTCTCTTCATCTCCATTTCATCCTCACAACCCTGTGAGGGTCCATCTAGTCCCACATCCTGTCAATGGTCAGCCTGATGCTTTTGGGAAGACCACAGGCAGGGCATAAACGAAACAGCTATTAGGAATTTCAAGGGGAATTTTGTTATCATGGTTAAGTGCATGATAAACACATCCTTTGAAAGCCATCTACGCTGAAGTGCATGCATCCCATGAGTTCTCATCAACGGATTACTGAGTAATTTCAGCTGATTGTGTTAACGCAGGAAGCTGCCTTATCCCAGTGCAGTCGAAGAACTGTGTACACACAAGCATTGTATTCTACATTCAGTGCACACTGAGATCTTCCCGTAGTCCGCACACAAACTGGACCTACTACATATTTCATACCCTTGGAAAGCACTTTCCCACAAACTGGTTTCATCCCAAAAATTAAAGCTGAGAGAAGGTAATTCTGCATTAGCTCCCACTATGTCCATCTGAAAACCTAACAGAGGTGGTCCCAGCAACAGTGTGTTTGTGTGTGTAGAAAGTGAGGTGAAAATTATGTTTGCGGCATTTCAGTCAGCTTCTGTGATGTCTCGGTTACACACACTAGTCACCATTTGATGACCTTCATTTGTCATCACCAAGCGAGAAACATACAAGTGTGAACCAGTCTGTATCATAGAATCATAGAATAATGTAATTGCAGCATTGGAAGGGACCACAACAGCAGCCATACAAGCAGCCATAAATGTTGGTCTAGAAACTTGCAAGTCTTGTATACTTCAGGCTTTGGCCTAATATGTAAACTGGTTTTCTTTTTTTTAATTCATCATCTGTCTCATGTGTTGTGGGCCACAAGTAATAGTTTGCATGAATGGCATCAGACCAGATGGCTTGGGTCAGAATTTGACTTCAGATAGTTTTAGGAAGTCATCTTTCCCGTTCAGAACTGATTTCCCCTCATGTAATATTAGAAAACACGTCTGTTGTTTTCCCCCCTTGCCCTGCAAATTATGGTTCTTCTGAACATCATATTTCTCAAAGAAGCAGCTGCAAAGCCCAACCAACCATGCACCAAAGTGAAACACCTTCAAATGACTGGCATGAACATTCAAATGGCTTATTGTCAGAACAGGTTTAAAAATAGGATTTTTCAAGATAAACAAACTCAACCTCACAGGAAATGAGTGAGCAGCAAATACAGAAAGTCAACATGTTAGATTTCTCGTGAAATCTTAATTTCGTTGTGTAAATAACATACAGTAATCTTATGAGGATGAGTATTTCCATAGCCACACGCTTGCTCTTCTCAGAAGGAAAAACCCCTAAGTATCTATTTACCAAGCAAAAATCATGCAAACCTCATGACTACAACAATTGTGTGTGTGTGTGTGTGAGAGAGAGAGAGAGAGAGAGAGAGAGAGAGAGAGAAGCTGACCACTTCAAGTTTTAGGAAAGATCAAGAGAATGTTTTGCTAGTGTTGAGTGGTCTATGAGAATTCAGTTGCCTATTTTTATTTTTTTTAAAAATTGCACTAGGGTGCACACACACAAAAAGGGGAATGAAGAGAACTAGTCCTCACCCCTCTGTATTTCACAAAAGTGACTGCTTCAAGGACTGAGGAACCAGGATTTCGAAAGAGGGAGGATACTGTTATAAGAATTTTAAGGTCATACAACAGTACCTACCAGAGACTTGCAAATATGCCCACTAATGATTATTTTGACTAACCGGTTTGCTCTATGCATGCTTATATTAGTTGATTGGGGCCTAAAATAAAGAAAGGTGATCCGTACTTATCAGAGCAAGAGTGAGGCTTACCCTAAAGGGATGGCCAGGTTAGTTTCTTACAACAAACACAACCAAAAGTATTGTGGGGCCATAAAGACTGAACGATTTATTGTGCCATAAGCCTTTTGTGGACTGGAGGCCACTTCATCTGATGCATGGAACTTCATTGTCATCTGGCAGATATATAGAAACACACACACAAATGTAGAGAGACAAAATAATAAAAATGATGAGGCTGAAAGGTCATAAAATGCAAAAGGGACAGTCCGGGACTTCCTTTGACACAAAATCAGTTGTATACAAGATTAGCAGTCTTACTGGGATTCTTAGTCACGCTTTCTTCTTTCTTTTCTTTTTTTAAGCTGGCATTTCCTTAAAACTTAAATGTCATTTGGTTCTTATGAGGAGACATTGACAATCTTTCCATTCAGTGTCATACCTGCTGGTAATAGCAAACAAACCACCACCGATAGAAAACAAAGCTGGCTTCAAGGAAGCTGCACATTTCATTATTACTTTTTTTTGGGGGGGGGAGTTGTTTTGGTCAGAACAGTCAGGAATAAAAAGCAGTACCGAGGAAGTGAAGAAATTTCACTTGGGAGTCTCAGAGAGATAGGACCTTGTGTAATGCGAAAATCTCACAGAAACCCGAAGTCTAGGTTTTACAACATCCCATTTTGTTAAGAGACGACAGCTATTTACTTGAGACACATGTAGGGCAAACTCCCCCACCCCTCCAAACCATTTGAAATACCCAAGTATCTTGAGCTGTTTTGCTATCACAGAAGCCACAGACTTGTGGGTATCTGCCTCCTCAACAGTTCCTAATATAAACAACTCTTAGCTCACTCACATATATAGCACAGGTGGGAGGTATGTAATGTCCCCAAGGTTCCTGCTAGAACCAGTTTCTGGGTGGTGTTTTTTTTTAAAAAAAAGGTTAAGTTACTAGTTCTCAAGGTTGCAAATGTAAGTTTGAAAATAGGACAGGAAAGTGTGGCAGGAGTTGGGTGGTTTTTTTGTGTTTTTTGTTTTAAAAGCCCACATTTATTCTTTGCTTCTACTGTAAACCCATACAAGAATTTTCAAATGCTTTCTTGAGTTTATCTCATTTGATGGCATCAAATGCAGAAGCAAAGCAAGAAGTTCCATCAGCTGTAGTTTGGCATCTGTCGGGTTCCTGAAAAGTGTATGCAAATTATGTTGATGGCATGCATCAAAACACATAGGACCCCTTACAGATTTCTGGTTTGTAGCCTTCAAGTGCTGACACTAATGAATAGAAAGAGGCAAGCAAACGGATCACGTGACTGGAGCAGCTCTCCTATGAGGAAAGGTTCAATGTTGAGGCAATTTTTTCCATCTAGGAAAAAAAATATGAGGGAAGACATGACTGTGGCATCCAAAATTATGCATGCTGTGAAGAAAGTGAATAAACTTCCCCCAGCTATTCTAGGCTGCATCAACAGAAATATAGTGTCCAGATCAAGGAAATCATAGAATCTTAGAGGTGGAAGGTCCACCAAATGAAGCTGAATAATGGCAGATTGAGGCCAGACGAAGGGACACACTGTGCCCCACAGCATATAATTAAACAATGGAATTTGAAGCACAAGATACCTAATGTCACAAAACAGGTAGCTTTCCTCATTTTTATACCTTTTCTGTACAATGAGAAATCAAAAATAATGGTCATGGAAAGGTATAAATGTCTATATAGACACACACACAAAACGGCCAACTGACATATCTTTAAACGGGGAGTAGACAAATTCACAGAGGATATAGCAATGACTCTTAGTCGTGATGTGGGCTAAAGGCAAACTCCAAGACTGGAGAAAGCCAGCCTCTGAATACCAGTTGCGGAAGAAACACAAGTAGGAAAGTAATATTGAGTTCATCATCATGTCTTGCTCACAGGTTTCTCACAGGCAGGTGAGAGAACAGAATACTGGCCTAAATGGGCCTTTGGCCTGATCCAGTCCAGCAGGGATCTGCTTAAGTTCTTATAATGAAGTTTCATTTAACCAAATCACAAAAGCGGTAGGGCAGAAATGGCCACTGCTCATTGCCACACATTGATTCACTTAAATATATAAAAATATAAAAACCGCCATTGCCTAACGTTGAGACAGAGCTGATGAAAAGGAGAAGAAAACTTACCACCTATTCACCACAACCTAAGTTTGGAGGAAGGGAAGGTAGGAAACACCAAGAAAATCAGAAATTACAGGTAAAGGAGTGTGCTGTTGACATAAGATTATATTGTCATGAAGCTATGTAAGGAGCATACTATGAACCTAGATTTCCCAGTACTGCCATTTGAGTCGAATAGGGTTTTAGCTGTATCGCTCAGGTGTATGTTACACTCAGTACTAGATTGTTAGGAAAGTGTCGGGAGTGTGCAAAGACCTTGCTAGATACGGTTCTTTTGCTGACTGTCTCTTCTGTTGACAGCGTATGCCCTCAGTTTCATTTCAATGCAAAGGAAGCTTTGCAGTTGTCAGGCACAAGGAATTGCAGCAAAAGGGAGGAAATATTTGCAACTCATAAACAGAGAAAATAGTCCCATGCAATGTGGCACAAAGAACCAGCTGCACACATGTAAGATGGGGGGACAGGTGGATTGCTAGTAGCACATGTTTAAAGGATCTAGGGGGTCTTAGGAGACCACAAACTGAACCTAAGTCAACTGCATGATGTAGCAGCAAAAAAAAAAAAAAAAGGCTAGAGTTGTTTCGGCAGTGGAACAGATTCCCAGGAGAGGTAGTGGACTCTCCTTCCTTGGAGGTTTTTAAAGTAGAGCTTGGCTGGCCATCTGTCATGTGTGATCTATTTAAGATTCCTGCGTTGCAGGGGGTTGGACTAGATGACCCTCGGGATCCCTTCCAACTTTACAGTTCTGCGATTCAACAGCAAAATGCTGTAAAACTGGTTTTTTTTTCTTTTAAGCAGGCACTAAGAAGCCTAAGCTTCTCTAAGGCAATATAAGTAGCCACTATGTTCCACGTGTTAAGTGGCTTTTCCCCTGAGCAACAGTAACCAGAGTGTTATTTCATCTGCATATATATTTTCACATGCCTATTCGGCCAGATGATAAAGTGACTTGAAACTGGCATGTACAATACAGCCATCCTTTCCCAAGGGGTAAAGTCCCATTTATGCTGTCTCACTGCCACCTCTGACAGAAGTTTTTTTTAGGTTTCTAGAGCGCCACAAAAACCAGCAACATGAGTTTTGCGTGCCACAAGCAAACCTCCTAAATGTATTTCCACGCCACAGAGGATATTTTTCATACGCTGTTTTCCAAGTGAGAGCAATCCCAGCTCTGACTTCAAGAGTCTTTCCCCATCAATTGTACTCAAATGCTGCAGAAGAACATCTACCCAACCTCACACCTACAGGTGCCTTCGCTGTGGCGAAATACTTCTTTTTTCATTACTCAAAGTGAACTATGTTGTTGGTGAGGAAACATGGTCCACAATCTTCCTCTGCCAATTGTGGGAAATGCCTCCCCATCTCACACCATAGCTGTCAACGTTTCCCTTTTCTTGTGAGGAATCCTATTCGGAATAAGGGACTTTCCCTTAAGAAAAGGAAAACGTTGACAGCTATGTCTCACACGAATCTTCCTTTACTGTATCACATACATTAAGTCCTTTAAAATCAATGCAATGGGTGGAAGAAGAAGCAGATTTTGGCTAAACTATAGGAGAAATGTCCTCAGGGCTTACTGTGTTTTGACAGTGGGACAGACTGCCTCCGAGAATAGTGGGCTCTCTTTCAACGGAGATATTTAAGCAGACGCTGGATGGTCATCTCTTGGAAATGCTGTGGTTGCATCCTGTATGGCAGATCCAGCATTGATAAGGAAGTTGGATTTTCTAGCTTTATGATTCTAAACAATAACGCTCAGACCAGCAGGACCTTCCTCCAAATGCCCTATCAGTTTTGTGAGTCTTCCAGTTTAGTTTCTCAATAGTTAGTTAGTTTTTGGGAGGCAGCACATGCCCTTCTTTGAAATTCTAAGAAACCACCTCCTTTAAAAAATATCTTTTTTTGCTTCTACAGAAATATTACCTGCACTGCAACAAAACTGTCCCTATACTACTGGGGAACAGAATACTGGTTCTATGCTGCTGGATCGGGGCTGCCAGTTATTATAGTGCTAAAAATAAAAAATAATAAAAATTTAAGTATGTTTGTTGTTTGGGGCTTTTTATGGGCATCTGGAAAGGATCCAAATTGTGAACCAAGGTTATAGCATGTCTAGACTTCAAAGGCTTCTTCTTGAGCTGCTGAAAAGGTTAAAACAATTTTCCTAGCGAAACCGAGTGTGGGTTGTGAAAGACCCATATTAATGAAGAAAATTTCCCCCTAGGGCTGCTCGTTTAGTATCACCAAAAGTCATCAAGTTTCAGTTTGAGTTATTTGTATTTATTTGTAAAAAACAAAGATTAAAGCGGCAGAACAAAAACAAAAACCTCATCCTGAATTTTCTGTTCAACAACCGACTTATTTCAAGAGACAAAATGTATTGTATACTTTGTTCACAGGTAACTCTTTTGCCCACACTAAGAGAGGATGACAAAAGGCTGTGTTCTTGCCTCCGGGCTGCGATGTGTAGGAAAAATTATTCTGAGCACGGCTCATGAATCACACCGAGGATTTTCCCTGCCTTTGCACTACTGTGGAAACATGCATTTAAATGCAGCAAATTCATCATGCCAGTGGCTTCCCCCTCCTTTTAATCGCTGGTTCTTCCTTTTAGTTTTACCACAGATGGGGCAAGGCAGGCAGACACTCCACAGTAAATGTCAGATAATTAAATTTATAAGCTGCAATCATAGCTACAAACGCAATCAAAAATTCAAAAGCTGAATAAAGCTTTGATTTAAATCAGCCTCACAGAACAGGAAAGGATCCTTCATTTTAAGTACAGATGGTTTCAAAGCAATTTTAGCATAGGGCAGCCGAGAGATTTTTGAATTGTGAGCATACAGGCAGCAGAAGCAGTTCTGTCAGTGGGGTTATCTAAAAGATTTCTCATCAAGGTAATTCATCAAACATCATCTAAATACTGCAGACTCTTTTCAGAGGTTAGCTACATAGTGAAATAGAGTAAAACATGCAAACACACACACACACACACACACACACACACACACGTGTGTCTCCAGTGGTCTTTCAGCTTTATATTTGTTTTTGTACTTCTTGGTGTTGTTGGCTGCTGTTATCAGTTCTATCTGCAATTTGTGGTCAGTTCTCTCATGCTTTAAGTAGACATTTTGTTCCTGAACTTCTTATAACACTTAAGGTATTGTACAGTACACCCAGTTTGTGGAAAGCCACAACTTTTATGTATGCCTGCGCAAGTGTGTGAGAGAGAAATATTCTTTAAGCCAAGAACTAAATATTTTTACCAATCTCTAAATGCTGCAGAGAGTAAAATACTGACGATTTTGACTAAAAAAAAATCAAATCTTTTCTTTTTAAATATTTTCTACATGTGCCACACACTCACACACACTGCAAACCAGGCACACAGTATTTTTCATGATTAACAAGATTTTTTAAAACTTCATACAATCTGAATTACTGTTAATATAATTGCTAGCAGTTTGCGATCTTGAATAAAAGCACTTTAAATCATTAGACAAATATAAGCCCAATTAAATTACTAGACAAATACAAACCCAAATTTTAAGTCTTTTAATATTTTCCATGGGGGTAGGAGGAACAAGGATACTGTAAAGAAGAATAGTTCTGCCAAGCAGAAAAGAATGTAAGTTCCTTCAAAGCAAAACAGAAGTCAAACAAATCAGATATGAAACAGTTTCTCTGATTTTGCCACATGCGGCAACCAAGTTAAATTGCCGTTTAAAAAACGGTGAGTTACTTTTTTGGCTTTGCTACACTAAACTGTATGTAACTCAACAAACAAACCCCTTTTCATTTGTTTCAAAAACAACTGCCACCCAACAATGCTGAGAAAATAAGGAGACAACAGAGTCATGAAATAAAAGCACCTACTGCGAATACTCAATTCCCAGTTAGGCAATATCTGAAGCAATAATTTAAGAAGTATTCTCAGCTTTTTAAAGCAGTTGTATCTCCCACGCTTTCTTTCCTGCGAGTCAAGAGACACAATGACACATTCTGAAACCATTCACTAAAGCTCCCTTTTCTGCAAATACCTATGAAAGTCAAAATTGAATTAAACCGATTCTGAAAGATTCAAAACAGAGTTCTAAAGTGGGTGCACTTAAAATACAACAGCACAACACACACGGAAAGCACAGCATTTAAGCCGGCTTTCTTTCATTCTCAAGTAAGAATTGTATGGTACGGTGGTGAAAATGTCTCATGGCCTTTTAATATTTAGGCAATTCTTAACATTTCACACAAAAATACCTTAGGAAGGATACCAGTATTTCCTGTTGAATTTGACCTATTTTTGGATCAAAGACCCCACTGTAATTAGTATTTCTTTGTCTAGTTTATTATTTATCGTGCCATTTATTTTTAAGGCATTTTCCTGGTTATCATTTGGTGTGCAAAATCCCTCCCAGTAAATATATTTCATGTAGTAATTGACAAATCTCAAAGGTATAGTGTTAATTCCTTCTCCTTTTTTTTTATAAAATTACCAGCCTTCTGTCTAATTGAAACAGAATAGATGTCAGACTTTGGCTGCAATCCTTTATATGCATTTTGATGACTAAGCCTGATTGACTCCATGCAAAGCCCACCAGTGTCTCAAAAACAAACAAATAAAACTTAGGACAAGCCATCTAAAATGTAACCCAACTCTTCCATCATTCCTCTGCATATTCCTTGCTATTATCAGCCATCTTTTAACCTGAACTTACTTTTCTGTTGCCACTAAGCCAAAGAATAAACAGAACCACCTATTTACAATTCAGTCCTCTTCATATAATCAAAGAAACAACTTATAACAAAAATGAGATACATACAATGGGCTGTTAAAAGTACTACTGGCAAAGGACATTAACAAAATCATAAAATGAACACCATTTATTGTTGCGGTTAAATGTATAATTTCAAAATGAAAGTTAGTAAGGGTTAGTAATTCATTACTATTTTTTAAAATACCACATAGCGTGTACCTCCCTAAAATGACTTTCACAACTGCCGTCACGTTTTCAGCAGCTGCTAAATTATATACTGCGGATTATTACATCCTCAACTTTTGACTCATTTGTTTCTTGAAATATTTCCTTTGTCTGCGTACGATTTACTGTAACTCATCTTTGCCAAGAACAAAACTCAAAACGACTTCACAGAGGGTGATCTCGCATGCTGTGATTTGTATTTGCCGTTCAGTCTGTTTGCAAGAGTCCAGAAACACTGAATATATTTCAGTTTTGTGGAAATGGCAAAACTTGACAATGCCATAAGAGCTGAATAATAGCTAATAAAGACAGATTAGTTATCAAGCACAACACCTATGGATATTCAGAATATGCTTCCTCTTTGCTAATACATTTAGGGATATGCCAGATTCAGAATACTGCTAGAAAACAAAATTATTAAATACTAACTGTTAACATAACAATTTAGAAAGTATGCAAAGGCCCAAGATTCCTGACAACTTGTTTATTATTCTCTCTCTCTCTCTCTCTCTCTCTCTCTCTCACACACACACACACACACACACAAAATAATTACAATAATATAGGATTGTCACCTAATTTGCAGAAATCTTAGTCATGAATTTTAGTTTCAACTGATTTATTCAATTGGTTTACTAAACATGGCTAAAAGCAATAGCTTGGGAGGGAAAAAGCTGATTTCTTTATTTTTAGATTGGGGTAGGCAACCTAAGGGCCGGATCCGGCCCAATCACCTTCTCAATCCGGCCCGCAGACGGTCCGGGAATCAGCGTGTTTTTACATGAGTAGAATGTGTGCTTTTATTTAAAATGCATCTCTGGGTTCTTTGCGGGGCATAGGAATTTGTTCATTCCCCCCCCCCAAAAAAAATATAGTCCGGCCCCCCACGAGGTCTGAAGGACAATGGACCAGCCCCCTGCTGAAAAAGGTTGCTGACCCCTGTTTTAGATCATGCACATGTGTGTTGTAGCTGGCATCATTTAGAGGGGCCATTCTCCACTAAGAGACAGGGAAGGGGAATAAATTGTAAGATTTTGTAATTGTTTTTGGTTTGTTCATTTAAATACAAGTTGATAAAAAACCACTGTTGGCAATCACCATCTTAGAAGCACCATCCTCTACCAAGGCTTCAGACTCACTAGGCCTCTAGTGGCGGCTGCATCCTATGAGCAGAATCCCATTGGTAGTGTGGCAGTGGCCCAAAGGGCCACAATAAATGTGATAATGTGTACCCCTGTAAATCCTTGAGTGTGCTTCTAATAGAGAAGTTATGGTAGCCTGTTACTGATTTTGCAAGTTGCCGCCCCCCCAATGGGTCAGAAATACTGCTAATATGTGAATCACAAAGATACAGCTCAACGCTGGAACATAAGTTGCTACGTTGTGCAAATGGCGACACGTAACATAGGTTCCCAATATGCACACTAACACAATTAATAGAACACGATGGGAATCAGAACTTAATCAGAAGAAATTGCCAATGCTTATTGCGCATGTGTATTAAACATGAAATGAGGTAATGGTGTATACGATTGGTGAAAATTGAAATGCTTTGTTTGAAATTTTATAAATACCACTGCCTGGACCACCGAGCGGGGTTGCAGTTTTGCAGAACGATCCGACTGTAACCTATTGCTTTGCAATAAACAACGTTGGACTTCTAACTCCTCACGTTTCTGAGTTTTATTGGCGTAAACTCAGGAGATAAGCTGTTTTATGGCCCACAACAGTAGGATGCTGTTCCTACCCGCCATTCCCACCAGCAAAGAGGTGGAAGTGACTTTCACTAATTCCCTCCTCCCCCTTCCATCTTGGCCCCCAAAACCAAAAGATCTGCCCATTGGGGCTGGGAACGCAGCATGGGAAATGGTGAATTGGTAATAAATGGTTCCCTTCTCCCGACAGCAGGATCCTCTGTGCTGGATCTCAGTTTCATCTGTGAACAGAAGGAGCTCTTCCATCTACAGGTGCCTAGTTAGGATCCAAGCCAGAGAGAAGGAATGCCTTTTCTTAAAAAAATGATGCTTACCACCAACTCTATAGTTTGTTATGTAATAAGACCTGCACTCAAAGTAATTTTTTTTTTTTTTAAGAAAAGAAAATCTGGCGCACAAATTAATCGAGGCCACTTTTCGGTGATTAAAACCTTTGTTTAATCAATTAACCAACTGATCCATTAAACGCTGCGGCACTGCAAAAAATCTAAACAGGCAACAGGAGATCTAATTTGTTCACAGTGGAATAATGGCATCCCTGCAGGTACAATATGTAAAGATTAAATTGAAGAAAGGTTAAATGCAATAGCAGCAACATCTATGCCACTCTTCTAGAGTTAAGATGAAACAATGAACAAAAAGCATCTGCTTTGATCTTTAATGTGCTTGAAACAGTTGTGTCTGAAGCAGAGAAACGGATGAATCAACAACTCTACCTGCAGTTCAACTATATGTTTGCAGTCTGATCCCATGCATGCTTACTTGCTAGTAATGCCTACTTAATTTAGTGAGGTTTATTCTTAAGTAAGCATGCAGAAGACTGCACACTTACGCTGGCAACCGCCAACATTGGTTTTCTATACTGTTTCAAAGCTTGTAGGACCTGTTTGGATAAGAGATAAACAGAGCAGACAGGGCAGACAAAATAAATGTAAAGGATAAACTCTCTTAAGACACTTTCAAATCTCTTTAAAATATTGCCTCCAAAATACAGGCACAGTCATTCAGTCATTACGGGGGGGGGGGCGAGTTTCACTATACAGTAGTTCAGAAACACCCTTTTCTAAAAATGAAATCCATGTGAAGCATCAGAAAAGTCATTTCACAACGTAGAATTGATTAGTAAGCCAAATTACATTGCGACGTGTTTGCACCGGAGAGACAGAGAAAAAAACAATCTGATGTCTTGAAGTGTTTTTATTTGTACAGTACTCTTACCCACTGTACAGCAATGTACCCATTGTTACAGCAATGGGCTGTGCAGCCAATAACTCATTCCACAACACACCAGCCCTTTGAGGGAGGCCTCTTATTTGCACAGGTGTCACAGCAGCAGACGAAATGCTGATGGACCTCAGTGAGTACATGACCAAAAGCCTTTTAAAAACAAATCTAAAGCATAACATACACTGGGCCACACTGGTTTCCATCATTAGTGTGTTCATTCCCACGAATAAAAGCTGGCTAATGAAGGTTCAGAGTATCTGGCTGCTCCCTGCTTGCTGTTGACTTCCTGGTGGCGGTTCGATGTTGGTGGAATGCCCTCCGTGACTTTTGGCGGGGTGGAATTAAGCACTGCTGTTCACCCAAGCATTGGACGACAGAGATACTGGCCGTGACAACCTTGAAATTAGCAACTGTGTTGCTAAAGTGATCGATTTTCAACCTTTTGAGGTGTTTTTGATTAAGTTACATTTTTGAAAAAATTGCACTGCTGAGATGTTTTCCAGTTTAGGGTCCTTTGGGAGGAACGGTGAGGGTGGGGGTTAGAAACTTAAATAAAAAATATATGCTCCGGTTAGTGGTCAAACTTGCCAGATTTCACTAGATCTAAGCAAACAGACCTCCCACCAACCCACCAAAAATCTGAAGGAAACCTTTAAATCAGGGGTAGGCAACCTAAGTCTGTGGGCCACTCTCACTCACTTCTCAATCAGGCCCACGGACGGTCCGGGAATCAGTGTGTTTTTACATGAGTAGAATGTGTCCTTTTATTTAAAATGCATCTCTGGGTTATTTGTGGGGCACAGGAATTCGTTCACCCCCCCCCAAAAAAAATAGTCCGGCCCACCACATGGTCTTAGGGACGGTGGACCAGCCCACTGCTGAAAAAGGTTGCTGATCCCTGCTTTAAATGAAGCATGGGTAATGTACAATGCACAAAACTTGTCATGGGTATACTTATTTCGATCTATTGTGGAGCAACTGTAGACTGATGCGTAGGTTGTCAATCTTTTTCATCAAAGATAGCCGAAAACAAAACTGAGAGAAACAGCTTGTGGCTTCATAAAGGCTGAATTTACATAAACATATTTTAAAAAGGAAGAAAGGGCTCTGGGTTTGATAAGAGGTAGCACTCGCAGCATGTGCTGTAGGTATCTGACATTTAGAAGGAGCTATCATCACACATGTCAGCTTCACACACACAAAGCCTATAGATATCTTTAGATGAAACCTCACTTCAAGAGATTCGATAGTCAGACAAGCCCTTGCTGGTTTCAAATTTAGAAAAACTTCCCTATTGCCCCCACTTGAATTGAAAATAATAATTTTAAAAAAGCTACAGTACACGGAGAAATAAAATTCTGTTTAAAAGAAAAAGTGGGTTGTCAGCTGTTTCCTATTTTAAACAAATATCTAAAATACCTTTAGTCTACACCCGTGGTTCCAATAAAGACTGTTGTTTATACAAACAGCCAAGTCTCACATGATTTGTATCTGCAACTAACAATATAATGTGGCACGTGCAATGTGCACATCTTTGTGAACATTTTCTTCATGGTCTCTGACCACTTCTGGGTTTTTCAAATGAAAATCAGTTTCATGTTAAACAAATAACAACATTGGTCCAATGTTTTCAGCTTATGTTGTTCCACCCTTCCTCCACCACAACTCCCTCCCTTTTCAAAATCTGATTTTGGGTGTGTGTGTTTGTGTGTGACTTTTTTCCTATTTTCGCAAACACCTTATTGATGCATGTGACTCCTGTTTGTGGACGTTCAGAGTAACCGTCCTAATCCTTATCACCCAAGCTCACAACTGCTGAGAACGTTGAGAGCACATCTACGAAAAATGCACAATAGACTTGAGAGACTGCTTTAACCTCGCTGAGTTTGGATAGTCTCACACAGGACTGGGCCAGCACCTGGCATTATCTTAATTCTTTCTTTATTTTTGGCTCAGCATTCTGGGCTGCAGTGGGCAGCTGGATCTAGGCACCCTTTTAATTTCCAACCATTCTCCCAACTTAGCATCATTTTAGAGTACTATGGGAAATTAAAAGTGTGGCCAGGTACAACCACTTGGAGCAATGCCGTCGCAGCCAAATAACCTTGACAAGCCCACCAGAGAAGGTCCACCAGAACCGAGGACCTCTTCAAACCTGGAGCTGATCTTGGCCCCATCTCAACCTTTAATGGCCCAACTACACACAATGTTGTTGACACAATTAGCAATCCCACTGTGGATTTCTAAAAATTAAGCACCAGGGGTTCTTAGGAGGTGGGATTTAACCTGTTCCTTCCCACCTGTGATAACTGAGCACACACACATACAAACGTGCAAAATCAGCATTAGGAAAACGTTTCTACTGGTGCCCATGGGAGACACCCCCCCATTCCAATTACCATACTGAGTGGGGGAGGGGAGGTGTGCGGGTTTTCATTAATATTGTAGCTGGAAAGAGAAGGTTTAAATCTCACCACATGTTGCATTCTTCAGGACAATCACACCCCCCCCCTATTATTATTATTTTTAAATACACAGCATTAATGTAAAGTGAAGTTAGGCTCTTTGACTGATTAAGGGTACACAAGTCTTAAGAAAATTAGGACTGCAGGCCTCGACAGACTAGGCATTCTGGGTGGCTTCCCTAACCTGTGGGAAACACGCCATTTATGAATGTGACAGAGGTGAAAATAGAAGGACCTTATAAAATGTGGTGGACATGGTTTCGATACACATCCATTGCATTGTGAAGCCATTTGATGTCAGTAATGAGGAAGAAGTTCATTCTATTTTAATACCACCCTACCTAATTTGTACTTCCTGAACCAATATGCAAACTAAAATGCAGATACCCTTAGTAGTTCAGGCTTATTGGAATTTTCTGATGCAGTTCTCTCCCTCTCTCTCTCCCTCTCTCTCTCTCTCTCTCTCTTGGCAGTGCTTGCAAAAATGCACACAAAAAAGGCATGTGAACTTTCATGGATTTTTTTTTAATGAATACTTAATGCAGAAATGGGGCAAACCAAATTTAAGACTGGGAAACTGAGAAACTGAGAGAGGGCAATACTTTCAGATTTGCCCAACCCTTATTTGTGTTCAGAGCAGAATATGTGTGTTCAGAGCACTTCCACTATACTTAGAGGCCGAGATCCAGTGTTAGTCATATATTTCATTATCATTTCATTTCATTTTACAGTATTGTAAACTTCTTTAATTTTAAAATTTGTTCCCTGATTAATAGGCGGCATGCATTTAGTTGATTCATCTAACAGAATTAATCATTTCAGTGCTCCTTTCTGAAGTGCAAAGTAAGAAAGTGATTTGAAATTTCTCACATACACTCACGCATTTACCAAAATAGCTCCTCTGTGCACCTGGCAAATCCATCCATCCATCCTCTGCCCACCACTTCTGCTCCCTAGTCGTGCCCCAAGGTACAGTCCTAACTGCACTCCAGATCTCCAGAATTACTACTACTTTGAGAAGACTGGCACAAAGAAAACTAAGAGGCACATGGCTCCTTAAAGACTAATAAGTTTAACATGGTGCCATAAGCTTTTATGAACTAGAGCCCATTTCATCACATGCATGAGGGTTATTTATCCTTAGTTACAGGTATACACAGTAGCCAAAGACATGGTGGGGTAGCAGGACTCATCTGACCTCCCAACAGCTGAGTTGCTGCTGTTTACCAGCAAGAAGAGGGGGTGTGGCAGGGAGGCTGGTGTGGTGCGCACACCCCAGTGCAGCCAATTCTGCACTAATTTGCACCACGCCAACATCCCTGCTTACTCCTCCCTCTCTCCGTTCCGGTTAGCAGCAACGACTCAGCTGTCAGGTGACTCAGCAGGTGACCACCGCTACCCTCCCCGCACTATCTAGCACTGATAGAAACACAGGCTGGGAGGAGAATTGCATACAGTGAGGTCCGAGGGAAACAAAATGCAGAAAGGTATATAAGGCAACTCCCGTTTTTCGCAGGGGTTACGTTCTGGGTCATCACACGTGTCGGCAGAGCACACATAAACCCACCATGCCCCTGTTCTGCCGTCACAGCCTCTTCTGGGTCTGAAAACAGCCCGTGCACACATAGTCGTGAAATTACAGTCATTCCTCAGGTTGAATATGCTTCATGTTGAGTGCATTCGAGTTGCGCTCCGCGGCAACCCGGAAGTAACGGAGCACGTTACTTCCAGGTTTCGCCACTCGCGCATGCGCAGACCCTCAAAATGACGTCACGCGCATGCGCAGAAGCGACGAAAAGCGCCGCGCGCGTGTGCAGACGTGCTGTCGCTAGTTACGTTTGCTTCTGGATGCGAACGGGGCTCCAGAACGGATCCCGTTCGCAGCCTGAGGTACCACTGTATTTGAACACCCGCAAAACAGGAGTTGCCTGTACAATGATAATTATGCTCAAAGAAGTTACTGAAACAAAAATGAGGAAATGTATGGAGAAGTTAGGTGAACTTGGAAGGGGATGGTGACAACACTAAGGGGCAAAGCAAAGTGGTCTGAGAACTGTATGCAGCTGAGTGAATATTACTGCCCTACCTAAAATTATTGTGATTCTGTGGGTGTTACCTTTCTTTTGTGACCAATTGTTTTTTGTCTAGTGGAGAGATTCTAGAATGTTTGCTAACATATTCCCCCAAGTGTTTCCTCGCTGAATTCTAATTGCTTCAGAATGTATTCATTTCTTTTTACCTGTGTTCTGGCAATTCTTAGTGGAGCAATATGACAATTTATGTGAGACTGGAGTAGAAGTACAACCTTTGGATTCCCCCCTCCCCACATTACAATCCACAGGGGATCTCAAGAAACCCCATTCTGTCATCCACCGTGAACACTTGGTTCCTGCTTAGCGCTAACCCTTTGAAGAGGCAAATGCTGAGCTTCACATAGATTCACATGCAGCTGATTAACACGGCACTTCGGAGGTGTTTTAATGTATTCTTCTCATTAGAGCTGGTGTGTTTGGGGGTTGGTTGACTTTTCCTAAAATGTCTTATGATTTATGTAGCAGCAAATTATACAATGATAAATGCGCTGCCTCTGCAAAGAGGGGGCACATCTCCCCCACATGTATTCACTTCATTTTAATACCAAAATTCATTTTTTTATATTTTTCTTTGCTTTACTGCAGCTTCTTCCACAAGTGGTAGAAAGTTCAGCACAGCCTTTTCAGCATGCATTCGTAAATTATAATTATATCTATTACCTGTTATTATTATGACTATTATTATTTTTAAATTCATATTATCCAGCTTTCTCACCAGGACGCCCAAGGAAGCTCACAGAGCTAAACCAATACAAAACATCGTAACAGGACTGTGAATACCAAACACAATAAAAAATTCTGTAATACTAAAATCACTACAGCTAATAAAACCAATTTAGCAGCCCAGCACATAGTGATTTCAAGATCATAAATTCATGAGAGAAAAAATTAAATAACTAAAGTTTCCTGCAGAGAAGCTAGCAATGAAATCGTAGGGCAATTTAAAGGGTTGAGATGGGTAGGTGGGAACACACAGAGATATCCAAAAGCCCAATAAAATTTTATCCTTTGTTATTTGAAATTTGATCCCATGTTGGTAGATATGCATTCCATATAACACAACACATTTTTTAAAAACAAAGAAGACAGAGAGGTAGGTGCATTTTGTAGTTATCAATTTTTCTGGGTTCCCACATTAAGGTATCACTTGGACATGCTATCGCTGCAGCCTTTGTGAAATAATGCATATTCACAGATTTGCATTCAAATATCCACACATTAAGGAATGCGGGTGGCGCTGTGGGTTAAACCACAGAGCCTAGGACTTGCCGATCAGAAGGTCGGCGGTTCGAATCCCCACGACAGGGTGAGTTCCCGTTGTTCGGTCCCTGCTCCTGCCAACCTAGCAGTTCGAAAGCATGTCAAAGTGCAAGTAGATAAATAGGTACCACTCCGGCGGGAAGGTAAACGGCGTTTCCATGCGTTGCTCTGGTTCGCCAGAAGTGGCTTAGTCATGCTGGCCACATGACTTAGAAGCTGTACGCCGGCTCCCTTGGCCAGTAAAGCGAGATGAGCGCCGCAACCCCAGAGTCGGTCACGACTAGACCTAATGGTCAGGGGTCCCTTTACCTTTATCCATACATTAAAAAAACCCAGCAATTTGTTTTTCCATTTGGTTTTCAGCAAACTCTGCCTCCCAGGTTGCTTCACCTCAGACTCTGCTTCCAATTCTCATGCACATACGCAAAGGCGCAGCCATTTAATCCTATAATCCAATGAACAAACAGGTAAAAACATGCATCCCACAGGATGTGCAACGGTCCACACAAACAGTCTATTTAAAGAAGCCTAGAACATATGCATCTTAGACAGCATCTTAAAAAGCAGAGACATCACCTTGCCAACAAAGGTCCGTATAGTTAAAGCTATGGTTTTCCCTGTAGTGATGTATGGAAGTGAGAGCTGGACCATAAAGAAGGCTGATCGCCGAAGAATTGATGCTTTTGAATTATGGTGCTGGAGGAGACTCTTGAGAGTCCATGGACTGCAAGAAGATCAAACCTTTCCGTTCTTAAGGAAATCAGCCCTGAGTGCTCACTGGAAGGACAGATCCTGAAGATAGGTCTCCAGTACTTTGGCCACCTCATGAGAAGAGAAGACTCCCTGAAAAAGACCCTGATATTGGGAAAGATTGAGGGCACGAGAAGGGGATGACAGAGGACGAGATGGTTGGACAGTGTTTTCAAAGCTACCAGCATGAGTTTGACCAAACTGCGGGAGGCAGTGGAAGACAGGAGTGCCTGGCGTGCTCTGGTCCATGGGGTCACGAAGAGTCAGACACGACTAAACAACTGAACAACAACAACAACAGCAACAACAACAGAACATACGCATCCCCGTGCAAGTAAAATGCAATTGCCCTCTGAAAAGTAGGGAACGTGGACATCCTAAACAGATGGCACTAGTGATGATGCCAACACTGAGGATGGATTTCTGCGTTTCTGTTGGGGTGAATCCATTTGGTGTCTGAAACTTTGCCAACCATGCTATGCCTCCTGCGGTGTTCAACAAATCAGGTTGCTTTTTATATGCTTGGAGGGGGGGGGGGAGTCCCCAAAGGCCATTCCAGATCCAGTACCGCCTCTTTATTTGGACTAGAGTTGACTTGATCTGAAGTCCAAACAATCTAGCATGCTGTTAGGGGCCTTGGACATAACTTCAGAGGACCCTGAAAGCCAGCCAGAGCAATGGCGGGGAGACAACTTTATCGAACACCCTCATTGTGGGATTTACAATAAGCTAAATCACTTAAGTGGTTTTAGGTGCTAAGAAGACACTATCAATGCTTTTGTCAATCACACATTGTTCTCACAACTGGTTAGATTAACCCTAGGTTGTTCAAAATAGCAAAATCTGTTTGCTTTTCAGTGCTTCAAGGTTATGACTTTTTGTATTTATAATCCAAAGATTTTCCCCCTCCCCCAGGGCAGATTACCAACAGAGTTTCTGGAGCTTTGAAAATAAAATAAAAAACTGGTTCTCAACACAGTACAGAAAATGACAGGAGACAATCCCTCAAGAGGACCTAAAACTACTATTATGTGCATATTAAAAACAGAAGTAGAAAATGTGGATGTGCAATTAATTGCCAGTCTGTTAACAAGCTCAACTTTGCTCAACTTTGGAAAGAAAAAAGAATTCCAGTATTAAAAGAGTTGCTGCAGAAGATACGAGAAATTTCTTTAATGGCTAAATTGACATATCAGAGACAGAATAATTAACAAGGGGAGTTTTAGAAAGAGGGGCTTTTTTATTAACTTCTGGAATAATAAAATCATCCATATTAATTTGCATCTTCCTGTATTCTTTAATATATTCACCTTCTTTAATATAACCACAGTTTTTAATATAGTGTCAATTTTAGTTCCTTTCTCCGTATTTGTTAAAAGATAATAAGTAGAGGTGAAAGAGGTAAATAATGGCTGTGATGAAACATTTACAATATTGGAACCCACACATGCAGAAAACCAGAAGCTGTTTTCTTTTCTCCTTTTTTCAATTATTATTATAATTATTATATTATATATATTATATATATATATTTATTAAAGATTTCTTAGTTTACAAAAATACGTGCATTGTCTCTTTTTTCAAGTTTTGTTTTCTAAAGATCAGTCACATTTATTGTGAGACATTAGTGTTGCATGCAGTATAAGGTTGGGAAGAAAAAAGTGGTTTGGGGATAGAAACTATTTTGGAGGTGGTCCAGGTTTTAGGAATGGGGTCCCCTTTTTATGATGCCGTTAAATAGGTGGGTCATGTAAGGCATTAGGGGTTATTTGAATTTCTTGTAGAATTCTGCTGTAAAGCCATCTGGGCCTGGGGCTTTGTCAGGATTTTGAGGACCGTATCTATTTCCTCCAGGGTGATAGAATTGTCCATGAATTCCTGTTCCTCATCCGTTAAGGTTGGTATGGTCAGTCCTGCTAGGAATATTCTGATTTTCTCCTCGGGTGGGAGGTGTAGGTTGGAGTAAAATTCTGCAAATACTGAGGTTATTTCTTTGGGGGAGAATGTTATGTTGCCGTCTTTTTTGGTGATGCAGTGTATTCTTGTTTTGAGTGATTTTTTCCTACACCTGTTGGCTAATAATCTGGAGTTTTCCCCTCCATACTCATAGAAGCGTTGTTTTGACTATGGAATGTTGATTGTTGTTCTGTTGATTTCTAGTGAGTTGAGTTCCCTCCATTTTTGTCCTGTAAGTTTAAGGAGTTTTTTAGCTCCTGTTTGTTTGTATTGTGATGAGAAGGCCATGATGTCTTGTTCTATTTTGCAAATTTTTGAGGAGGTTTGTTTTTTAAGGGATGCTTTCTCTTTTATGCAAGCTCCTCTGGTGACTGCTTTCATTGTGTCCCAAAGGAGGGGGCTTGTATCTTCTACGTCATTTTCTTTGAAGTAGTTTTGGAGAGTTTTTGTGAGACTTTCTCTTATTAGTTTATTTGTTGTTAAGATGCAACTGAAGAACCATGACAGGGTGGTTCGTGTTTCTTCTCCTATTTTAAGTGTAGCTTCTACTGGGGCTTGGTCTCTGATTTTAATGTTACCTATGTTTGCTGATTCAACCAAGGGGGTCAGGCCTTGTGTGAGCAGAATGCTATCTAGTCTAGACACTGACCAGAAGCTGTTTCTGCGCTTTAAAAACAAAACAAAAAACCCAAAGCTTTTTCAGACTGACAGATTTTAGGTGCTAGGGAGTGGCTGAGGCTCCGAAAGAGAATGAGTAAGTGGAAAGTTAGTTTCAGGTAGGTAGCTGTGTTGGTCTGACGCAGTCGAAATATATTAAAAAATGGTGCATGCTCTGGTTATCTCCCGCTTGGACTACTGCAATGCTACTTGAAGTCCTCATGAAATTTTAGCAGCGCTTTAGTGTGAATTCCTCCTGATATACACATCTTTGTATACCTAATATAGACATTTTTATAAATGAACTCCGCCCCCCCCCCTTAGATAATGGATTTTTGTAGGCTCTGTTCATTAACATAGGTACATCTTATGCTAACATATGCATCTTTGTACACACTGTTTAGCTGAATAACTACACTGCAAGATATAGGGACGTGTGAACTTTTGAACAATGCCTGTGTTTCAGTTTGTGTATTGTTTCGGATAGGGCAAATTAGGCAGGTTCACCCATAAATGCAAACTGAACCGAATTTCTCCTCCATCCTTATGCTCAGTCAATGTTATTTAAAGGAACTTTCATATGCTATGCTTCTTTTCACAGCTTCAGTGTGGTCGAATTGAAATACGTCTGCGGTAAGCAACTGGAGAGGGGAAGAACCAAGAGGTACACCTGAAAAACTCTTGCTTACATAAATGGAGCAGAGCACCCCCACTCTATATTAATTCAGTAATGCAGTGATTCCTACGTAGGTAAATTGTAAAGGTAAAGGACCCCTGGATGGTTAAACCCAGTCAAAGGCGACTATGGGGTTGCAGTGCTCTTCTTGCTTTCAGGCCGAGAGGGCCGGTGTTTGTCCACAAACAGCTTTGTGGGTCATGTGGCCAGCAGGACTAAACCACTTCTTGCGCAACAGAACACTGTGATGGAAACCAGAGCACACGGAAACGCTGTTTACATTCTTGTCGCAGTGGTACCTATTTATCTACTTGCACTGGCATGTTTTCAAACTGCTAGGTTGGCAGGAGCTGGGACAGAGCAACGGGAGCTCACCCCATCGTGGAGATTCGAACCACCAACTTTCCGATCAGCAAGCCCAAGAGGCTCAGTGGTTTAGTCCACAGCGCCACCCGCATCCCTGATTCCTGTGTACTAGCACTCGGCTCTATTAACTGAGATCTCTTCTGTTGTTGTTGTTGTTGTTGTTGTTATAATATACCGTCCTATACCTGCAGGTGTCAGGGTGGTTCACTGGATAAAATCAGAATATAAAACCACAAAATAAGTAATAAAACAAAAACAACCCAATAACCCACCCATCCCTACACATTTTAAAAAGGAATAGGATGTCAATCAACCAAAGGCCTGGTTAAAGAGGAACGCTTTTGTCTTGCACCCAAAGGTGTATAATGAAGGCACCAGGGAAACCTCCCTGGGGAGAGCATTCCACAGACAAGGAGCCACTGCAGAAAAGGCCCTGTTCTCGTGTTGCCACCCTCCAGACCTCTCATTAAAGAGGCTTTCTCCTGTCAGCAAGCTGTGACTGACAATCTTCTACATGTCTTCTATTCATAAGTAAGCCCTACTGAGCTTAATGGGATTTACCCTCAGGTAAGTATGCATACAGGATTGCAGCCTAAGTGCCACATAAAGACAACCAAGCTTCAATTACCAGCTTGACAGAGAAGTGTTACTAGAAGATATTATCAAAAGCATAAGCAAAGGAAAGACTGTGTTGCTTCCCCACCCACCTATAATCTTTTAAACTCTTATATAAACTGCTCAGGGCCTTTGGGATGGAGCAGAATATGAATAAAACAAATTAATAAAATGTACAGGCTTAAGAAAATATACTTATGTGTTCAAGGCCAAAGGTTCAGGCTATCAGCATGCAGAACTAATGGCACATGAGTTTTTTAAGTGACTCCCTGGGTGGAAGAACCAGATTTATTTTTATTAATTTATTGTGTTGTTTTTTTACAGGAAGGGTAATGTTCAGCAAAATCACCCAAGCCTATAATTTGGCAGCCAAATGCTTCTTTTACATTTTACTGCCCTCCCGCTCTTAATTCTGATTGCACCTTAATCCTGAGTACTGGTACATCTAATGTGAATTCATGTTATGTGTGAAAGTATAATCCATGGGATCAATAAGCAGTCAGTTACATGTTATCTACTGGATAGGAATTAAGACTGCATTTGTTGTGGATGGTTTAGACCAGGATACAAATGGGCCCCTCCAGACTCTCAGTATTTTGTAGCAGGGATTCAGGCGTATAACAGGAGACTTAGGTCTGTGCAGATAAAGTGGATTAAAGCACTCTGTCACCTCAGCACAACAAACCCACTTTACAAAAGGGCCTGAATTTTTGAGGTTAGGAAAGTGACAGGGAAACACGCTGAAAAGTGTGCGAGGAATGAAGGATTAACAGGAAGATGATAAATACACTGCAAACAAATAAACGTGAATGCAGAATGTGCATTGCTGTGTAACCTCCCTGCAAGCAAATCAGAAGAAATGGTTAATAAAGACTGGATCTAACCTAACCTCCACAGAAACTTTGTGCAAACAAATCAGGATGAATGCTAGATAAACAGGTTGCCTGAAGGAGCGCAGCGACTATCACTAGATTACATTTTAGCACTCTCCTCTCCTCTTATATTCTGTTTCTGAGGTTGCTTCCAGACAACACATTTATCGAGCATTTCTTCTTATTTGTTTGTGGGGAGGTTAGGCAACATTGTGTCAAGCAGGTGCTGTCCCAAACTTTCCAGTGCAGTTCTCTATCAGTTTCCTTATCATAAAACGTCCCATCTTTAAGGGGAAGCAGGTTTTTTGTTCAAGAGCTGCAAAATCCCACCCCCAAACAGCAACTGTCTAGAAGAGCCCTGAATTACAGTACATATTTCACATTTCAGAGACGCACAGCACTGTTTATATTAATTAGATCTTCCTTTATGCATTATAAAAAACCCAGTGGTTTCTTTTAGTAACCCCCACTCATTTCCTTTTTAGTCATTATGAATCTGTTTACATTGTCCTGCATACTGACAAGCGAACACACAAAGCCTTCATGACATCGCTTAGGACAGTTAAATGCTGCCTCTGCTTTAGCATAAGCAATGTGTAAAGCATCTTCCATTAACAGGGTCAGTGATTTAGCATATTCAGGAAGTTCTATTTCCCAAAGTAAACAGAAATGAGCCTACTGTCTTTACAGGCCTGTCTTGAATTTTAAAATCCCAATGCATGCAAGGTAAGAAAAGCCCTTGTAATGGTGAAACAACAACAACAACAACAACAACAACAACAACAACAACATAATAATAATAATAATTTATTATTATTTATACCCCGCCCATCTGGCTGGGCTTCCCCAGCCACTCTGGGCGGCTTCCAAAAGAATATTAAAATACTGTGATACATCAAACATTAAAAGCTTCCCTAAACAGGGCTGCCTTCAGATGTCTTCTAAAAGTCTGGTAGTTGTTGACATCTGGTGGGAGGGCGTTCCACAGGGAGGGCGCCACTACCGAGAAGGCCCTCTGCCTGGTTCCCTGTAACTTGGCTTCTCGCAGTGAGGGAACCGCCAGAAGGCCCTCAGTGCTGGACTTCAGTGTCCGGGTAGAACGATGGGGGTGGAGACGCTCCTTCAGGTATACTGGACCGAGGCCATTTAGGGCTTTAAAGGTCAGCACCAACACTTTGAATTGTGCTCGGAAACGTACTGGGAGCCAATGTAGGTCTTTCAAGACCGGTGTTATATGGTATCGGCGGCCGCTCCCAGTCACCAGTCTGGCTGCTGCGTTCTGGATTAGTTGTAGTTTCCAGGTCACCTTCAAAGGTAGCCCCACATACAGCGCATTGCAGTAGTCCAAGCGGGAGATAACCAGAGCATGCACCACTCTGGCGAGGCAGTCCGCAGACAGATAGGGTCTCAGCCTGCGTACCAGATGGAGCTGGTACACAGCTGCCCTGGACACGGATTTGACCTGTGCCTCCATGGACAGCTGTGAGTCCAAAATGACTCCCAGGCTGTGCACCTGGTCCTTCAGGGGCACAGTTACCCCATTCAGGACCAGGGAATCCTCCACACCTGCCCGCCTCCTGTCCCCCAGAAACAGTACTTCTGTCTTGTCAGGATTCAATCTCAATCTGTTACAATAAAATACATCGCTTATATTAAATTTTAGCAGTTTTGTCAAAATGGTAATCTAATGCTCCCTTCTGCAAACAGACTGCTGCATTGCAATTCGGAGTTTTTTCATTAAATTCACCGATGAATCAGCAGCTGAAGCAATCTGTGGCTTCTCTGACCCATTATGCCCTGCCCCTCACTCCTTTCTGTTTACAGGTGAAAGCAAGTCTGGACTGGGGTTGGCAGTGGGTAAGGGAAATGTGTGTGGGGAAAACCACAGCTTCCTTATCTCCCAGTTCAGCTTCTAATTTAAAGGTATATGGGAAATCTCTGCACAAACTTTGTATTTCATCCGTGCCATAGCTGCCTTAAAAGTTTTTGCTATAAAGCAAATGACCTATACTCTTTCCAGAAAGTGAAGCGCTTCTGAAAATGCACACACCACATAACCTCATACTAGCTGTATTGCACATCCACACCACAAAACAAAGGGCAACAGTTATAATAACATCTGCCAAAAAATACTCTGACCACACAGTTGTTTTGTGCCAGGCATAGAGGCACAAGTACAAAAACTGCCCTATATGAAAAGTTGACAGTAAGACAAAGTGACAGAAAATAGTACTCCCAGCACGATATTTAAAATACAGTACACTAAAAATTTACATACATGGTAGTATTTACAACAATCAATCTAGATTGTTTGGAGCTCTGTTGTTTGGAACAACAAAAGACACACATTAGCAGTAATTATTATTGCAGTCAGTATTATGCATATCTAAATCTATGGGTTTATCCACACTCACATTTCCTCCGCTCTTTCCAGGCACAGGTCTGTATTTTAAATGTCCATGTCTTGAATGCCTTCCCAGCTCCTCCAACCTCGCACCCCCGCCAGAGCTTTCCCTGTGAAAGCCAGTTCTTTAAAGTTCAATCGGAGCAAACAGCAATATGCGGAAAACCCAAATAAACATTTGCTCCTATTCGGTGCCAAAGAATGGGTTTTTGCAGGGAAAGATCTGCAGCAAAAGAAAAAAAAAAGCAAATACTTGGACATGGAGCTTTAGAGTGCAGACTTGTGCCTGGTAAGAAAGGGGCAAACTGTAAGTGTGGATAAGTGTGGGTTTTAAAGGTCCTGCTATCAAGTTTTTTTAAGAAATAAAATTTGGATCCTTGATTGTTACGAAAACAAACACATGTCTGCCCTAGGGCAGCTCTAGATCTTTCCAATTGAATTTACAACATAATACTGTTAAAATAATGTTAATGTTAAAAGAAAGGTGTCAAGGACTGTATTCTTGGTAGATACTTAACATTTAATTTGCATTTTACTTTATGGGCTCCTCAAATGGGCCAGAGAGATGTAGCAGTCAGGTTCCTGATGCAGAACAAAAGCCAAACCACACAATGAGGCAATACTGTTGTTGGGAGTGTTGCTTTTCAAGTTAGAGAGAACTCTCTTTCAGGTACAAATGTCTGCACACACCCACACAAATTCAAAGGCATTACACGCCAAAGCTAATGATAAGTTGCTAATGCTAAAACCACTTTAAAATTATTTAAAGCAATGAAATAGGAAAATAGGAACAATGTTCACTAGATAACAGCATCTTGAATTTTCCTCCTTCAGGAAGCCTGTGGATATTCTGTGCTCTTGCTGTAGGGTTCACATTACGTAAACCACCAGGAAAAAGGTAGCAGAAAACTTCAAAAAAGATGTGATTTTTTAAAAAGAATTATTGTAATGAGCAGCAGAGTAGGGTCGAGTTTTGAGATCAGAGCGCCTGTACTTTAAAAGAAGCACCCTCTTTCTACAGCCAGACCTCACAGTGTTTCAAAATTATTATTTTGTTGCATCTCTGAGGCTTTTCAATCTACGAAGCATTTTACAGTTTTGCTGTTGTTGTTTTATGCTATTTACGTACAATTTAGCATCACCCTACCATGTGTTACTCTGGAAGAAAACTTTGTAAACTATTGTAGCTTTTTTTTACTAGGGTGCAAAATGTGATTGGGTCCTTGAGTGGTCTACACGGGTGTATATGCCACAACAAGCATGTTGTGGGCAAGGTAAATGATCTAGACTTGTGGGTGAGCAGTGAGGTAACCACATTTGCTGATGACACCGAATCGCTCACAGAGCGGTTAAAACAAAAAGGAATTGTGGGCTGCTCCGAAAAGGATCTCTCCAAACAGGGTGAATAGACAGTAAAATGGAAATGCATGATGTAAACAAGTGCAAATCGATGCACATTTGGGAGGGGAATCCTAACTTAAAATATATGCAAATAGAATTTGAACTAGGAATGACTGACCAGGAACCAGACCTTGGAGTCACAGAGGCTAGCTCAATTAAGATGCTGACCCATGCTAGGAAATTTGCCTTTTTCACAAAATCTTGAGGAAAGGGATTGAAAAAAGAACTGCCAATATTGCAGAGCTGAAATAAGTTCAGGAGGACACAGAAAACGACCAAGGGGATGAAATAATCCCCTTGCAGCTTTTAGTAAGAAGAGATATGATAGAAGGGTGTGAAATTATGTATGGTGCGTCGATAACAGGGAAACATGGGTGTAGTCAGGATTTTTGTTAGAGAAGGCAAGACTCGGTGGACTTTTGTTAGGGCGTGCTGAACCGAAGTGATTGGTCAGTTAGTTAAGTATTTCTATTGTTTTACTTTCCATTCTATTTATTTTCTATTTCCGTTCTATTTGTTTTATTTCCATTCTTAAGGAAATCAGCCGTGAGTGCTCACTGGAAGGACAGATCCTGAAGCTGAGGCTCCAATACTTTGGCCACCTCATGAGAAGAGAAGACTCCCTGGAATAGACCCTGATGTTGGGAAAGATGGAGGGCACAAGGAGAAGGGGGCGACAGAGGACGAGATGGTTGGACAGTGTTCTCGAAGCTACCAGAATGAGTTTGACCCAACTGTGGGAGGCAGTGGAAGACAGGAGTGCCTGGCGTGGTCTGGTCCATGGGGATACAAAGAGTCGGACAAGGCTAAACAACAACAACAACTGTTTTACTTGATCTAGCTACACCCGGCTACACCCATGTAGGGAAACTGTTTATACCTTTCTCACAATGCTAGAGCACAGGGGCAAACATGGGAGCTAAATGTTGAGAGTCAGGACATGAAATTCACTACCCCAAGCTGAAGTGATGGGCAACAACTTGGATGGCTGTAAAAGAGTAACAGACAAATTCTCAGAGGATATAAATGGCTACCAGTCATGACAACCTAGGTCAAAGGTAGTATGCCTCTGTATGCTTGTTGCTGGGAATCACAAGTGCACTGCGGCACTTACTTCTGCGCGATTTCAGCAGGGCCTACTACTGTTGTGGTGGGGTCCTCAGCCCTGGAGGATGGTGCGAAATAAATGCATGTAGGTTAACGTCTAAATGCATGCTTTAATCAATGCTATTTAATTCCCTTAATAAAATGAAAGCTAGCTTTTTATCCTAGGTTCTTTATACTTCTTGTCAGCACAGTGGAAGTCAGGACCAAGTTTATATCTTACTGAGAAATTGAACAGAATTTTGCTTGGACGTTTTCCCTTAAATATGCATAAATAAAAATGCTTACTGGGTGTCAGGGAACTGCCATCGGAAGGAAGGGAGGTGAAAGGACTCAGACAGGTTGGAAGAGACTCAGCAGCTGAAGAGGGAACCAGCAAGGGGAGAGAAGCTGAACTGAGGGAGGTGAAAGGGCTCAGACAGGTTGGAAGAGACTCAGCAGCTGAAGAGGAAACCAGCAGGGGAGAGAAGCTGAACTGAGGGAAAGGGAGCTGGGGGATGGCTCAGAGAGACTTCCAGCGAAAACAGTGGTGAGGTTTCCGGACCTCCTGTAGGGACACCCACTCCTCGCCGGAAACTGTCACGCAGAGAGTCCAGAAGACGTGTTTCCGTTAAGGAGCTTTTATGTTGGAAGCGATTACGAAAGCAACCACTGTCGGAATCTTCTAGTGACTAGAGGAGCCATGTCAGAGGGGCTCCGTCACAGACAGAGGTTTGTGGACTTGAACAAACTCTGAGGGAATACGATTTTATGCACAAGCAGCTCATCTTCCCATCACAGCATTCCGACAGTCTTTGAACGCAGCTTGTGCAGGAGAAGGCATAATGAGCAACCCAGCAGGAACCGGAGAAGCAGGGGCTGGAGCGGGTCCAAGCCTGGAAGAAAGGTACCGGGTGTTGGAGGTCCAGCTGGCGCTGCAGACGGCGAGGCTGGAGGAGAGGAGGGCTCAAGATGCAGACAAAGGGAGAAAGCCACCCAGCTCGCCAGAAAGGTACCAGGATTGGTGCAGAAATTTGGGGGGGAGCCCAAAGACTATCATAGCTTTCGGACAGAAATGCAATATGCCCTCAATCTGCAGTTTGATGATTTCCCTGATGAGGAATCACGAGTGGCTTTGTGATTGGGCATCTTGAAAAGGGGCGAGAGACTGGGTTAGACCCCTGATGGCAGCGCATAGTGACGTCCTAAAGGACACGATGAAGTTCTTTCGCGCCATGGATCTGATGTTTTCCAGCGATATTGAAAAGGGAGTGGTGCGCAGACAGTTAATGGCTTGCAAACAGGGGAGCCGATCTGTACGTGAGTACTGGACTGAGTTCACCATGCTGATACACAGATTGGGGTGGGACTTATCGGCGGAACCCATTCAAATGCTCTTTGAAGAAGGGCTTTCTTCGGCTGTGAAAGATGAACTTTCCCGGGCGCCCAGGGCGGAGTCTATGGACCAGCTGACCAAATCAGCGCTGGCCATAGGAGCGCGCCAGGAGGCGAGAGCACTGGAGAGGCGGGAAGGGAAAGGGGAACGTTGGAAGGAGTTCCGCATTCCAGACATTCCAGAGCCAACTTTCCCGCCGGCAGAGCCGATGGAAATCGGAACAGCGCGCGCGCGCGCAGTTTCAAAGCCCAGTGAGGGGGGAAAAAAGGAGGGAAAAGGCGCCCGGAAATGCTATCTCTGCCAACAGCCAGGGCACTTTGCCAGAGTCTGCCCCCAGAGGAAGGAATGGCAAGGGATGGTGGGAGCTGTGGAGGGAAGAGAGGACAAATACCGGAGCAACTAAAAGCCAACGCCTGGCTGCCATTGTCGGGGCACAGCAGCCAGGCCAAAGAGCAGTGAAAGTGCCCACGCCAGAACCTCCTAAACCCGCCCTAGTGATAGAAGTGACACTAGAGCTGCCAAACGGACACCCTCTAAAGATAAAGGCGCTGTTGGACTCAGGCAGCTCCTGCAATTTCATGAGCAAAGAGTTTGCAGCTGAACACCAGATACAGACGCTCCCTTTAAGCAACCCCTGCAGGTAACCACGATCGATGGCAGGGAGCTGTTGGGAGGAGAAGTCAGCTTGCAGACCGTCCCAATGATAATGAAGGTGGCAAGGCACACCGAACTAATAGCTTTTAATGTGGCCACCTTGGGAGGAGCTCCCATTATATTGGGGATGAGCTGGCTAGCGTTACATGATCCGCTGGTGGGCTGGCATCAAAGAGTGGTTTCTTTTGGGTCAGCACATTGCTTAGAACACTGCAAAGAGGGAAAGGTTTTGGCAGGGGCCCAAGCCACCCTAGCAGGGACTGAAGTAACGGAGAACGTGAAGGTACCACGACAATACGCAGATCTCCGCGACGTCTTCAGCGAAAGGGAAGCTGACCAACTACCACCGCATAGAGCCTTTGACTGTCAAATCAATTTGCTCCCTGGGGCACAGCTCCCTGTGGGCAAGCTGTACGCCATGTCAGACAGAGAGATGCAGGAGCTAAGAGAGTTCATTGACAAGAACCTGAAGAGAGGGTTCATCAGAGAGTCCAGGGCGGTGGGGGGCAGCCCAGTGTTTTTTGTGGACAAAAAAACACGAACAAGCCGAGACTGGTGTGTGACTTCAGGGCCTTAAATGCAGTGTCAGAACCAGTGGCCTTCCCGATGCCCAGGATTGACGACATTTTGACAAGGGTGCGGAAGGGAAAGATTTTCACCAAGCTGGATCTAAGGGGCGTACAACCTGATACGAATAAGGAAGGGGATGAATGGAAAACCACCATGTTCACCCCTTTAGGGGCATTTGAATACTTAGTTATGCCCTTCGGTCTACAAGCAGGCTCCGCAACATTTCAATCGTTTATGAACCACGTCCTGGGGCCGTTGCTTTACAAGAATTGTGTGGCCTTCTTAGACGACGTGTTGGTGTATTCTGAGAATGAGGAGCAGCATGTGAGAGACGTCAGAGAAGTGTTGAGCAGGCTGCAAGCCAACCAGCTGTGGGTGAAACTGGAGAAGTGTCAGTTTCATACCAAGGAGGTGGAATTCCTGGGGTATCGCCTGTCTGACAAGGGGTTGGCCATGGATCCCGGCAAGGTCCAGGCGGTACTGGAATGGAAAACACCCAAAACAAGGAAGGATGTGCAGAGGTTTTTAGGATTTGGGAACTTCTATCGTAAGTTCATCCCAAACTTTGCCCACCTGACGGCGCCCATTACGGACTGTCTCAGCAGTAAGAAGAAGTTCGTTTGGACGGAGGAGGCGGAGCAAGCATTTGAGGAACTAAAAGGGCCTTCGCCTCGGAACAACAGCTCCTGCATGTGGATTTACAAAAACCGATGAGAGTGGAAACTGACGCATCAGACAGAGCGGTTGGGGCGGTGCTTCTCCAGCCAGGGAAGGAGGAGTCAGAGTGGAGACCGTGTGCTTTTTTCGCGAAAGCTGAACAAATCCGAGAGGAACTACACGGTGTATGACCGAGAACTACTAGCCATTCATGAGGCGTTCCGGAAATGGAGGCACCTGCTAATTGGCGCACAACATAAGGTGCAAGTGTGCACTGACCACAAGAACCTAGAGTATTGGAGGACGGCACGAGTGCTCAACCAACGGCAAGTGAGGTGGGCCCAGGAATTCTCCAAATTTAACTTTGAGATTTGTTACGTGCCAGGCCCAGAGAACATTAGGGCGGACGCTCTCTCACGCAAACCTGAATATTTGGAGGGGAGGGAGCACCCGAAGAGAGACATGTCATTCCAGAGGACCGCTGGGTGTGTGGGGCGGCATTGGTGGGACAAAGAGAACTGGTAGAAGAAACAGAGAATGATGAATACGCCCAGAATAAGCTCAGGGGTCTTAGGGATGAGGGAGAGGAATCAAGGGGTTTCGAGGAAAGAAATGGAGCTCTGTATTACAAAGGGGCACTGTATATCCCTGAAGGAGACTTAAGGGGGAGGGTACTCAAGCAGTTGCATGACAGCCCCACGGCGGGCATTTTGGGCAACACAAAACCATGTGGTTGGTCACCAGGGAATTTTGGTGGCCTAAGGTGAGGGAGGATGTACGTGAGTATGTAAGAGGGTGCGAGCAGTGCCAGCGAGCCAAAGGGGAAAGGCGGGCGCCGGCGGGGCTATTAGAACCCTTACCAACACCAGAACGACCTTGGGAGGCAGTGTCGATAGATTTTATGACTGATCTGCCGAAGTCCAAAGGGAAAACAGCCATCATGGTGGTGGTAGACCTACTAACAAAGATGTGCCACTTTGTAGCTTGCTCGCATGCAGTCACGGCGGAAGAGACAGCGAAGTTATTTGTAGAACACATTTTTAGGTTGCACGGGGTGCCATTGAGGGTGGTCTCAGACCGAGGAAAACAATTTACTTCCAGGTTCTGGAGGAAGCTCATGAGCTTACTGCAGGTGGAGGTCAACTTTTCGACTGCCCGGCACCCTGAAACCAACGGGCAGGCGGAAAGAGCAAACGGTGTCCTCCAGCAATACCTGAGGTGTTATGTCAATGACAGAGAGAATGACTGGGTAGAAAAGTTGGCGCTGGCGGAATTTGCCTACAACAATGCCGAGAATGTGTCCACAGGGATGAGCCCCTTCTTGGCTAATTATGGGTGTCATCCCAGGGCTTTCCTAGGGGAGAAGGGGAGAGATGGAGCGTACCGGCAGCCGAGCATTTTGTAGAAGAAATGGAAGCAATCCACCGTCAGCTCCAACTCAACTTAGAAAGGGCGAAGGAAGAATACAAGAGGCAGGCAGACAAGAACCGAAGGGAAGGTGAAACCATAAGGGTTGGAGATAGGGTGTGGCTGTCAACACGAGGGTTGCCGTTCAAAGGAGGTTGTAAGAAATTAAGACCCAGGAGGTTGGGTCCCTTTGAGGTCATTCAACAGGTCAACCCAGTGGCTTTCAGGCTCCGGTTACCCAACCACATGAAACTGCACCCAGTATTTCACAGGTCGTTACTGTCACCGTACGAGGGGGGACGAGGAGGGATGGCCACTCGGGGACCGGTCATAGAAGAAAGAGAATGCAGCAGTCATGTGGCAGAAATCCTTGATGCCAGGTGGAAGGGGAATCAGGTGGAGTATTTGGTAGCGTGGGAAGGAGAACCGGAGTCAGAAAACACGTGGGTAATGGCCGAAGATATCAATGACGAGGTATTGATAGAAACGTTCCATCAAAGGTTCCCGAGGAAACCTCAGCCTGTGGAGAGGTTCCGGAGGGAATACTTTGGGACCACTGAGGAGGAGGAGGAGTTGGAAGGATTCCCAGAATCGGAAGGGGAAGGGGAGATGGACTCGGAGGAGGAGGAGTGCTTCGAGACCAGGAACCGCAACAGGTGGAGAGAAGTGTTCGAGACATCGGAAGATGAAGGAAGTTCATTCCGGGGTTTGCCTCCTCACCGCCCGTAGAGGAGGGGGCGAGAGGGGGTGAAGGGGGCCCTGGAGGGGAGGTGGATGTCAGGGAACTGCCATCGGAAGGAAGGGAGGTGAAAGGACTCAGACAGGTTGGAAGAGACTCAGCAGCTGAAGAGGGAACCAGCAAGGGGAGAGAAGCTGAACTGAGGGAGGTGAAAGGGCTCAGACAGGTTGGAAGAGACTCAGCAGCTGAAGAGGAAACCAGCAGGGGAGAGAAGCTGAACTGAGGGAAAGGGAGCTGGGGGATGGCTCAGAGATACTTCCAGCGAAAACAGTGGTGAGGTTTCCGGACCTCCTGTAGGGACACCCACTCCTCGCCGGAAACTGTCACGCAGAGAGTCCAGAAGACGTGTTTCCGTTAAGGAGCTTTTATGTTGGAAGCGATTACGAAAGCAACCACTGTCGGAATCTTCTAGTGACTAGAGGAGCCATGTCAGAGGGGCTCCGTCACAGACAGAGGTTTGTGGACTTGAACAAACTCTGAGGGAATACGATTTTACGCACAAGCAGCTCATCTTCCCATCACACTGGGTGTTGTGTTTTTTGTTTAAAAAAAGCTAGGAACTCTGGGCAGGGGCTGGAATATTCTGAAGGAGCTCTCCATAGTCAAAGCCCCGTGTTCTGAGGACAGAGTAAGCTATGCCTACAGGTTGGTTAAATATGCAATTTATAGATTCTCAGCTCACACACGTGCTTCATGTTGAAGTGATCAATTAATACATGCCCTTTTTCAAAAACTGGTGCAATAGTAATGCCCTCAGCTGGTCGGAACTTCAATTCTTCATTCACGTGCAGGAAAGACCCAGCTCATGCAAACCCCCCCCCCCAAAAAAAGTAAAGCAGAAGAAAATGAAATGAGCCGCTAAAGAAAGCTTTACTCTCGTATATGTGGGTAAGACCAGTGTTTTGCAATGAGTAGGGGTGAGAAAGAAAAATAAGTGAAAACACTCCCAGTGAAAGGGAGATAACAAGAGCGTCTTGCCCTACCACTGGTGAGAATCATCATTCTGCCGTCATGATTCATGAAAGGAAATGAAGCAGACAGGTCACTCCTTCCTGTGGAATATTGCAACACATGCCTTGAAGGCATGTGCAAGAATATTATTTACTCTATTTATCAGATGCACTCTCTCCATATGGGAGGCTCAAGGAGGCACATATGTTCTTCAGGAAGCCCGTTGCTACTCTAGGCTCTTTAGTTTTTGTGTAAACACACCTCCATTTTGCAACGAGAGCTAGTGTGGCAACTCTACTGCCTCAAGGCCAGTAGTTAAAGGGAGACTCCCAGCATCTGGGATCCAACGTTATAGTGGCATTTTGCTAGGGCGACCTCCAAAAAGAGGATTTCATGCCCAAACTTAAAACCATCTGCATGGCAGAAGATAGGCAAGTTTCCTCCCTGAATGCTTTCCCCTGCTATTTTAACATTCAAAGCCACCAAGGAAAGCAGCAGGAAAAGGAGATTTGTAAGTGCGGAGTCAACCTGGAACTTGACCGGAGAGATTGTGGGTGTACCATGGGTGTAGCCAGGATTCTTGTTAGTGGGGGGCAGAACCTCAGTTAGCTATGTATTTTTGTTGATGGGGGGGCAGCTGCCCCTCCCTGCCCGCTCTTGGCTACGCCCATGCAGTGTACATACGCAGCCAAGTGATGGCTTTGTATTACTTCTGTGGGCTTTGACCAAGGATTCTGTGCTCTACGTGTTTCCATATCCTCCTTTTGTAGTTCCTAGGTTATGTGAATTACCGTATTTCTCGCTCTATAAGACGCACCAGACCACAAGACGCACCTAGTTTTTGCAGGAGGAAAACAAGAAAAAAAATATTCTGAATCTCAGAAGCCAGAACAGCAAGACAGATTGCTGTGCAGTGAAAGCAGCAATCCCTCTTGCTGTTCTGGCTTCTGGGATAGCTGCGCAGCCTGCATTTGCTCCATAAGATGCACACACATTTCCCCTTACTTTTTAGGAGGGAAAAAGTGAGTCTTATAGAGCAAAAAATACGGTAATAAATAAGAAACATGAAAACACTTTAAATAGTGCTTTCAGGGTTCAAAGTGCTTTGTGTACCTTATCAGTCTATTCCTGATAACCAGGCCACCTAGCGCTGTTTGTCCCACATTGTAGATGTAGGGCAGAGACAGAGAGATAGTGGCTTGTCTGAGGCCCTTCAGGGATCTTGCCGGCATGAGACCTAGTGACCTCTCACATCCTATGCTGCTATATATATATATATATATATATATATATATATCCTAACTTCCTGATGTATTCCATCCTCTTCAGCAAGCCCCAACCACACTTTCTCATAAGTTACTTTTCTGAGAAAATTTCAGAAATGTTTCTTGTTCCCACTTCCCTTGAAAAAGATAACCACTTACAGAATTTTCTCTCAATATCCCCCACCATTTTAATTTATTTTTGTAGCAGCTTCCAATTTCCTCCCACAATGCCCTGGAATGATGCTAAGCACAGGGAATTGTGGAGGATGCAAAAGGGTGGCCAGGTTACCTACAGAGTTACAGGTGTAGTGACAAAGCAAAACAAAGCAAGACCTTAGGGAAAAAAGAAAGCAGCTATGCTACTATCTATACTCATGGTGAGCTGCATCCTGACAAATGGTTATAAAATTTCTCCTCCTGCTGGAGAAATTGTCCCCCTGGTTGTTTTTTTAGGATGGGAATTTTGAGGACATGTGTGTATAAAGAGAAGAGAATTGACCAAGCTTTGACTTTAGCCAACCTTGGCGCCCAAAGGTTCAAAATCCCCTGCCTGAACTTTGTCCCTAAAAGAACCCCAGGAGCTCAAGACCTTTGAGTTCTAGCAATGAAGAAAACATGCCGTACCAGACATTGTGGGCACCGCCCAGAACTAACGTTCTGTTTACACAGCTTAGGAGGCAGGATAATTGCAAGGTCAAAATCACATGACGAAGCTGATATTTTATGGCACTCCGCTAACAGTTAGCACTTCTCAAAAACATTCATCTACAATACAGCAAATCCTGAACTAAAGCTCCTTAATTATAGTGAGAATAGACTTAGGAACGTGGGCATGAATGGAGCAAGGCTGTCAGCAAACATGCCATAAAAGCAGAAGTCGCAATGATTCCCCGTTCCACACACAATGCAAATGACAGTGATCTATCTCACACCTCCATCCCATTCATCAGGATGGATTGCTATGATTTGACTTATAAAACAGCACATGTATTTTTTTATCAAATTAGACTGTGGGTTGAACAATAGGCTTGATTGGGGGGTAAGTTAAGATGGGGGGAACTCTTATTAATTGTGTTTATGCACTGAAGATCAATAAAACTTAACAAAAAAAAACATCCCAAAACCGAACAGGCTTGAATACCCATTTCCTTCCAAGGTAAGAGGTTACCTTGCCAAGTCTGCATTACTTAGACTTAAGCATGTTGGTTATATGAGGCTGGTTATCCCACAAATAGTGCAGCAAAGGTATGAACACATAATATATTCATAAAGAATAGAAGGGCTCAATTCAGACATCGTGTCAAAGCATAGTTAAGAAACCTTAGTGCAGTTGGCATGATTTAGTCTGGGATTGACCAGCAAACTAGGTATATATTGCTAAGGCTAAGTACAGAAAGTACAGGAGGTGACAGCAGACAAGCAGTTTTATACCATGGTTTTTTAGTTGTACAATTCAAAGTTCAACGGTTCTACTATGGTTGTAAACAATGATGCCTGAATTGAGCCAATTTCTTAAGAACATAGGAAGCAGCCTTAAACCAGGCCAGGTTATTTATCTTCCCAGAATTGTCTGTGTTGACTGGCAGCAGCTGAGTCACTGAGTTATGATTCCCTTCCTTGTCCTTTTGTTCAATAATTTTAAGAGGCAACAGAAATGGCAGGCTTCGGAATAAAAATGTATTACCAAATATGATAGCATTTCTCAGTGTGTGAATTTTGAGTTGTTCTCTCCCTGGCTTCCATGTTACATTCTGCCCAAAGGACAAAGGTAAATAAACAAATAAAAAAAAATAGAATAAACTGGAATGCTTATGCGAAGGAAAGTTTGTTTATACTGTACACCCCCTTTCTTAAATTACTCCACTCAATAGTGGGTTCACAAGTTACATACTCAACTACTTACAACTACTACAGAACCAACAACAACACTATACTGTAATTACAGCAGTAAACAGAAAAAATGGGTTTTTTTTGTCCAATCCAGCAAAACACCAGCAGAATTCAGCTCCAACAAAAATTCAAATGAATCAAGATGCAAGCTTTAATAGGTGCAATAAGAATTCACAACTTAATTCACAATTTAATTCACAACTGGTGAATTAAAACCTCCCAGTGCAATCAGATGTTTTAAAAAAAGTTTTTTGACCCTATGAAGATGCAGTTTTCTACAAAACAGGCCTACCTATCAATGCACGTCTGGGTGAAGTACTTCCAGATACTATACTTGTCCTGTGATCATAGTGCTTTGTCAGATAGCTGGTATGTTGACAATCCCATGTATGCAGTGGCGTAGCGTGGGTTGTCAGCACCCGGGGCAAGGCAAGTAATTTGCGCCCCCTAACCCGTGGATTTTAGCACTCAGAGAGCTGCCAGTGCGAGCGCGCTCCCCCCCAGATGTTGCGCCCGGTGCGGCCGGCCCCCCCGCACCCCCCACGCTACGCCACTGCATGTATGAGATACCTACAATCCAGGCATTAACTAACACTTGCTGTTAGTGCAAACTATCAGCGTGCCTCTTTCAAGAAAAACCATGAAAACCCCGTGCAATCCCTCAAAGAACAAACTGGAAATGAAAATTAAAAATTTAACATAGATACAAGCTGCTCCCCGACATGTGCTAGTGAAAACCTGGCATAAATATATGCACGCAGCCGCTTTTATAACTCCAACAGCCTAAAACGTAACAGAATTTAAAACTTAAGCAGCAGCTCTCTAACATGATTCCTTTATTAATAACACCCCCTACAGACTTTGGGCTGGAACTGTTTCTACTAAGACAAAGAAGCATCTGGTGCAACAAATTTTGTTTCTTTGCTGCTGTCTATATATTGAAAGCCATTGGCTGACAGTGTTGGTGGCAGATTAGGCAGAAAGGTTTTTAACCAGGGAAGGGAAAGGGTGGGAAACTGCAGTCACAGCACCAAGTAGCAGTATCTTTCAGGTGAGACATGCCCAATTCTTGCACCCAATTCCTGCCTCCAAAATACCTTTCAATTGTAGAGAAACCATTTACAGAGCTTATCTACATTTTAGGGATAGGACATGGGAGGTTCATTTCAGTCCTAAGAAAGTAGAATGTAAGAGTTCAAACTCTGAAAGTGGCCCCAAAAGAAGGGATGATGGGATACACATGTTGCAAGTGGGGAAAACATTGTGCATTTCAAATGTTGCTCCCCCCCCTAATATTTTATTAAGGATTTTCTTGTTTTACAGAAGTAAGTGTAATGCCTCGTATTTTTTTTCCCATGTAACATTTTTACAAATCCATTGTTGCTTTTAAAATCTGACTCTCCACTCCCTCCCCTGCCCCTTTTCTATGTGGCTGGGGTAAGTCCTGTGTTGAAACACACACCACTGTCTATTGCCACCATATAATTTAGCCCAATATGGGAAGCCCGGACTTTGAAAGTCATCTAATCTCCCTTGCTGTATTATACTGTATTGATTAATTAGTGTTTTTATGGAGCAGTCAAGTAATTTCGTTGTCCCCGAAGGGGGCAATGACAATAAAGATATTATTATTATTATTATTATTATTATTATTATTATAATATAAAAAGATCTCCGATGGGCCAGCAAAGTATTATTATGGGTTTGCTGGGGCGGGGGAGGGGCAGATCCCCCTAAATTCCTGGGTCCAATCAAAGTTAGAACAGATCAAGGTTTGGGGATTTAAGGCTAGTGTGAGAAAGACTGAACCCCTGGATTTAGCATGTTAAAATGCTACCTAGGCTGGCTTCCTGTGTCCTGGAAATCACCCATGAAGATGGATCATTAGGGAGACAATGAAGGCAAATGCGAGGGGAGCTCCTTCCCTCAACAGTCAGTTAGTTAGAAAGACAAAAAAGGAGAGTTAAGGGTGGAATTTGGCAGAACTGGCAGTAGGGGATGGTTTAAGCAAGAGGAAAATTAGTGGCTTTTTTTTTTGCAAGCAGTTTGGTAAGGAGGAAGTGGGGGGGTGAGAGCAGAAAGTGGGCTGGCAGCTTTGGCTCCAACATGGCAGCTAGGAGGGAAAGAGAGCTCTTCACAGTCGGCTCAGATATGTGCAAATAAACCATATATCGTAAAGACACCACAGTCTCTGCTGTGCCTTATTCCCAAAAAGGAATCACAGGCCCTGAGTTGAAGCATGCCTGCAACCTCTGGAATCTCATTGAGATTGCGGTGGTGTGTAAGAGTATCATAGGAAGCTGCTTTATACCAAGGCAGACCAGTGGGCCCTCCTCGTCCCACCTGGAGATCCCAGGGGTTCAACCTGGGGTCTTCTGCATACTGGCAACCCACAATTTGTGTGTGGGGGGGTACGTTCTGGGTGTGCAATGGTGTGCTATTGAAACACCCCATTCCACCCTTGCACATATCGGCTCCCTGCCACTGACCTACAGCCCTTCGTTTTATCACCATCCTGTTCCTAAAGGTAAAGGTAAAGGGACCCCTGACCATTAGGTCCAGTTGTGGCCGGCTCTGGGGTTGCGGCGCTCATCTCGCTTTCCTGGCTGAGGGAGCCGGCGTACAGCTTCCAAGTCATGTGGCCAGCATGACTAAGCCGCTTCTGGCGAACCAGAGCAGCGCATGGAAACGCCGTTTACCTTCCCGCTGTAGTGGTACCTATTTATCTACTTGCACTTTGACATGCTTTCGAACTGCTAGGTTGGCACTGCAGAGAAGGCCTGTTCTTGTGTTGCCACCCTCCGGACCTCTCAAGGAGGAGGCACACGAAGAAGGGCCTCAGAAGATGATATCAGGGTCCGGGTAGGTCTTAACATGCCTGGCATCCAACAGCCTTGTTTACCTGAGCCCAAGCCAGAGATCAAAACCTATAAATGGACCTATAAATGGACCTAATATTTCAGGAGTATTAATTAATTATTATTATTATTATTATTATTATTATTATTAAGCAAAACTACCATTTTAGCAATTTAGGTAATTAATCAGTTAGCAAAAGGATTCTAGGATTCTGGTCTTAAACCAGCTAAGTAGCATTTGAATAGACACAGCTGAGCCTGACCACAGATGCTGTACATTTTACACATTGCTACAAAAATGAAGCAAGATTTCAGGTTTTGCCAAAATTTACAGACAAAAGGTTTCAGGTTTGTTGTATGCTGGGAATTTCTCCGCGGGGGCCGGAGGACCCGAGAGGCACCAAATGAGTCAATGTGATTTCTGCGGCAAATCAGATAGTAACTTTTTCATTCTTTCTTAATCTACTTGCAGGACAAGCTACTGCCGGGGGTTGGGGATGCTGAGAGACAAACAACTTCACAAATTTGAGCACATGTGATAGCTACAATTTTACAGAAATGCAGGGGAAAGAATTGGTGGCAGTTAGTAAAATGAGGGCATATTAAGTCTGGAGCACATTTCATGCGACTGTTTTAAGTCAGAAGCTCCCTTTTCTCTTCTCTTTTTGGAGCACTGTCTCAGGTCAGGGCCCTCCAGTTTTTTGTGAGTGCATTCTGCAACATGTTACTGACAAAGTAATAATGCATTATGGGTGGAATTATACTAGACATTCTGCACACCAGTGGTATAGTATTGGGGGGCAGTGGCTCCGGGTGCATTTTTTGAGGGGGTGCAACCTCATTGGAGCCTGAATCGGCCCAACGCCACCAGCCACAGCTCCACTCCTGGGTCAAGCCTGAAATTCTGCTGCACAATCAATAGGCAAAATTAACCGTTTAGTTGATTTTTTCAGTGAAAAATCTAACCAACAAATGGTACGGTCCAAGGGTTGGATATAGACTTAAGCTGCTGTAATCCTAACTACCCTTATCTGGGAATAAGCTCCACTGAATCCAGTAGAATTTATTTCTGAGAAGACATGGTTAGGACTGTCTTGTTAGCCATACAAGATCCATGAGCCATAAACTTTAAGTCACACAGGTTTCAGAGGGTCTGCTTATTGTTGTTGTTGTTTGTTTGTTTGAACTTATATTTAAGTAATGCTCCTCTCCCATAATGTTAGGACAACTTTTTCCGCTGAAAGCCCGTTTTTTTAAATTTCGAAAGATGCCACTTCTACCAGTTTAACAAAAACAGCCAGCCTTTATCACTTGTGGATCTTATCTGGCACCTAGCTCTTGCCTGCAACCTTTTCCTTGGGTAGTGCTTCAAGAACTTTCAAGTGGTAAAAGCTTTTGATGCTTCCCACAGCTGTAGCTTCAAGCCTGGTGCAATGGCTCATCGGTTTTTACTGTTTGGGTAGGGAAGGAACACTGCCATGTTTTGCTTTTCTACAGAAGCTATAAATGAACGGACGAGTTGGTTACAGAGTGCCTAACCTCACTACTTGGCTTTTTGTCACATTGCGTAACTCAGAGTTCCCACCACCTGTGGATTAACTTTGAAGATTTCATTTTTGAAGAAAAACAACAACTGAGTTGACTCAGGCAAGGATGGGGAGGAAGAACCCGGCCTTCTCAGTCAACCCCAGCAATATAATAAATCCCAGGTCCCATTAACATAGCAAGTTGGTGATTCTTGGCATGACTAATTCAAATTCCTGAAGCCCCCAAAGCAGGGCTTAAATATTCAAGAACAGCCTTACTGAGATCACAAGAACTGGATCATGTCAAAGGCCTATGTAGTGCAACATCCTGTACTCACAGTGACAAAACCAGAGGCCTTTAGGCATAGGCACCAACTCAAGGGGGCTGGGGCCCATTGGGACCCCCCAATAATTTTCTTCTGGGGGCAGAATCCCCTCAATATTTCCTCCCCCCACCCACCTGTCTTCCTCGGTCTGCTGCCTCCCCTGGGGGCTGTCAGTGCCCTCTGTTTCCGGCTTGTCTCCAGGAGGAACAAGGGGGGATGTCTGCCCCCCGTCTGGCTAGCCATCTCTCCTTCCTGTGCTTCCTCCCTCTGTGTAGCTTGGCATGGAGCAGCTCAGCTCCAGGTAGAGCTTGACATGGACCGGCGAGCCAACGGAGGTGGCGCCTTCCTGCGGCAGGGACAGCGGCCCCCTCTGGGATAACTCCCAAACTACCACAGTGGCAGCCTGGGCACCACTGAGCACTCTTGAGAGAGCACACTGAGAGCCAGCGTGGTGTAGTGGTGAAGAGCAGTAGACTCGTAATCTGGGGAACCGGGTTCGCATCTCCGCTCCTCCACATGCAGCTGCTGGGTGACCTTGGGCTAGTCACACTTCTCTGAAGTCTCTCAGCCCCACTCACCTCACAGAGTGTTTGTTGCGTGGGAAGAAGGGAAAGGAGAATGTTAGCCACTTTGAGACTCCTTCAGGTAGTGATAAAGTGGGATATCAAATGCAAACTCTTCTCTTCTTCTTCTTCCTGGCCAGTGGGCTTTGGGCGTAGGAGAGGCAGGCACCTGGATGGCAAGAGGCATGTGACAGAACGCCTGCACTCATTGTGCCTTCCTGAGGGCATGCCAGACCAGTCCCGAGCTCAGAGGGAGTGTGATGTGGCCCCCTCAAAAAATATTTTGTTCAAGTTGGCGCCACAGCCTCTGGAAAGCCCACAAGAAGGATTTGCGTACAACAGTGCTCTCCCTGCTTGTGATTCCCAGAAACTGGATTTTCAGAGGCCTCCAACACAGCCACTGTGAGTAGTAGACTTCAATAGCCTTGTCCTCCCTTAATATGTCTAACCCTCTTTTAAATCCACCCAAGTTGGGGGCCATCACTACATCTTGTGGTCCATTTACAAATGCTAAAATGGTGCTGTGGGGAACTGGTTTATCTACAAATGCTAAAATGGTGCTATTACTCAAGACCGCATAATACAAAATGCCAATGGGGGGGGGAGTGGAACCCTCTAGGACAGTGCTTCCCAAACTTGGGTCTCCAGCTGTTTTTGGACTACAATTCCCATCATCCCTAGCTGGCAGGACCAGTGATCAGGGGTGATGGGAATTGTAGTCCAAAACCAGCTGGGGACCCAATTCTGGGAAACTCTGCTTTAGGTAGTCACAAGCATTTACTCATACAACCCAGGTCTCCTCCACTTTTGTCATTTATTTTCATTCCAGCAGCAACTCGTTATCTACAGCCTGAAATTGAAAATCTAGGAAAAGTGCAGCTGTTTTCCCCCCAACTGGTCTATATTTTTGACGTCTTGCTGCCTAAGGGCACGTTCATTGGCCTCAACTGATTTATGAGAACGTTGCTGCAAAATAAATCAAGATGTAGTATACAAAAGACCATTCATGGACCTATTCAAGTACTGCACAGAAAGAGATGTCTTCAGTGACCTAGCTTCAATGTTAAAATGCCCATTGTCCCCCATATAGGGAAGTAAGAGCCGCTCTCAGTATAAAGCAACACAGCGGTAGCCAATGTGGGTGCTCTCCAGATTCTGCCAGAATACAGCTTCCATTATCCCTGACCAACAACATTTCTGCCGGTTGAGCCTGCTGGTAGTTGGTGGAAACAGACATTTGGAGGGCACTACGCTGACTACCCCACCCACTCTCACGGACAACAGGAAAATGTTATAGTAACACATTCACTCAAAGACTTCCTGATGTCTTACAGGAATCTGTGTGGAATTTCCTGCTCCACGGTGAAGCCTACGCAGCTGAAATGACAACTACAGCCAGCCACCTGACCTCTTGAATCCCCAGAGGCTCAGGCCGATTCCAGATGACCTGTTTGTTGAGCGTTCATCCTCATTTGTTTGCACAAACTTTGCACAGAGTTTAGATAATGCCAGCTACTTATCAGTTTGTTTTCAGGGCAGATTCTAGGCCATTACATCAAGCAACTGTTATCTCAAACTGTCCTGTCACTTTCCTTACTGTAAAAAGTCAATGGGTTTGTTGTTGTACAAGAGCTCTGTTCAGCTTTCATTGCACAACCTAAATTTGCAAGTTTGTGATTGAATCCTGCCCCAAAACAGTGACAGCCTGGGAGTCCCCATATACTTAAAGTTGCCAACTCCTGACCTAAAGGAGACCCACATTCATTAAAACCCTATGCTATTATTTCTAAAATAATAGATTAATCGCTACTCCGTCTCCAAACTGGAGCAAGTGAACACTATTTCACATGATCATGTTACCGTGGAGTCCTTTGGAAGAAGGATGGGATATAAATTTAACAAATACAATTTAACATATGAATTAAAACACGTGCATGACTGTGTTTTATTGGGCTGTTTTAGGATGGCTAAGGAAAGGAAACCATTGCATATTTAACTTAAGGAATTGACAGCCACAAGATGTGATGAATGGCGACTAGCTTAATGACTTTGTTCTACTGCTGCAACAAAACAAAACACTTCAACCTCATTCCTGGTAGCCAGGGAGCTCAAGTACAAAATTTCAGAGGGAACCGAGTTTTTTTCTCAGCAGCCAAAAAGCGGAGAAGATCATTAACTCATTACGATGATTTTGACCTATAACAGCTGCCGCATTTCTGTCCAAGATAAATAACTCACCATGAAGCAAAGGTGTATGCTACAAAAACAAAAAAAACCTCACACACATAAACACACAAAACCCTTTATTCTTGGCTTCTAAACTCTTTGCACTTGAAGTAGCAAAATTTATTTGAGTCTGCTGAAATTTAGGCTGTTGGCAGAATTAAAAATCATGAAAGAGCAGAAGAGCAGGACATTTCTATGAAGACCTTAAAATAAGAATGCTTGAGATTCCAAAAGATGTTTATTTTGATGCACCAAAGCTTCACTTTGCTTACACTTCCATGACGCACCCAATTTCACACCATTTATTTTCTTATTCGCTCACTCGCACCGTTTATATTCTGCACCTTCAGTATCCAAAACTAAAGCAGAACAGCAGTAGAAACCAACAAGAAAGAATGGCAACAGCAGTCTCAACATTAAAAAGTAAATTCAAAGTTTCTAAAAGTTCTTTAAAAGCCTGTGATTTCTCTAAAATCTTTGCAGGTGAACCTCCCCAACATAAGGAGCCACCACCAAAAAGGCTCTGAATCCAACCATCCCATCACGTATGAAATGTACACAGAAAGAACTGTGCAGGTCTCAAAGAGAGAGAGAGATAACCATAGAATTGTGGACTTTGAGCCAAGTGAGTGATCCAGAACATCTGCATTGCCACAATGAAGATAAACAGATACGAGCCTGTAAGAAACTTGGATCGGAGGTCCTCATATAAATAAATATTTGGTGCTTTTTTACAAAAGAAAGAAAGAAAGAAAGAAAGAAAGAGAATTATTAAATGATCACAAATGCCATCATCATTACCACTGATTTGTATACCGCTTTTCCATAGTAAGCCATGCTCAAGGTGGCTCACAACAGAAAAAAATACGTAATTCACGAGGCACAAAACATAACACTTATTTAATCATTAAGTAAACGAAAGCACCTCCTTCATTAAATTAAACAGCCCCTTTATAATTAATAATATAAGGACTAACAGCAGAATACAAAACAGCAAAAACAACACAGCATCAAAATTAAATCTTGGCCCAAACAGAAGCCCTTAATTCCTGCCCCACTTTGATGGTCTCTAGGCATCCTGAGCAGCCTATTTTTCTGGACTTGTGGGTAAGATGGTCTCTAGCAGTAGCTTTTGTAGCAGAAATCTGTGGGGACCAGGCCCTTCCAGGCCAGATGGGAAAAGGCCAACAAAGCAGGCAGGAAGTTCTGCAGGACCCACAGTCAAGATGGCCATGCAAGTGTTACGTATAATTTCTTCTACCTGTAGAGACTGAGCATGCCCAGTTAACAACTAGATATTATATATACAGTGGTACCTCTGTATCAATATATATATTATATAATATATATATATATATATATATATATATATATATAATATCATATATATATATGTGATCATATCATATATATATATGTGATCATATATATATCATATATATATATGCTGATTCCTAACAAATGCACTAAAAGAAACCCCAAGCTAAAGTAGGTCAGGAAGTGTATATTAAGGAAAAATTAACACCAGAATGCTGATAATTTTCACGAGCACTTAAGAAATTCACAAACTAATGTAGAAATGTGAAGAACTGAGTTTAAGACTGGATAGAAGAGGGAGAGACCAGAGTCAGATGCAGGCGAGAGTGGTTTTCCTCAGGGTGTGAGATTGAGGAAAATGGAAGCTCTTCCAGGTGGGAGCTGGAAGGATTAAAATATCTGTATGTGGATTGAAGATTAATATAAAACGGTGATAGAGGGAGATATATTTATTTCTATATAATTTTGTATTTTATTAGGATTATTGTTGTTGTTTTATTTTATCTATCTTCCTTGTTTTCTTTCTCTTTCTTGTTTTCTTTCATTTTTTAGTTTTATTATTGTTTTTAGGATACGTTGAAAACTCTTAATAAAATTGATTTGAAAAATGAAAATAGGAAAAATGAAAAATTAAGAGAAACCAAAAATGACAGATTCACTCACGGTTCAAACGGCCCCCTTTTAAAGCCCTAGCTAAAAATAAAAACAACTGATTTCAAAATGATTCCAACTTCACATAAGCAGATTTTATTGGTATCATATTCCAAAACGTAGTGGGAAACAAAACAAAAAAAGCAGGGTACACAGGCTCCATAATGTTAAAGAAAAACAGAAGCCAACATGTACCAAGCTGAAATGGTGGATTTATACTAAATAATGGAAAGGGTCCAATGTACCTCAGAAGCAAGTTTTTCTTTTTCCTCCAAAAGAAAATCACAAATAAGAAAAAAAACTAAAACAAATAGTTCGCACTATGAAAGTGTGCAAACTTGGAACAAATCCCCCCTCTTTTTTCTTATTATTGTAGCGTAACAACCATTACTAAGACCTCAAAGGTACAGTAGCAGGGTATTACGTCATCCCATATGCAAAGCAAACCATCAATGATAAGAGGAATAAATAGCAACATGGAGCAGAATAATAAACTCTTCAGGTAAAATTTATTCCTGGGGCCAAACAGACCCTGCAATCCCTTTATTTATTTATTTTTGTACATGAACAAATAAACATATTAAAAAAACAAAGGAAAGCTTCAAGTGATCTTGAAGTGGCAAAATAACTTTAGGACACACACAAAAAATGCTTCAGTTTTCTCTACCCTATTTAAGAAGCTGCTGGTGATAGAATGGAACCCAGTTATCATATACATTTGGTTGTTTCCCTTTCCAATTCATTTCAATAGGGGTAATTCAGACCACTGATAGTGGAACTGAATCACAATTTCTTTTTTTCTCCTTTAAAAAAAAAGAATCATAAAAAATAAGGGGAATGTACAACAATACATATTCAAAAAAAATAGGAAAACATCAAAAACAACATTAAACGTTAAGAGTAATCACAAAAAGCAATCATTAAAACTACTGGCTATGTCATGGTTCAGTATGAAATGGTCCAGGATTATTTTTAAAAAAAGAATCTTTCTGGGTTACAGGCAGGATCAGACCAACCTCATGGGAATTCAGCCCAGTCAAAAGCTAGTGACCCAGCTCACATATTTAAATTCCTGGTGGCTGTATCCTGTGTAGGAATGCTTGAAGAATTCGTTTCTTAAAGGTTTTTTTTAAAAAAAATAAAATAAATCCATTTATACTGCAAGCTTGAACAAAGTAGAAAATAGAATAACGGGTATCTTAACAGTTAGTCAGGTTGAGATCATGCTTATAACTTTTGTGTAATGGACCTTCCTTGATATAACAGGGCAGAAAGCCACTCAGAATTAACATAGCAGAACACTAAGAATCCCTAACATGCGCTGGGCAGCCACTTGCATCTCTTGCAATGATCAATAAAATCAGTCCATTTTTGCCTGAACAAATCCTGAAAATCCTTGGCAAATTTTTCAAGCAGTTGCTGACGTCCACAGCAACTCCAAGAGCCCAGCATAAGACTGTTAAACACACCCACTGCTAGTCTTATTGCTGCACCTTGTAAGATCTGAAAGAGTTTAATTAAACTGAAAGTTAGCTTCAGCAAGACAGATGGCAAAGTGAAAAGACACGCCGAACAAAGGATAATAAAAGCACACATTGCGGTGTTAATGTGCTGTGCTTAATTATATTCCTTTGTGCTCTAACAATGTTGAAAACATTTTGTCTGCCGTCGTGCAACTGAGTAGCGGAGTGAAAATCCAGCTGACAAAATGTTTACTCAACTTTCTCACCGTGCAATTTAGATGAGGATGACAATTTGACAAGCAGAGCATATTCAAGTGCAGGTGATACAATTAAATGCAGCGTCATAAGCAAATGATTGCTTTTTTGTTGTTGTTGTTGTTGCTGCTGCTGCTGCTAAAGTCCTTTTAGTTGCAAGCAGTTGCAAGTCATCCAGCAACTCATATCTCCTGGGCAATCTGACAGTAATGGAAAGGGCTCCCTCCGGAAGAAGACTGCATTGCATGATCTCAGCATAAATATCAGAGGTTGTGAAATATAAGCACACCCTCCCTGTGGAATCCTAAATAGTAGATATTTTCTGAAACGATGTGAACAAGAGCAAGATAGGAGTGCACCCACAGAAGCTGTCAGTGAAAGAGACCGACAAACTGTAAAAAATATATATTAGTGGGTGTGAAATATTTTTCAAGGCTAGGCCCTGTTTAATAAGGCCAATGCTAAACTGCAATAAATGGCAGTTTTCAAGTCCTCTCCCTTTCTTCAAAACAAGTTTCAACCCCAGAACTTGTTTTCTATATGCCCCCAGGCCACTTTGAATGTTTGCAGGGGAGAAGTTTTCTGGGTCTCCTAGAAGTTTTGGTGAAAAAAATAGTTAGAAAGAGGAGGCATGACAATATTATTAAAGCACCTAAAAGGTCTTTGTAGGAATAAAGGTAAAGGGACCCCTGACCATTAGGTCCAGTCGTGGCCGACTGTGGGGTTGCAGCGCTCATCTCGCTTTATTGGTCGAGGGAGCCGGCATACAGCTTCCAGGTCATGTGGCCAGCATGACTTAAGCCGCTTCTGGCGAACCAGAGCAGCGCATGGAAACACCATTTACCTTCCCGCCGGAGCAGTACCTATTTATCTACTTGCACTTTGACGTGCTTTCGGACTGCTAGGTTGGCAGGAGTAGGGACTGAGCAACGGGAGCTCACCCCGTCGTGGGGATTCGAACCGCCGACCTTCTGATCGGCAAGTCCTAGGCTCTGTGGTTTAACCCACAGCGCCACCCGCATCCCTATTTGTAGGAATAGTAGGGGTGAAATGGAATTTTATCTGTATTAGAGTTAAGACCTGCAGGGTTGTTTGAGCCTGTTTCATGGAGGAAGAGTAAGTAGACTATGGAGGTACCCATAATAATAAAGGGGAGTACAAAGTGTAAAGAATCGAGTAAAGAGTAAAGAACTCGGTAAAGAATCGAGTTAAGGTTGCACTATCTACTGCAAACCCGCCTCATACCCACTTGACAAGGGTAGAACCTATGTAAGGTACTGCGGAGAGAAGGTTGGTGATGACAGTGGCACCTCAGAATGATATTTGCCCTCAGGGTAGTACGTAGCCCATAAAATCTGTGGCTATTACTAGGAGAAGCAAAGGACTCCAATGTTTCAGGTTTCGGTATAGGTGTAGGATATTGGTAAAACCTATTTGGTGTTTCGCAACTTTCTGACTAGTTGCAGGACCTTAGCCAGACCTAGCAGAGTTAACGCAGAATCCACGGAAGCAATTGGCGACTTGGCTGCAGACAGGATAGACCAATCAGGGAGGATAGGACCAATCCAAGACAGGATAGACCAATCCATGTCTCTGTTATCACCAGGCAGACTTACTCCTTCAGATTGCCTTCTGGCTGTCTGCCAAACCTTAATTGACTCTGTGTGAGTAGCTGCACATACACAGTTTCCCAACATAGGAGCCATAGTAAAGACCTCATCCAATGTGAAGGTAAATGCAGATAAAGAATAAGAAGTGCCAGCAGCATATTTTCCATTGTCACAATTCTCTGCAAAGCCAAAATGTGGGGCTCACCAACAAGACGACAAAAATCCACCAACAGCATACAAATCAATATGGCTAACCTGATGCAAAACACCCACCCACCCCACTCACACATGAAAACAAAGACCACCACAGCCAACCACAAATGAATAACCACACCCTAGGCCAACCCCAACCTCTCACCACCAAAGGAACACAAGCGAACAGCAGAGAACCTGCAAAAGCAATGCTGACACCAAACCCTACATATAGTAAGTAAAACAGAAACGTCGCCACCCGACCCCACCCACACCCATCTTCCCCCCTCCACCTCTTTCCCCCTTTTCTTCCCAATGTCTCAACAAATGAAACTGATTTGTAAAATGTTACATGGGGGGGGTGGAATACGAGAGAGAGACATTGTACACACTTTTGTAAATCAAGAAAATCTTTAATAAAAATAAAAAATGCAGGGCTCACACATCCCCCCCAAGTAAGTACACATATGCAGCCCAGTATCTCATCACAGAAGAAACGTGTGAGGCCAGCCATCTTCATTCTGCACAATGCAATGCCATGGGCATGCAAGGCCTTACATTATAGAGAAACCAAAGTGTGGGGTCCAGCACCCAATCACTGCACTTCTGCCAGCGCCACTCTTGGGCCACTTAAAGAGCAGCCAAGCACATAGCACCCAGAAGTCCTGCTGTGAGCGGGACATCCTGGATTTACAGAAGCCTCCCCGGCTTTTGTTTGAAATCCCAGATGTCCTGCTTCTGTTGTCTTGCCTTCGCCATAGCAGCTTCTGCCTCCGCCACGCTTCCGGAAGTGTGCACAGAACATCCAGGAAATACACTTCCCGGAAGGAGATGTGCCACTTCTGGCAGACGTGGCGAGGAGGCTGCAAGGAGGCTCAGAAGGCTGAGGTCTAGCCACAGTGGCAGAAGAGAGAAGCCGGTGAATCTGGGTGAGAAAACGTAGGAGGGTATCGAAGCAGTGTCAGGAGTCTCAATGCACCCAACTGGACTTACCCCTGTCGCCATTTTAACCCCCCCCCCCAAAAAAAAAACCCCAGATGCTGTCATTGCTCCAGCAGTGAAAAATAGCCTTGGACCTGTGCTCCCCCTCCACTGGACCTGTGCTCCATTGCACCTGCGAAAATTACAAAATAATGCCGAGGTAGTGACATGCAGGGACACGATACAGCTCTTCTGTTGAAGTGAAGCAGTTTTGTCCCTCTAAACTGCTTGTATGAGAGATAAGCTGGGACTCAGAGCGATTTGGGAAAGTGTGGGATAAATGTAATAAAAGAAAGCTAATTCGTAAGCCTAAGATTTGAGAAGAGGATCATACAAATTTCCTGATCCAAGGCACTAAAAAGAAAGCTTTTGTCTCGGTGATAGTAAATGGTGAGAAAACTAGTCATATCATGCATTCGTGTCTTGTGGCATAGCCCCCAAAGGGCATTTCTGACTGAAGACTGGTAATTTTTTACTTTCAAAACATGATGTCCATTCTCACTTGAGTGTTTCATCTTCCCTCAGTTCTGTAAATGAATTTGTACTTTACGGTCTCGTGAGTTGTGTTAGTTTTATCAATAACATTGACAAGAGACCTATCTGCTCTTTTACTGGTGAAATGTCTTGTCATAGTAGCTACCATAGATTCACCACAGAAAAATACGTTCACTAAATAGCATTGTGGCTTCTTGTTAATAAGCCCTTAAGTACATGCAGTATGTTAAGTCAATTTCAGGTCAGTTTATGCCATCATTTACCCTTTTGTTTTGCTTATTCGTGACATCTGTATGCTGCTTAATTATGGTATTTGCATTTCTACATGGTGTACATAAAAAACAAACCACAGAAAATGGGAAATTTTAATAAACCTTCTGTATACGGAATTTCATTCAGACAGCTCAGGGGTCGGATACCTCCGTACCCTCCAACATTTCACCAACGAAAATAGGGATGTCCTAAGTAAAAATGGAACATTCCAGGATCAAATCAGAAACTGGGACTGCTTCTCTAAATCAGGGATGTCCCTGGAAAATAGGGACACTTGGAGGGTCTGTATATGCAGAACTGGGCAGAGGATAGGGATGGCAAAATTGGTCAGGTTTGTTTTTCCTTTTCTCATTTCTCCCAACCCAACATAAATTCAGTTCTCCACATTTCCACCACAATTTGTGAATTGGGGGCGGGGGGGGCGGGGAATCTGCATGAAAATTCATCAGCATTTAATGTGAATACCTCCTGATAAATACATTTTTGTATGCCGTTTCGACTAATATACACATTTTTGCTAACAATTTCTCGAAATACCCTTCATAGCCCATATAGCATAACTTGATTACACTTTGAAAAGACAAAACCTTAGAAAATGCCTTGAAAACAATAACAAACCTGCAGGGATACCCCTCCCCCCAATGTATGTATGTATGTATGTATGTATGTATGTATATAAAAACCTTTTACTAAAGTTATTAATTACCGGTAATTTAGCAGTTTTTTTGAAAAACAACAACACCATAATTTATTTATAAAACATATCCCTATATATATGGGATGCAGGTGGCACTGTGGGTTAAACCACAGAGCCTAGGACTTGCTGATCAGAAGGTCGGCGGTTCAAATCCCCGTGATGGGGTGAGCTCCCATTGCTCTGTCCCAGCTCCTGCCAACCTAGCAGTTCAAAAGCACGTCAAAGTGCAAGTAGATAGAAGAAGAAGAGAAGAGTTTGGATTTGATATCTCGCTTTATCACTACCCGAAGGAGTCTCAAAGCGGCTAACATTCTCCTTTCCCTTCCTCCCCCACAACAAACATTCTGTGAGGTGAGTGGGGCTGAGAGACTTCAAAGAAGTGTGACTGGCCCAAGGTCACCCAGCAGCTGCATGTGGAGGAGTGGAGACACGAACCTGGTTCCCCAGATTACAAGACTACCGCTCTTAACCACTACACCACACTGGCTCCCAGATAAATAGGTACCGCTCTGGCGGGAAGGTAAACGGCGTTTCTGTGCGCTGCTCTGGTTTCGCCAGGGGCGTCTTAGTTATGCTGGCCACATGACCCAGAAGCTGTCTGTGGATAAATGTCGGCTCCCTCCGCCAAGAAACGAGATGACTGCCACAACCCCAGAGTCTGCGACTGGACTTAACTATCAGGGGTCCTTTACCTTTACCTTTATGCCTATATATAGTGCAAATACTGTACTCCATTTATTTGAAAATTAACATGGTCTAATGGGCAGATTTGTACCATCACTGTTACAAACTATACATGAAAAAATATGCCCCTTTCTTGCTTATTTAAGCCATCATTGATTTAAATCAGTCCACCTGACTTTAAAGTTACCCCCCCACACACTCAATTCATTACTAGAATTTGACATGATCTGCATTCTGACATATTGCTCATGCCACCACAATATCTAATTCTCTCCTTACATTGCATTGTTTCAAAAAACTACACAGCATGGCACCTTTTCTCTTGTAAGGAGGCAAATTCAACTGCTCATTGTCAGCGATAAGCTGATTTTAAAGAGCATGGCTGCTTACTAATTTTAACCCCAAAAGTTGACACACTAGAGTGACTGTATGTAGGCGACAGCAAAGCACTCCCCCTACCCCAAAATTAGGTCACTGGGAGTTCACCGACAAAAAGAAGAAGTCTCTTCTCGTGAATCTCAACAATGTAGACCCAGTTTCATTTACCGTAAGCAACATCCACTTGAAAATACACAGAAAGAAATTCCAGCAGAGAAAAGGGCACCAAAGCGGTGAGTAAGAAGTGAGATAATCAGCACCTTTCAAATTCTGCTTTCATCTACAATGACATTGTAATTTTTATGCACTCTTGTCTTCACTTGCGGATGAGGCTATACATTTCTGAAGCTGAGGTTGCAATCATTTCTGGGTCAGTCATTTATTGCTACGCTTCTCCCTACACCGTGGGTGAGGAACCTGGGGCTCTCCACTTGTCATTGACTACAGCTCACATCATAAGCTTTCGTGTGCATGCACACTTCTTCAGATAGCTTATACCAAGAACAAACTTAGTTGGTCTCTAAGGTGCTGCTGGACAATTTTTTTTATTCTTTTATATATTTCAACTGCATCAGACCAACACGGCTACCTACCTGAATCTTGAGCTGGGAGTAGTGATGTTAAATTCTTGAGAATAATCTTTTGGAGAATATTCTCGATTAATGAGGTGTGTACATTTAAAGCAGCTGTGTAGATGACACAGAATTTACAGTTTGTGGAGAATATTTTCTCCGGAGAATTTTCTAGCAGAGAATATTCTCGCCTCACAAAAGTAGTTGGGAGTCTCAACAAAGGCCTATCCTGTGCTCACGTCTAGACAATTAATCCAATCCAAAGTGAGCTGCATGCAACTTTAGCAGCAAGACGCCGCTGCAAACCAACATTATGCGTGACTGATAAGTTAGGGAAGTCCTTACCTGCTCCCTCTATCTCACCCAATGCACATAAAAAGCTGGACTGCATTTCGTCTCATCTGGTAACGTCCATGTCTCCTTAAGGGAGGGGTGGGGAACCTGTGGCCCAAGAGCAGACTCATGAAATGGTGAGGGGAGACGGATCTTTCTTTCTTTCTTTCTTTCTTTCTTTCTTTCTTTCTTTTTAGGTCTCACCTTTCCTCCAAGGAGCTCAGACTGGCGTTACAAGATCCTCCCCTTCCCCGTTGTATCATCACAACGACCCTATGAGGTAGGTTAGGTGGACTGGCCCAAGGTCCCCTAGCTCAGTGGCTGGTAGGAGATTTGAACCCTGGTCTCTGAGGTCCTAGTCTGACACTCTAACCCATGGGTAGTCATGGGTTTTTTATACCTACCACCCACTAATGCATCTTTCTTGATGGTGAAATTTCCTCACCGCCCACCAGTGATTGATGGAAGGAGGATTCAGCTTGTGCTGTAGAACCCCCTACTGCCCACCTAGAATCATGAAACGCCCACTAGTGGGTGGTAGGGACCAGGTTGACAACCCCTGCTCTAACCACTGCACCACCCTAGGAGGGGGGGAAATAGTGAGAGGGGAGAGCAGAAAATACTGTAGTGGTGGAAGGAGAAGGCTAGCCCTCTGTATACAATCAGCTCAGACCTCTGGAAAGAGCCAGGTGTGCTTCCCCTGATAGCCTGCTGTGAAGGGAGAGGGAAAGAGAACAAAGGAGAACGCAAAAAGAGGGAGAGAAGAGATAGGTACTTTTAGCTCCTGCTCCACCCATCACCTGCATTGCAGCCCTCAACACGCTGACACTGAGGGAATGCAGCCCTCAGAAGATGAAAAGGTTCCCCTCTAAGGCATCCACCATCTCACATGGATTTGGTTTTTCCTTTTTATGTAGTAGCAGATGGGGCAGTGGGCGCTTTCCTGACCTCTTGGCTGTGGAGTTTCCGATGAGTACTGAGAGGATGGACAAGGTGGCATGAAGGTCAGCACTGTGCAAACATACCAGCAGAGCCCATATGCATTGCAAGATGGTGCAGAACTGACCTCCTCGCCACCTTGCTCCCCCAACTGTCCCTCTTGGTGTGTAGCACTGACGCTACTGCAGGGAGGTCAAGAAAGTGTTGCCACCTCACCCCGCTTCTGCTACTGAACAAAACAGATTCAGTTTCCCGCACCTGAAGTCTGGCAGTTGAATTTTGAAATGAAGATATGTAAATCTTGTAAATAAGCAAAAAAAGGAAAAAAAGGTAGATTCCTTAAGCTTCATTTACAGTGGTACCTCGGATTAAAAACGCTTCAGGTTACAAACGCTTCAGGTTACAGACTCCACTAACCCGGAAGTAGTACCTCGGGTTAAGAACTTTACCTCAGGATGAGAACAGAAATTGCGCGGCAGCGGCACGGCGGCAGCAGGAGGCCCCATTAGCTAAAGTGGTACCTCAGGTTAAGAACAGTTTCAGGTTAAGAATGGACCTCCAGAACAAATTAAGTTCTTAGCCAGAGGTACCACTGTACAAAGATTTTCCACACAGAACCTAACCTTTACTTCATAGCTTTGAAACTTCCTATTTGTCTCTTGATCTAAAAGAGATTTAAAGAAGATTCTTTTTTCCATGGTGCCCATGGACACCAGGATACCTTAAGGCCTAGTCTGTCTCAATTTTTTCCATGAGGTTTTTTGGCCTTTTTTGGAGGGATGCCTATTTGTGGAGGGTGTGACCTGCTTTATTGGGTGGGTGGGGGGTTCTGTGCTTTATTTGTTTTGGTGTTTGTGTGCGTGTTTTGCCTGTTGTTGTGGAGTTCCTGTGAATCATAGTTTTTCTTCTGGGAAATTGGCATTTTGTGGCCAAAATGTGCCCCAGGGCTGATGTAGGACCCCTGTCTCAGGCTTTGCTAAAGTTGGGTTTAATGCCTTGTTAAAACTACAGTCCTATTGATAGTTCTGTGCATATTCCGTCTGAAATGGCTGGAGCTTCCACAAACACAGCTGCACAAGGAACGAACACGTCTACGTCTGCAAACACATGTTCCCAAAACTACTGTGTTTATCAAGGTTACACAAAGGTAACCTTGAGATGAGAATTGCAGATGGGAACTGGTGAGTGCGAAGGTTAACTCTTCCCACACCCACCAATTCTTACCTCAAAATGTCCCCTTAAAGGCAATTTCCTCTTAACTGGGTTTACTTCTGGTCCCAGAGAGCAACAGGAATTAAGTGATATTGCTGGAGGAAATTGCATCATTCAAAGCATCCTGAGAAATAATTGCTCAGGTCAAGGAAGCATATGGCAAGAACTTCCATTTTATAAAGGCAGAATTGACAGCATTTTAGGAGCCACCCAAATACAAATAAAAATGTTATTGAACTGCTGTTGCAATTAGGGCTGGACTCGCCAATTTAGAATTGCTACAAAGCCTACCTACTTGGCAAGGAGGAAAACAAACCGCTAAACCTCCAGAAGACACAGTGTGGAACTGTGGAACTGATGGGTCTGGGTGCTCAAAATTGGGGTGTGTGTGTGTTCATTTCCCCCCTTCAACTCCCATTTGGAAACGGGGTGAAAAATAGGCATTTGGGTGAAGAATTGTGAAGCAGACAAAGCTAGGTGGTTGGCCATCTGTTTGTATTGGAGAAAACACCCACAGTGCCTGTTGCAATGACAATGTGGCCTTACTAAGGTGCCCATGACCCATGGGTTGGAAGCAGAGTTGTCCCTCAAGTTAATGGGCTGGTCAAAATATTATCCATTGACCAGTGGTGGAAGAAGGGGGTGCAGGGGGTGCAGTCTGCCCTGGGTGTCATCACTGAGGGGGAGGAGTGACAAAATGAGTTTTGGGGTTGTTTTTTTTAAATGGGCTCATGAAACTTTTTAGGAGTGACGTGGTGGCTTAGGTGCCTGCAGGTTCCGTGCTGCCTGAAACGGCAGCGTGGGACTTGCATCTGCCTACTGCCTCTCCCTCAGCCACCCTACAGCTGAGGGGGAGGCAGCATAGAGGCTCCAAGCGTCAGGGAGACTCGCCCCACCCCCACAGGTGGATCGCCCCGCCCCTGGCTGCAGGACACGCCCCCGTACCTGAGCAGCTAGCTACGCCGCTGCTATTGACCACCTAGACTGTGACTGCAGCCACATGTTGTCAAACAATGGCAAACTCATTCCATCGGCTCTGCTGAAAGACAAGTTGCATCAAGCCTATGCCTACACACAGAGAGAGACACACTAACACCCATCACTAGGTAGCATTCATGCTATTCCATCAGGTTGCAGCAACGGGTGAGATGGAAAGCAAGGCCACCCCATGGGCTTAGCTGGAAGCCCAGCCACGTTTGCCCCATCCTCTCCCTGAAACTGCTTCTCTTTCCAGCTGGTCATGATCAGAACTACTATTGAAGAATAGGTGCCCAGTTCTCTTTTTTCCTCTTTCCTCACCAACTTTCTTTCTTTCTTTCTTTTTAATTATTGCATCTTTTAGATGGTAAAGACAAGGGCTGTCTTTCTTTCCTTTTTTCCTTTCTTTACTGATTGCATGTAAGGCTCTCCAGGAGCCTTTCTGACTGTCAAGTAGGTGCAAAAATGCATCAGATAAATAAATGCCGCATTGCAGATAGCAGCTTACATCTTAAAACAGAATTCGCTATAGTGTTATATAGGAAGACTAAAGGTTGTTTGCCTCCTAACACTACAGCAGTGTTAGGGGTCAAGCCAAGAAGCACAACAAAGCTTCTTTTGTTGTCTGCCTGCTACATTTGCAACCATCCCAAACAGGAAAAGAAGACGTCAGCAAGAGCAAAGGCCGCTGCCTAGGGCTGACCCTGTCACCATTCTTCTCGCTGCGGAACCTGGAAGTAGATCCTGCATGAGATCTAGTAGGCTGCTCTGCAGAGCTCCTGTGAGGGGCTGCACTTTCGACACCTGAAAACCTCTAAACAGGTAATCTGACTATTATTGGAGCAACTGAGGGTTTTTTGGTAATTAACACAATTTTACAATTAATTATCTCCTAACATTAGGTTAATGCTTCAAAAAATGCTTGCACATTATTGGCCAACATTTGACTTAGTGACTTGGCCAAATGTTATTTGAATTGTCAAATGCCCAAACCTAGCTTGCAGCACATTGACATACACTGAAAGTAAAATAAACTACAGTACTGCAATGGCACCAAATCCATCGGAATCATTTCCATTAACCCGAATTATTGGCATTTTGCATGCTGAATTTTTCAGGTACTAAGTTTTAGATGGTTGTCACGGGTAGTCAGCCCAACATAGCAACAAGCTATTCACATCACCTTCTCACAGAAGCTGAAGACCTTGATCTGTAAGTGTATATTTAAGGAAGGGCACACTGGATTTGTGGCATAGTGCTACAAAAAGAGCAATGGAAAAGAAAAAAGTTTTTTTCCAGCATTATAAGGGGCTCTCCACAAAAATCAGAGACATCCTGATTTGCAGGTCTGTGCAACAACCAGCACTGTATTCTGAAGTCCATTTCCAAGGACTGTCAGTTCTCTGCACCACTTCACTGCTCAGTGTTCAGTCTGTCTGCAACACTCCCAATTTGTCTGCAAGACTCTTTCTCAGCTAGGTAAGATTCTAAAGCTAAAGCAGATTAATTAGGGAAGGTAAAACACTGAGAATTCAATTGTCAGAAAACTGCTGTACAACAGAAGGCCACCCTTTGCACATGAGAATGCACTGGATTCTGAACCATGCTGGGAAGAGCAGCTAAATCTTAAGGTGCCAGTATATCCTTAAGCCACATAGCCTGCTAAATTGGGCAATGATAGAAAAGAAAGCTGCTTACCATTCTCTTTCTTTCTTTCCTCTCTTTTCTTCTCTCCATGTTCTTTGAAAGAAGGTGATTGAAACTGATCTAGAGATGGTACCACTTTGTGAAGGATTGATGAAAAGCAACTGCTAGCAGCAAAGGAATAATATCACTTATTTCCTTGCATTTTAAAAATATTAATAATGAAATGATTAACAGGGGAGAAAACTCAACTCCAGTCTTCATGTTCACTGTAACCAGATTACTCATGCTGACTCACCAACCACCACTTCCTCTCTTACATTCTCTTCATACTTCAGAGTATGACTAGTCAACTTCTCAAGATCACTGTATCTCAAATTTATTCCAGGAAGAAGTCCATGCCGTGGGAGGAAAGCGCTTTCCAACTCAGTTAGAATCCTCCCCCCCCCCCCAATGCTAAAGGAAGTAATTTCATCCCACAAGGAATAATATGTTTGGAGAGGATTTGCAGGCAGACACACCACACACACAAGAGTCAGGAATTACAGAAGATGCTCGACGTTCAGTGGGTGCACTTTTAAATGTGTGGTGCCATCTTTTATTCCCCCATCCAATTTATATGTCAACAGCTCAAACTGAAAAACTAGCAACGTCAAAGCAATAAATGGGAGAAGATACTGAAATAAAACGGAAGAACGCTTTTGTAGGCAAGTTGTGTGTAAAAGACTGCCAACCCTGAGCAGACACTAAAAAGACTCTGGAATTAGTCACCTTTCCTCAAAGTGTCTATTTGCATTTGACAGCCAAGGATCACTTACCACCATCCCCGATTTTTCTCTATGATTGCAATCACATCCTTGAAAATGTGTCAGCAATATTCGGTGAAAGCTCAGATCAGAATAAGGGCTGCTAAAGTGGTCAGTAGCGGACTGCGCCTTCCCAAGGGATTGCTCCACCTACAGGGAAATGTTATGTACTAAGCTTGGATCCTAGAACAACAGGCAAGTAGGATCCTAGAATGCAACAACTGATTGGCTTGCAGGAAAAGACCAATCAGGCTCCAGGAGGGAAGCAGAATCAGCCAATCAGACAGGACTCATTGTGTAAATAATGTGTATAAAAGCCTGAGGTTTGGGGGGCAATTCAATCACTGTTTTACAAGCTGCAATAAAGAGCATGAAATCACTACAGGACTCCGAGTATATTTCATGTCCACTGCATAGCATACCACTACCTAAGTGCAACAGAGCGAGCTCAGTTTTTTCAACAACTAATCGGATTGTTCCCAAATTGGGGAAATCTGAGATCAGGGGGGGAAATGTGTGTGACTGCAGTTCTTTGCAATGCAGATCACGTGGACGGCAAAAACTTAATAAGAACACGGGATGAGCAATTTCAACTCCACATTATGCTCTGGAGTGGACAAGCCCTCTGTGTTCTCAAAGAGTTTTTTCACGACCCACTTCTTTAGCAAGATCTTTCTGATCCATCTTGATCACAGCAGGACCTCACCAGTGTAATACCAGTGTTCTGCCTCAACAGGCCAATGATTATATATTAGGAACCCACAGCTGCTCAGAGCTCCCAGGTGAAGGTGAAGGAGGCATGTGCATTGTTCATATATCACACATAATTGCTGCAGGAAATGCCAGTGCTGGATCCCCCCTGCCCTGATTCCCCCACCACTCCTGGTCAGTTTCTGACCTCTCCCACAGCCTCTATCTTGTCCGTCTAATACAGGTTGTAAATCCTCCTAGCTGAAGCTTCTGTACCACAGCAATTCCAGGGCAATGTCATAAGGACATGTCTCGGGATAGCTAACGATAGCAGGCACAGTACATTAAAAACCAAAAACTCTAGTAGCAACAAACAATCCATTAACAACTAGAAGCAGCTGGTGAAAATAAAACAACAGCCAGTACTAAAATTCAGTTCCAGTTAAAAGGGAGGGGTGGAATGCAAGGAATCCAAAAACCAATTAAGTGCCACTACAAGAGAACAGGACAGTCCTCACCCAGAGCCCCAAACAGAGCAACACAGGTAACAAATTAAGAGGGGTGGTCCTGTTGTAAGTTGCAACAAGCCATGTTAAGGCTGAGGTGGTAGATCAGGAGACGCGGCGGATTGTGCCCTCCCACTCGTCATCTGTTGCTCACAGGGCCACCCAAAAGCCACAATGCACTACTGAAGCTATTTAGAGTTTACACACATGCGCTTGCATATAATGCGTAGTTTGGTCCTTTGTCTCCTTGGCCCCCTCCGCACTACACACATAGCACATTGCCGTGCCACTTTAAACAGGCATGGCTTCCCCCAAATAATCCTGGTAAGCGAGTGCAGTTTGGTAAGGGTGCTGTAAGTTGTTGTTGTTTAGTCGTGTTCGACTCTTCGTGACCCCATGGACCAGAGCACGGCAGGCACTCCTGTCTTCCACAGTTTGGTCAAACTCATGTTGGTAGCTTCGAGAACACTGTCCAACCATCTCGTCCTCTGTTGTCCCCTTCTCCTTGTGCCCGAGAGCCAGTGTGGTGTAGTGGTTAAGAGCAGTAGTCCCGTAATCCGGAGAACCGGGTTCGCGTCTCCGCTCCTCCACATGCAGCTGCTGGGTGACCTTGGGCTAGTCACACTTCTCTGAAGGTTCTCAGCCTCACTCACCTCACAGAGTGTTTGTTGTGGGGGGGGAAGGGAAAGGAGAATGTTAGCCGCTTTGAGACTCCTTAAAGGGAGTGAAAGGCGGGATATCAAATCCAAACTCTTCTTCTTCTTCTTCCTCCGTCTTTCCCAACATCAGGGTCTTTTCCAGGGAGTCTTCTCTTCTCATGAGGTGGCCAAAGTATTGGAGCCTCAGCTTCACGATCTGTCCTTCCAGTGAGCACTCAGGGCTGATTTCCTTAAGAATGGATAGGTTTGATCTTCTTGCAGTCCATGGGACTCTCAAGTTGTTAGGAGACCCCTAATCCCCTCACAGAGCTATAATGCACAGATTTCCCTGGGCGTTGATTGTTAAACCGCCCTGAGAACTGTAGCTCTGTGAGGGGAACAGGGATCTCTCAACAACTCTCAGCACCCTTAATAAACTACATTTCCCAGGATTCTTTCATGACAGCCATTGCTGTCTGAAGTGGTATGATACTGTTTTAAATGTATGGTGCAGACAGAGCCACAGAATGAACAATTCAATCCAAGAGCAAGGACAAAAAGCTAAAAATGTTGTCCGAAACCAAAGAGTTACAAATGCAAAGATTTTGGGTTCCTACAGATGACCTGCTCATTAAGCTGTCATCCTGATTTGTTTGTGTGTTTTCCTGTTAATCATTTGACCATCCCAAACTTTCCCCTATGACTTTACTAAGCACAAAAAGTTGTTACAGAAAGTGTATTTGTTGCGCCAGGCAGCAGAGCACTCAAAACCACTTCAATTGTGGCAAACCTAATTTCCGGAGTGTGCTTGAAACTCTCTCATGAAACACAGATAGACTGGACACAACTGTCCTTACACGAATTTGAATAAGAAAATAAAATTTTAAAGACTTTCTCTACACTCGGGTTAAGTTTAGATAGTTAGCTATGCCTGTGTATGTTTGCTACCCAACAAAGGCTGGTCAAGGAAGTTCTGGTAAACCAACAAACCACAAGTAAGGGTCATCTGAACCAGCATGCCTCAGCTTGTCAGGGTGACAAATACCTCAGGACTGTCTTTGAATGCTACCAAGCAACAGCTAAAGCAGAAAAATAATCTCTCAGCAGTTTACATAAAGTAGTATAAAGTATTCGTTTAAAATAGCGATTTTAAAATATAGACATAATAAAAATTATCAGAATATGTATAAAATCAACCGATTTAAATACAAATGTACACAAGAAAATCCCTTGTCTGGGCAGGCTGGCCTATACAAAAAAACAAAAACAGTAGAAGTCAAAAACAGTACAATGAAGGGGCCTGCATGATGTCAATAGGCAGGAAGTTCCAAAAAAATTGGGGCTGTCATGTGAAAAGCTTGATTTCTCGCAAATACGGGAACATTATATGGCCCTTGTAACACTGCCCCTTCTCCAGGTTGGGTGGCACACACAGGGCAAGGCATTCCTTTAAATAAATAGCTCCCAAGCCTATATAAGCACCTGTTACACTAATTGTAACATCTTGAATTTGGCCCAGTCACAGGCTGTTGGATCTTTGAGCAGGGTGCTGACAGAGTCTTAACTGCTCTCAGTTCGTGAAGGAGTTTTGAGGTTAGATCTGTACAGGGTAGCAAAAGATCGGACTTCCATTCTGCTTCACTAACTACAGCTTCTGGACAAAGCACAAAGGAAACCCCACGCCAGTGTGCATTGAGAACCTACCATCACATCACTCCCAGACAAATGTGCACAGGATTGCAGCCTTAAAAAGATACACCCCTCTTTAAAGATACACCTCCTGTGCACCTCTGATCTCGAAGCTATTCATAGCTTTTTTGTCACCTTTCCTTTTTACACCAGAGTGTCCCTTTCTATCTGAAAGCATCTTGTAGGAAGCAAATTTCTGGGACTTATTTTGGTGCCCGGAACAAGGGCTGGCCCAACAGTGGGGTTTTTTAACACATCATGACACTACCAAGTTAAAATAACAGTTGGTGAAATCTTAAGCAGGAGTTAACTGGTGGACCCTGTGACCACCTTCAGTCCTGTCCAATCACTCTGGCTCAAAGCAGCCCTGTTGGGTTCCCCTTCCCTGCCGCTACCAATGTCACTGTGAAAACCCCAGCCAGGGCCGGCCCACCCATGAGGCAATGTGAGACGACTGCCTCAGGTGGCAGGATCCACAGGGGAAACATATCCCAATGTAGATCGTTAATCCCTCTTGTTCACTTACCACTTCTTCCCTGGTGAGGAGGAGGCGCCATTTTGTGGTTCGTCTCAGGCACCAAAATGTCTATAAAAATTAGGATGCTCTCCAGGGTTTCAGAGAGGAGGTCATTCCCCATCATCTGCTACAGCTACCTGATCCTTTTAACTGTAGGTGCTGCCATGGATCACCTTGGTACCCACTGCTATGGTCTCCCTGCTCCCATGCAAGACAGTCGATTCTCTCTCTTGCTCAGCCTCATAAGTTCAGGAAAGATAACAACTGTCTGAGGGCTCACGGTGCAAGTTAGGCCGGTCAGACTCCACAAACTATCTGGATGGGAAACCGCCCAAGAACCATATTCAGACCATGCTTTAGCTCCTCAAAGAGCAGGAGAGAACAACAATAGCACCAGTCAGTCAAAATCCTCGCTCGAGTCTTTTCCTCGCTCTATTGTTTCAGTAAATACCAGGGCCTTTATTTTTTTTAATGGCTAGCTCACCACACAGCAGACAGATAATAATCATCGCCTAGAGCAAATACTGTCTAGCTAAAAGCAACCAGGACAGGGTTGGGGCTCTTCTAAAAACTTTTCAGCAATAGCCTAGCAGGTGTAGCTTCTCCCAAGGGAGTGTTGCAGAGATGCACCGCTGTGCCTGCAGAATGTTGTCCTGCTTCCAGAGCCCTAAAGCAACGGAAGTCCTGCGCCTTTAGAAACGTGGCCATGCTACACCCGATCCTTCCGCACAACATACATTAATAGAAAGCTGCTTGCCATTGCCTTACCTTTCTGTGGCTTCCACTGACATCGATGCAGGTCACGCAGCACAACTGCAAATGGTCCGGCTTGTCCTGGGAATAATAACCATGCTAGGTCCCATGTCAATCCTGTGCCAAAAAAGAAGGCAAGGGGGGTGGGGAGAGATGAGGAAACGAAGGGGCAATATTTTCCCACACTTTGTAGTCACACTTGCTGTTTTACTATTCCTTTAAAAGGACAGAAATCTGTTTTTGTAAGAAAGTGTAGCTTCTGGGAGAAATTATAAACCGAGATCAAAACTGGGTCTTAAAAAAAGAGGGAAAAGAGGTAGGGGGAATGGATAAACAAATTTGTCAAAAATAACCAGAGTGTGTGGCTCTGCTTTCCGGTGAACTTTTAGACCTTTGTAGAAAGAAGTCCTGAGAAACATTTTCATGGGAACATTAAGGATCCATCTTTCCCACACTGAAGCCAGCATTAAGACTTTTACTAACTTCTGTGGAATCTGGACCAGACCCTCTAATGGAGATATTAATTCCCTAACTGCTAATGGGGGGGGGGCAGAAAGCACAAACCAAATGAAACTGAGTAACAGAAGGAGTTGTGAATGTCCATGAATGTATGAAGCTGCCTCAGACCATTGGCCAGGGCCAGCCCTACTATTAGGCAAAGTCAGACAGCTGTGTTTGGGAGTCATGAAAGGGAAGCATATTGTTAGTTATTTCATTAATTTTTATTTTTTTTACAAGGAGCATTGTACCAAGTGCTGCCCGGGAATTCTAAGAAACCAAAAAGATCTGTGCAGTTTTGAAATCAGCTGTTATAAACTGTGCGGTTTAGAAAGGTTCAGTCTGCTATCTCAATTCAAAATGGCATCCGATTGTATACTTATACAGACAAAAAGCCTTCTTGACCTCAAGGACCATCATGCAAAATATCTTAAGAGGTGTCCCAAGCCATAGCAAACAAACAAACAACTTTCCAAAACACACAGCAGACTAACAGCCTTGGTGTCACTCAGGAATTGAGAAACCAAAAAACCAGCTCTTCAGTGTGACAACATTTACAGACATTTTACAAGACGACCACATGACACTGGTCCTGAAAAAGTATAAATTGGCTCCCAATATGTTTCCGAGCACAATACCGAGTGTTGGTGTTGACATTTGAACCCTACCCAGCTTTGGTCCTGTATACCTGATGGGGCATCTCCATCTCTACCATCTTCAGCCCAGACACGGAGGTCCAGCGCTGAGGGCCGCCTGGCAGTTCCCTCACTGTGAAAAGTGAAGTTACAGGGAATCAGGCAGAGCACCTTCTTAGCAGTGGCACCCGCCCTGTGGAATGCCCTCCCGTCAGATGTCCAGGAAATAAACAACTATCTGACTTTTAGAAGACATCTGAAGGCAGCCCAGTTTGGGAAAGCTTTTAATGTTTGATTTGTTGTTATTATTGGTGGTGGTAGTAGTAGTAGTAGTAGTAGTAGTAGTATTTTTGTTGGAAGCCGCCCAGAGTGGCTGGGTCTACGCAGTATTTGATGCTGATGATTATTATGAAAGGGCCCTTTACCCTCAAGACAACTACTTTTGTCCGACTAATGCAATTCTTTTCTCTTGGGACTCCCATAGTAGTTTTTTGCCCCCCACCACCTTTTTCATGAGCTTCTTAAGGAAAATCTTGTGAATTTTGAGACACACAACTTCCTGATTTCTTTTGACAGCACAATACTTATTTACCTGCTTCTGTTTAGAATCCCCACACACGGCTGGTTTTCTAACTGAGAGGGCCAGCTCTGCCACTACGCGGAGTGAAGCAGCTGTTTCAGGCAGCTGAATTTGGATGTTATTAACGAGCAACAGATTTATTTAATTTATCATTGTTGCATTTTTCCTACAAAGAAAAGGGAAGAGGCACTTGTGGGATTTTCCGCCTCAGGTGCCGGGGGGCTGTCTGTATCTTGATTCTTGAAAGGAGAGGGACACCGTTTGCTGTTCTTCTCATGCAGCCAAAGGCCTTGTGCCAGCCTGCGCAATCACATCCCCACCAACAAATCATATTTTTTTACTTTCAAGAGCTGGCAACCCTGCAAAATCACCGAGTCCCATTTCTTGAGTTTCTGACTTTGGGATACTGGTGATCTGGCAACTTGACAAGATGAGAAAGACTAATACTGCCCATTACGAAGTGGTTCCTAGAAGAGCTACTAAAAAGTGAAATAAGTTTCATTGGGAAGTAATAGAATCCCACTTCCTTGTTGGAAGTTTTGAAAAGCTCAAAAACACTTGGGGCAGGCTTCTTTCTTGGCTCAGGACAGAGAATTGAACTAGATGATCCACTGGCTTCTGTCCAACAGCAGGAACTGAAAGAGGAAATGTAAACATTTGAATGCTCCCTCTGTAGAATATTGAGACCTGTTGATATGTCACAAACACCCTGCAAATGGAAAACCTAATGATTAGGGCAAACCTAATCATCATAAACTTACACCCCAACATGTAGGGTGCTTTTGATCTGGGGGAGCATTCAAATAGGTAACTTCCCACTTGTGGTTTGGTTTTGTAGGAAGGACTCATACAGTGTTCTTTCTTTCTTTCTTTCTTTCTTTCTTTCTTTCTTTCTTTCTTTCTTTCTTTCTGAATCAGCTATATTACAGTCCCAATAAAGCAGCAAGCTTAGAAAATTCCTGCACACATTTCAGAATCTTAAAAAATAAATAAATCATCCTGCAACATGAGAATTCAAAATGTACCACCACACAAACTGAGCACTGAAAACAAGCACTTCCCCTTGGAACACTTGCATGCCTTCTTATAGCATAGCGCATGAAGAATCACACACTGCATTTATGTTGTACAAAACGTGTGCCTTCAAAATGGGAATCCTCAGGTCGCATAGGGCACCATGTTTAAGGAAGCATCTGTCCAGCTCTACCACGGACTGCAGGATCTGATTACCCACCTATAAAATGGGTGTAATAATCCAAACAGCTGCCTCCTTGCTAATTGGTTCATTACAAGCACTCATTTCTCTAGCATATAATAATGGGATACATCTTGCAATAAATATGCTAGCTAAGCACTACAATATTGTCTCTATAATTTAATGGACCCACAGTGGGGAGGAGAGACAGTTCATGTTTCACATCTCATTTTGCCTTTGAATAACCAATAACACATTGCTAAAAGCTGGCTGCATGAAACAAGTGCTTCATTTGCTGCTTTGGCTTTCTGCTAAATTACAGCACTTTGAAGGAAGGAGAGTGGAGAAGGGGAGAGAAGGAGCTGACTGTTTTCTAAAAGCTGATCAGCTGACATTTAATTGCGGTTATGCTTTTTTTTTTATTGCTTTTGGCTTAACCTCCCTCTCTCCTCCTCTACTACCTAAATAACAGAGCGGTATCTTTTGCCATGGAAAACAAAAACCTATTAAATGTCAGGCACAAAGGGGAATAAAAAGATGCTGACATTATGCTTTGCAAGGACAAATTAATTTATGAAAAGAATGTGCGCTTGCCACAACTCATGGAAAAGGGAGAGAGAAAAAATCTCCACGGAGAAAATTATATTAGCCAAAAGAAAATGTAAATGTAAAGTCCTGGTAAGTATGTGAAGTTGCAAGAGCAACTCATTTTCAGTTAGTGTCCAGCTTTCCCAGATCTTGTTCTGTGTGCAGCAATGACACTCCTATGTGCAGCAGTTGTATTGGAAGTGCAACATCCTATGCGATTCGGCTGCACATAGAAAACAAGAACAGATGCACTGCCGCGGTGCAGAAAAATCACAACTTAACCAGCAGGGTAAAATTACAGTCCGACTGCTGAGAACATGTGATTTTCGCATGAGAAGCACTTCCTGGAGGAAGATATTTTTATTCCCTGTGGCAACTAACAGTTTTACAACTTCGGGGACACGCATTGGAATCTCCTGCATCAACTAAGTACAGTGGTACCTCGGGTTAAGAACTTAATTTGTTCTGGAGGTCCATTCTTAACCTGAAACTGTTCTTAACCTGAGGTACCACTTTAGCTAATGGGGCCTTCCGCTGCCGCTGGAGCATGATTTCTGTTCTCATCCTGAAGCAAAGTTCTTAACCCGAGGTACTACTTCCGGGTTAGCGGAGTCTGTAACCTGAAGCGTCTGTAACCCGAGGTACCACAGTAGCGACTATGTTTTTGGACTTGTTTGTTTCTTAAATGCCCAGAATTGCCTTCAGAGACTGAACAGGTCCCCTACCACCACAATAACATCCCTGCCACCTCTTAGATCAGAACACAAGCTAACTTACCCTCACAAACAACTCTTATCCATTTGGGGACCCCTGCTTACGTTTTACATTTGCTCTAGTTCTTTGTGGATTGTTTGCTGCCTGCTCTAGGGAGTTAAAGTGGGTATCCCATCTCCTTTTGAGGTTTTGCCTAAAGAAATAAAGGCAAGAGGCTAAGAAATAAGGTGGCACTCCTATGCCTGTGGGTCTGGAGACCTCTCGCACCAAACAGAGAAAAGGGGCACTTCCAGATGTTTGCTATTTTCAGGAGGGATTCTATATAACACACCGGTGGATTCAGGTTGCACAGTTCAATATGATTTGGTGCTCTTGAGCAACAAAATCATTTCCCCACAGAGCCAGATATTTTACAGTAAGAAAAGTGAGGGGGGGGGGAAGGTGTGAGATAACACCTGCTTAAGAAATCATCATCTGACCTTCCTGCAAACAAATCAGAACAAATGCTCAATAAACAGATGACGTCTTATAACCTCCCCACACTTGTGCAGACAAATCAGGATGAATGCTCAATAAACAGGTAATCTGGAAATGAGCTGGGCAGGTTAGCTTCTCAGCATACAGGGGAGGAAAACTGCTGATTCTTGCCTCGTAAGATCACCATTGCAGTCAAGGCACAACCTCTCCAGCCATCCCAAGTGTGGTTAATAAGTGTGCACAGGCAGCTGCAGCTGGGGTAGCAGGTGGCAGAAATTGAGGGTGCTCCTTGCATGAGCAGAAGTGCCTTTCTACAAGCAAGATACTTGCGGATCCAGGCCTTTGGCAATGGAAATAAATAAACTAAACATATGGTTTCCTGAAATTGGAGATAAAAATCTTTCAACTGAGTCTGTACGTTGATGCCATCGCTCTAGCCACGGCAGACCCAGCTAAACTGACAGGATCATTGCAGTGTGTGGTTTCGAAGCAGTTGCAAAAGGTAAATAAATCAAGTTCAATAGATATTGGCCTTAAAATAAATAATAAAGGTCTAGATATGCCAGTAGTTTGCTTGTTTCTATCTGAAATGATATGAGCAGGCTGAATGCTGGTGTCAGGCGTTATAGATGTGAAGGGCATATTAGGTATATAGACATCCACAGAGGAAGGCAGGAACCCCAACCATACACCCTCCAGGCAAATTCATAAGGCAGCAACCAGTCCTTCAGATATCCAGGTCCAAAGCCCGAAACGACTTTCAAGATTAAAAGCCGGCACTTTGAATTGTGCCCTGGAACAAATGGGAAGCCAATGGGGTTCACTGGAGTTAGTGCCAACCAGTGACCCAGCTATCGCATTTTGTGCCAACTGGAGCTTTCTGAGTAGTTTACAAATGTGGTTCCACATACAATGCACTGCAGTGGTCCAATCTAATCCAGGTGCTGGGTAACAGTGGCCAGGATATTTCTTTTCAGGAGGAGGAGACACAGCTGGAGCACCAGACTAAGCTGGTGGAAGGTGCCTCATGCCACAGATGCTACCTGGGCATCCAACAGAAGGGCAAGATATAATAACTGCATCAACTATCCAGTTTGGTCCCGAGTTAGCAGAGTCCAGCTCCTGTGAAAGAGCTCTTCTTCACTTGCCGCAGGCACCTATTGGACAGTACTTGTGATGACATAGAAGAAGACACAACCCCCATGCCTTACAGTGGTACCTCTGGATGCAAATGGGATCCATTCCAGAGCCCCGTTCGCGTCATGAGCAGAACGCAACCTGTGTCTGCGTGTCTACGCATGCGCGGGTCGCAATTTGCCACATCTACACATGTGCGTGACATCATTCCGAGTGTCTGCGCATGCGCGAGCGGTGAAACCCGGAAGTAACCCGTTCTGTTACTTCCGGGTCACCGCGGGACGCAATCTGAAAAGATTTAACCTGAAGCATCTTTAACCCGAGGTATGACTGTATAGGTTGCGTACCCATTGTTCCTTTAAAGCACCCTTCAAAAGAATCACGGGAACTATAGTTCATTAAGGGTGCTGGGAATTTTGTAGTTCCGTGAGGGGTTTCCTATTGATTTATTGAAATTCATATGGCTCCCTTCATTCGAAGATCACAGGGGAGTTTGCAGCATAAAAATACAAAGCGAAAACACAAAATATGTAACGAAATGAAAGAAATGAAAACACAGTTCCTAGAATTCTTTGGGGGAGTGCTTTAAAAAGCATGATGTACAAGCAAGTTTCAGATTTTTAGTTCTGTAAAAAAAGCAAGGGCTCCTCCTCAACTTTCTTCTTTTCCAGCAGGGGAGTGACCAGCACTTGCTCTAAACCACCTAACATTTTTCAAAGGCAAATCTTTTCAGCCTCAGCAAAACTCATCCCACATGAGTAAGCCTCTTTCTCTCTACCTCGGCTACATATGCTAACACACACTACAGTTGCATGATCATTGCTAGCTTCGGCTGTAGTACTAGGCAGGAAGTTGCTTCCGTAGCTCAAAAAGGAATAAATAAAATTCTCTTAGCTGATAGTGGTTTTGTTTTTATTCCTGCCTTTATTGCACTTGACATAATGTAGGCAGTTTACATGTAACCAAGCCAGATGGATGTGAAATGTTTTTTTCTTCCCTTTTTTTTTTTTTCTCCTTTGCAGGTGCTTTAATAGTGATGCCAAGAAAATCTGGATCAGAAAAAGCCAGTCCTTTTCCAAACATTCTAAAGGATTGAAGTATATATGGCTCAGCTTCAGATGACATATTTGACTGCACTACATAAAAATAAATCCCTCAAACCGCACTTAAAAAACTATAGCAAGGACTTCTAAGCAATACACACAGAGCTGTAAAATAAAACGGAGCTGGCTAATGAAGCATACTGATTTCTATAAATCCTTATATTTTAAAAAACAAAAATAACGCCTCGAGCTTAGCTTTTGAGAGAAACCACATCCTTTGTTTCAATAAATTGGTATGGAAATTCATATATAAATATACATTCCAAATAGCTTTTTATTTCCTATATATTGCTCTTTATGAACTATTCTGTTACATACCCCTAGCCTTTTTCAGATGGAAACAGGTATACTTAGTTTCCATGCCTTGTCAGAAGAAATAGCATTATAAATGATATCTTGCAGTAAATGCATGCGAAACAGCAGCAGCAATGAGCTGCACCTCACTGTCCTTTTTCTAGAGGAGTTCACATCAAGCTTTATTTATGTACATGCGCAGGTGGGAACTGAAGACATTTCAGGTAGCAATCCTGTACCCACCTACTTCACTGCTTGGAAGTAAGACCTATTGAATTCAGTTAAACTTACTTCTGAGTCGCAATGTAAGAAGGCATCATTTCCCGTTCCTCCCGGTTTTCGTCACACGCAGCACTGTTTCTGCTCTGCTGCAGTTCATCTTCCACCAAAAGCTACAATCTTCATCTCGCTGTCTGCTGCGGCAAAACTGCATAACTTAATTACATCATATCATTCCACTCCTTTTATTTCAATGCAAAAGAGAGGGGAGGGGGACATAATCAATTACATATTGTTTGCAGACTGAAAGCAACAACAGTGAATACCAGTCGTATTCACTGGATTGATTTATGTGCTGCAATTGGGGCGAGCAGGTGAACAATAGCATTTTCTGCCCCCATTTCAATTTTTGCTGGAATTCTACGACTTCCAGACAGAAATGTATAGGATTCGCTGTTGTGAGCAACTCAGCACCTCTGAGCATGCCTAAAGATTTCCTGAAGGGAAGAGGGTCTTCTTAGGAAATACACACAGTGATTATCCTGTTTGTTGGTTTTGGTTTTCATCTGCTGGGGAAAAAGTAGCATGCTTCTATTGGCCTTCAGTTGTGTACTCCGTTTGGAACACATCAAAAGGACTGTGCTAACACACTGGAGAAAATTCAGAAGAGGCAAAAATAAACCCAGAATGCAAGATTCTTGCCGATCTAAGCAGAGGCAGAACTAGTGCACCCAGGGGTGGGGCCATGGGGGCTGGGTAAGTGTCCCAGGAGGCAAGCTGCCTATGGGGGCTGCTTCCTGGGTGGGGAGGGAGCCACGTCGCTTTGCCAGCAGCCTTCCTTCCCTCTTCCTTTTGACAGCTCAGGGGAGGCTTCCCCCCACAGGAGGCAGCTCGAGAGTGGGGAGCAACAGTGTGCCCACGACTCCCAAGCCTCCCCCGAGCTGTCAAAACAAAGGGGAAGGCTACTGGCAAGGCGGCGCAGCTCCGCCCCTTCCCCCAACAGCTCAGGGTAGGCTTGGGAGTCGCGGGTGGGCAGCGCGCTGAATGTCACCCCCCTCAGTGATGACATCCGGGGCGGGGCACCTCCACCGCCCCCCTTCCTCTGCCCCGAAAGGTAAAGGTAAAGGGACCATTAGGTCCAGTCGTGGCCAACTCTGGGGTTGCGGCGCTCATCTCGCTTTATTGGCCAAGGGAGCCGGCGTACAGCTTCCGGGTCATGTGGCCAGCATGACTAAGCCGCTTCTGGCGAACCAGAGCAGCGCATGGAAACGCTGTTTACCTTCTCGCCGGAGCGGTACCTATTTATCTACTTGGACTTTGACGTGCTTTCGAACTGCTAGGTTGGCAGGAGCAGGGACCCAGCAACGGGAGCTCACCCCGTCGCGGGGATTCGAACTGCCGACCTTCTGATCGGCAAGTCCTAGGCTCTGTGGTTTAACCCACAGTGCCACCCGCATCCCTCCTCTGCCCCTAGATCCAGGTAATTTGGGAGTTCCTTCCACTTCCAAATAGCTGAGTTCTAAGTGTGGGATAAGATTTTGTTGACCTCCCTGCAAACAAATCAACAGCAGCCAGTGTCAACTACACCCCCTGAAAACTTTGTGCAAACCAACAGGATGAACATTCTATAAAAAGGTTGCCCAATTACTTTTAACAAAAAGATGCAACAAAGAGAGAGCTTATTGTAGTACGAGGAGATGTATTTCTTAATGCATTATGGTAGGTGCGGGGGTGGGTGGGAAGCAAAGTGCTATCAAAGTGCAGCAACCCAGGTTAGAGTGTGTTGTCAGGAATAAACAGAGGAGCCTCCTGCCCTTCTTCTGATCATCACTGATATTTCCTTTCAGTGTGTTGGCCTGTACACAGCAAAGGGCCCAGAGCAAGGCGAATACACCCTTTCCCACAGCTCACAGAACTTTTGGAATGAATAGGAGCCTAGGCCCGAAAATGCCCGTGTGAGTGAGTCGCACTCATGTGAGCCACACCACCTCACAGTGGGCAGATCACATGAGTGGGGCCAACCCATTTGTGTAGGTGTTTATGCATAGCAGCCCCTGCCCACACAGAAGTTTCTGCATGTGACAAAGGAAGGTGTATTAATGTCCATTGAATCCTCTGAGAGACCAGCCAGAACCTGGCTCCTCCTCCCTTTGGACTCTTTCCTCTTCCGGCTGATTATTATAAGAACGATGTAACCAAGCACCAGTGCCTGAGTTTGCTTTCTCCCTCTGCCCGCCAAATTCCTTTTGTGTTGTGTCTCTTTTAGGTCGCATCTGCACTGTCCGATTAAAGCACTCTTAGACCACTTTAATACAGTGGTTTCCCAATGGGTGGTCCGTTCACACAACAAAAACTACCATCGAGATTTCAACATTTTCAAAAGACTTGGCTTTTGAAAAAACAGAGTATTCAGCTAACCAGGAACCACAGCTCTAATAAATATGGAGTATCCTAGGTACTGGCGTTTCTTAAGAGTGCTGGGAATTGTGGATCTGAGAGATTTGCGCCCTTAACAAACTACACTTCCCAAGGCTCTTTGGGGAGAAGCCATGACTGTCAAAGTGGTAAAGGTAAAGGGACGCCTGACCATTAGGTCCAGTTGTGGCTGACTCTGGGGTTGCGGCGCTCATCTCGCTTTACTGGCTGAGGGAGCCGGTGTACAGCTTCCGGGTCATGTGGCCAGCATGACTAAGCCACTTCTGGCGAACCAGAGCAGCGCACGGAAACACCGTTTACCTTCCCGCCGGAGCGGTACCTATTTATCTACTTGCACTTTGATGTGCTTTCGAACTGCTAGGTTGGCAGGAGCAGGGACCGAGCAACAGGAGCTCACCCCATCACTGGGATTCGAACCGCCAACCTTCTGATTGGCAAGTCCTAGGCTCTGTGGTATAAGAGCCTAGGACTTGCCAATCAGAGCCACCCGCATCCTAAAGTGGTATAAGAGTGCTTATAGCCACAGCGCCACCCGCATCCTAAAGTGGTATAAGAGTGCTTTAAATGGACGGTGTGGATGTGACCTTAGTCCCTGCCCTCAGACTTAGAATGGCTGCTTACCCGGTCACAGGGCGGGCAGCTATTGCGGCCTGTCGCACCAGGCCCTTGCCCTTGGGAGCAAGGTCAGGGCTAGGCAGCCGTCCGTGGGGAATTCCCAGACCAGCTGCGGGAGATTGGCGGGCTTTCCTGATATCATTTTTTTTGAATACTAGCCAATATGGCCAGGTCAGTTGGGCAGGGTTTGTTCCCCTTCGTGCCTTGCTTCCAGGGAGGGGGGTCACTGCGGATGGGTCCGTGATATGTTTTACTATTTACATTTGTAAGCCATTCTGGGAGCCTTTCTTTGGCTGAAGAATGGTGTAACTAAAAACTATTTAAAAATGAAATAATAAAGGAATCTGACAATGCAAGGATCCACCACAAAAGTCAGTCAGTCAGCAGGAATCTACCAGATTTGCACTTCCCAAATAGGGTTGCTACATGTAACATAGCTGGTACAGTGGTACCTCAGGTTAAATACTTAATTCGTTCCGGAGGTCCGTACTTAACCTGAAACTGTTCTTAACCTGAAGCACCACTTTAGCTAATGGGGCCTCCTGCTGCCGCCGCGCCGCCGGAGCACAATTTCTGTTCTCAAGCTGAAGCAAAGTTCTTAACCCAAGGTACTATTTCTGGGTTAGCGGAGTCTGTAACCTGAAGCGTATGTAACCTGAAGCGTATGTAACCTGAAGTACCACTGTATTCAACTCTCATAAACAGTGCGCGGGTGGAAATTGTTGAAATGTCCATGAAAATCCATACGTATGGCAACCCATGTCAGTAGTACGTACAGAGAATTTGACAAATTTAATTAAAAGTAGCTGAACCCTCCCCTTTTTTTATTTCACCAAAAACACTCAACAACTTTGCCAATAAAAGCCCAACAACTTTTGTGTCCAGATTTTCACTTTTTGAAACATGACAACCCTACAAAACAATATGTGAACTGATATGCAGCATTTCTTCCAAATATATCCAAATTTTGCAGTACAGTGCACCAAACAACCAAGGTTTATAAATCAGCATATATTAAGGCAGAGGGTGCATATAAGTGAAAGTAACGTTAAAATGCATTATATTGGGGGAAAACTGCTTGCAAAAAAATGTATACATTAGTAAAGAAAGAAAAATACTGCAGAATTGCAGAGAATTTAAGATGGGGAAAATGGGAAACCGAGAGAACTGAAATGGACAGACCCTTCCATCCCTTGAGTGAACCAGATCTAAGAGGCGTCTCAGCCAGAATGCAAATATTCAGCATAGGGAAGAGAAAATCTGTAACTAATAAAAGTTGCGCAGAATGAAATCAATCCCAGCTTGTGTATCGTCTTAGAAGGCAACTCAATGCAAGCAGGAAATAAGCTGTCCTTCGCAGTAGCATGTAAGCCAATGCCCTCAAATATTGTTATGTGCTCCCCGCTTCCCAGAGCAGAGAGTAATTCCAAGGGCAGAATTATCAGGTTTAGATTCCGTTGCATGGAACCGGAGAGTTGTGCTGTCTTTGTAATATTTCATTTATAAAATACACAAACAGAGCATAAGCGGTGGCAAACAGTAACTCCTGCAAGGGATCAGTTCTGCTCCCACCCCACACCTCAGAGTTTCAGAAAGAGAGAACTTATTTCACCTTCAGCCTCCTCACACATTCACAGCTCTGTATGTCTCCAAATCCCCAAACTGTCCAACTGCTGTTTCTCACAGCTCACTAGGCCGGCCCCAGACATATTGCTGCCTGAGGCAAAGGACAAGATGCCCCCCTCTCCACTCCATGGACAGAAGCTGATTGGCCTGGCAGCTGAATTTTACTTCAGCGCCTAAGGCAGCAAGCTAGTTTAGGGGGACCAGGACAGAGCATGTGGCAGACATATTTCCTTCCTTCAAGCAGAGGGAAATGTTTGAGGTTGCTCAGGAGGAACACTCAGTGGAATGCCACTGCTGGCCTTCGCCTGCCACCAAATACCTAATAGTAGGGCTGGCCCTTCCTCATTTGACAAACACCACAGACCCTGTCACGGGCGATTGAAGTCCCGGCTGAGGACATCGGGACCGGGGGCAAGATGGCAGGGTGGGAGCAGGAACGAGAGTCCAGAAACCAGGGGTCCGAGAGTCAGGAAGCAGGGAGTCACAAAGTCAAGGGTCTGAGGGTCGAGAAGCAAGGAGTCAAGAAGCCGAGGTCTGAGGATCAGGAAGCAAGAAGCCAAACGCAGCGAGGCAGGAAACGTGTTGCTGTGGCAAAGAGCCGAAGGGAAATGCTGACCTTATATCCCTTCCGGCTCTAGCCACCAGGTGCAGTGAGTTACCAAGCAGCCTTACCTGTGCAGCTGTGCCTTGCCTCTCCAGAACAAACTTAGGAAGGCCCCAGTCCTGCGAAGCCCTACTGGTCACAGGGCCCAGCTCCTGCACGCACTCCTGACTGATCCTCAAGCTACCCTTCTAGTCGCTGAAGGGCTTTCAATCCAGTATGAGGGAGGGGAACTGATTTTTGGTGATTTTCTTTTCCCCGGCATCACCTTTCAGACTATCCAGAGTGAAATATACTCAAATCTGCTCCAGAAGTTAAGGAAATTTCTCTGGATAGTCTGAATGGTGATGCCAGCATCTGTGGTATTTGTGGGTGGGGCAGAGCAAAGAGTTGCAGTAAAGGATGGTTCCAATGAGCAGCCCTGCTCCTTTAGGGGAAAGGCAATCCTGTGTCGAACAGGAACAACCACTTACTTGCCAGACCTGGAAATCCCCTACCCAGAGGGCCTCAGCCTTGTTGGGATTCAACTTCAACTTCTTGGCCATCATCTAGCCCCATCACAACATCCAGGTCCTGGACCAGCATTTGCCTGGCTACACCTGATTCAGGTGCAACAGAGAAATAGAGCTCAGCCATAGCTCAGTGGCAGAGCATCGGCTTTGCATGCAAAACGTCCCAGGTTTGAACCCCAGCATCTCCAGGTTTGAACCCCATGTCACCTCGCCTGATGCTAGATGAACCAATGGTTTGATTCACCATAAGGCAGCTTCCTATGTTCCTGCGACACGCTGCACTCCAGATCTCTTAACGAATTTCAACATATGCCAAGATTCAGAGAGTTCTTCAAAGCCAGCTATAAATAAAGACGGAAAGAATTGGGACATGTGCTAGCAAGGAAGCCAGGGCATCTGCTATGGCAGGCATTCGCTTGGGCAGCTGGAAGAACAGAAGATAAGAGCCAAAACTGAGGAATTCCTTTGTCACACAACACTCACTGGAAATAAACATGAGAGGCCTTTTAAAAAGGGAAATGTCACGGCAATGCGCAAGGCATGTGTAAAAATGTTGTGGATATAAAGAGGAAATGCAAGAGGGCCCTGGTGTCGTTTATTGGGATAATGGATGCTGTCGATAACAGAAAAATCGTCTCTTGCTTATTATCCACGTTAATGTGAATTTCTGTGTCAATATGCGACGGAAACAGGGTTACAATAAAGTAATAGTTCTCAGAGTTTATCTGCTTACCATACCATGGTATCAATTTACTTGGGTCAGTTGCAAATTATAGGCACAGTTAACTCTGTGTGTTATGCGGCTCCTAAGGACCTGCCCAGACATGCTCTACAGTTTGAAATGAGAGACGTGGTTTCTTGGTAATTTCAAAATGTTCCTCACTCCTCTGGGAAACGTATATAAGGGGACCAGTTAAACCAGTACAGTTACTGAGTCCATCCTTCTCTAGCTACTGTTTCAGAGCTTGACCAATTTAGTAGCCTTGAGGGGCTGAAGACCTGGGCTCAGGGCTGACCAAAAAATACAAACAAGCAAAGCTTCCAAAGTGGCCAGCTGCCATCTTGTGGGAGCTTCGATGTTTAACAATTGGGACAATGTTTTGTTGGTGGGACTGCCTGGGTTGCTACTGACATATGACGGGGCCTTTTCAGCCACAGCCCCCCATTTGTGGAATGTCCTCCCTGGGGAGGTGTGTCTGTCTCCCTCATTACTAACTTTCAGGAGAAAATTAAAAATATTTCTGTTTACTCAGTTTGATGGCTGAATGACACTGTTTGCGGTGACCATGAGATAACTGTTCGTATAATTTTTTTTTTTTTAAATGATGTTTGGTTTTCCTTTCATTGCTGTTGCTGAGTTTGCCATCTTGGGCTCCTTCGGAAGGAAGGAAGGAAGGAAGGAAGGAAGGAAGGAATAAAAGTAAAATAAATCCCAAAAACTCTTCAAAATATATATATGAGAACTGTGCAGCAATTCATCTTGGGGTCTCCTGAGAGATTACCTTGTTGGGAGACCCTGAAGAGCAGATCCTGAATCTGGGATTGAAGGGATAACACCATTGTCCTCTGACCAAAGAGTAAACTGTAGGAAATTACGCTGTCTGGCAAGGAAGCCTCTTAAGCAAAACAGGCCAGATCAGATCAGATGATATTATTAAACCCTTCAAAAAAGGCTTATGGGTTAGGATAGCAGAAATCCGTTTTCCCCATTGATGCTTGTCTTGGCTGTCAGAAACAGATGCAAAGCTATCCAGAGGCCATTACAGGTAGTAAGGGCTAGCTTTGGGCCTACCACTCACTTCCCACCTCAGTCAATTAATTAGTCTGAGAACAAATCCCTGTGTAGCCTTAGACTCTGCTTTTCAAGGCCACTAAGGGCCAAATTACAGACAGTGAGTGAGATCTGATCAGCTCTTCCAAGGTGTTGATTTGGATTGTGAATATGGAGCTGGGAAGAAGCATTTTTAACCTCCCCAGCACCTCTGATATAAATATAAACCATCTTCCGGAAGTTTCTAATAGCTTACCCTCCAACAGTTCTCTGATGAAAACAGGGATGTCTTAAGGAAAAGTGGGACATTCTGGGATCAAATCAGAAACCAGGGTGGCTTCTGTAAATCTATGACCATCCCTGGAAAATACTCCAGCAACAGTTTCAAGGAATGGCAGGGGGGTGTCAATTTATGTGAGATAATCCATGCAAGGTGAGAGGGTCAGCCCACCCACCACCCACCCAATTTTCTGTCCCTGATTCTGCTGCTTTTAGAAAAATTAAATGACTTTGGGATATCTGTTCACAGATCCCCTACTTCCTGCGTACCATGACCCTCACAATGCATATCTTCCAGCAGCCAACCAAAGAATTGCTAGAGCTGACTTCTGGCTGATTCCAGGCTCCCACTACCACTGCCTGGTTTCTGGTTGAAAACAACCTGGTGTTTTATTCTGGTGGTGAAAACAAGCAGCTGGTGCCTTTCAGCAAGACATTGGTTCTGCTCTTCCCCCCATTCAGAGAACATCTCCTACAGAGAAAAGACATCGCCTAGAATATAATTTAAAACTGCATCTAAAGAAGTTCATGGAGCAAATTCACAGCTGATTGACATTGCTTTTTCTTTTAACACGGTGAAGCGACCACAAGGTACTATTTTCAGCCAACCGTGGTGGTGAATAAGTTTTAGGAATGCTTCAAATAACAAACGCAACTCTTCGTCACCAACTCCTGGGCTCGGCACACATTTCAAAGGTTTTCCAGGATGTGGTCAGACATGATCTTGGCATAGCACAGAGACGGGTCGTCAGAGACTTCCAGGAAAATAACAATAGTTGAGGTGTGTGTACCCCTTCAACATCATCTGAAGTGAACACAGACAAATATGTTCCTTGCAATTCTCTTGTCTTCCTTTGTTTGCTCGTTTTCCAAAGGTCCCACTATCTCTTTGGCTAGTTTCCTAATAAAACTGTGCAAGATATGACACTAAACCACCACAAAAGCCAGCAAAGGAAGGTGGTGGAGAGAGAATTCACACCAGAGATGAGGAAAGACAGAGGAACCTTGAAAGCCTCTTCAGCATCTTTTGGAAGATCTGCAGTGTTATGCCTGCACCAAGCCAGAACTGGAGCAAACAGAAAAAAGCTCCACTCATTATTGCATTGTTTGTGAAAGACTGCAAATACTGGAAAAAGGCTCATGTCCAAAGATATCAAATAATTCCATCCCACTTTTGAAAGAATCTAGCAAACAGAATCGATGTTGCAACCTCACCATGTGTGTGTGTGTTAAAGACAACAACAAATGCATTAACAGAATGATCTGTGCTAACAAAAGGTTTTTAATCGTTCGTTGTGATTCTGCATAATCAAAGGGCCATGTATTGCAAACAGCAGCCTGTGAGGTTAAACACACAGAAGAGGCCTCTGGTTTATTTTTATTTATTAACAACTGATCTGTTATAATTAAACTCTTTCGTCAGATGGTGGCTTTGGAATCCAGTGCGTTCAGTTCTGTTCATCTGAGCACTACATTAACTTGCAAGACAAGTTATACGGGCGCTGCCAAGGTTCAAGAAGAGGACAGAGCCCTCAAAGCTATGCCAGAACAGGTACTACTCACTCAGGCTGTCATAAATACTTGACTCAGATAGTAGCTCTGGAATCATATTTGCTCAGCTCATATCTCGACTTTTTACAAGCTATTATCATGTGTTATCACTCATGGCCAGCTGTCACTCTACGTGAAGTAATCTGTTTAGCCTTGTTGATTTAATATTCTTGTTGTTATCTTCCTTGCGAGTTTCGAGTTGGCAAAAGTAACTTCTAGGCAGTTCTAAACCTAGATCCTTAAAGGGTGGGTTATTTTTATACTGCGAGCTTGTGATAGTTTTTCCTACGTGGGAAAATTGATTCACCATCCCTGTTACTTGTGAAAGTGACAATAAGAATAACAAGGCAACATCTTGGAATACACTTTTTAAAAAACCCATATAAGTAGATTTGCTCAGCTGAGTTCAGCTAAGTGCTACATTACTGGCAGGGTAAGTTACTCAAGCTTTGCCAAAGTTCAAGAAAAGGACATAAATCTCAGAAGTCTGCCAAGATAGGTAACAACCCTATCAGTATTACTCAATATGTTGGCCCATAAAAAGCCAGGAGAAAGGAAAGTGGGAGGCTTAGGGTACCCACGAAAAAATCTTGCACAAATCGTAGGCATTTTTTGTCAACACAGTTAACACATAAGGAAAGAGTGTGACTTCAACACTCAGCAAAACAAAATACATATTATTATTATTATTATTATTATTATTATTATTATTATTATTATTTTTACCTCCAGATGATCCTCCTTCAATACACGGCTAACATCCTTAAGCAGAAGACAAGTTTTAATTTTAAAAAATGTCTTTAAGTGATGATAAATATGATACTGCAGAGAGAGCGAGAGAGAGAGAGAGAAGACAGAAGGTGATAATTTGTTGTATTATTATTATTATTATTATTATTATTATTATTATTTATACCCCGCCCATCCAACTGGCTTTCCCCAGCCACTCTGGGTGGCTCACAGCATATATCAGAACATACTAAAACATCAAACTTTAAAAACTTTCCAATACAGCTTATGTGCTTGAATAGTATGAAAACAGTCAAAATGTTTATATATTCAAAATCCTTGTTTCTACTAACAAATACAACTTCAAACTACAGGTAAGAGTCTCATTGCTGACTGTTTCTCTACAGGGGAAAAATCCATGGACATAGAAAACTAGGGGAGAAAACTACTGCCCAACTTCTAATTTTCTATGTGAAACACATTTTTTTATGTTGTGTGAAGCTTAACGCACAGTGGAGGGGAGGGAAACACTTTTTCAGCCCAAGGACCATATTTCCTTGTGGGCAGCCTTCGAGGAGCGGGCACTGATGGACAGGACCAGAGGCAAACAAGGGCAGAGCAACAGATGCAAACCTTGCCTCTACATTCCAGCCACGCAAGAAAGGAGCACTGTCATAGTTCAAGGACATGTTCCAACCATGCAAAAACACTTGAAGTGGCTGTGAACCAAGCGCAGTGAGGGGTGTGGCCTTGGGGATGAGGGAGTGGCTTAGGGGAGTCCAGAGCATTGCACAGAGAGGCCTGAAGGTTCTCCATCCTTGCTGAAATGGTATAACCCATGTATTGGTTTACCATCTCATTGAGAACTAGGTTTCATAGATAGAAGACAATCCAGTCTTATAAAGCCTTTCATGCATCTGCATCTGGGCCAATAATTCAAAAAAAAGGTAAGCAGTATGCCAGATTTGAGGTTATACTATGAGGCGTCCTGTCTCTGTTGGCTTCGGGAATGGATAACATTAGAAAACACCAATGTTCTAGATTTGGAGGGTCATGATAACAGATTTGGTTGGCATGCATATTTATGGTATGAAAAGGTAAAAGTACATAAAGGGTACATAAAAGTCCATGGTTTGGATCCCTTCCAGCCAGGATTCAGGCCTCATCATGGGACTGAAACTGCCTTGGTCGCACTGGTTGATGACCTCCGGCGGGCTAGGGACAAAGGTGAGAGCTGTTTCCTAGTTCTGCTGGATCTCTCAGCGGCGTTTGATACCATCGACCATAACATCCTTCTGGACCGTCTTGAGGGGCTGGGAGCTGGGGGCACTGTCATACAGTGGTTCCGCTCCTTCCTCCTGGGCCGTGTTCAGAAAGTGGTGCTGGGGGATGAGTGTTCAGACCCCTGGGCTCTCACTTGTGGGGTGCCTCAGGGTTCTGTCCTCTCCCCCATGCTGTTCAACATTTACATGCAGCCACTGGGAGAGATCATCAGGAGGTTTGGGCTGGGTGTTCATCAGTATGCGGATGATACCCAGCTCTACCTCTCTTTTAAATCAGAACCAGTGACGGCGATGAAGGTCCTGTGTGAGTGTCTGGAGGCGGTTGGAGGATGGATGGCGGCTAACAGATTGAGGTTGAATCCTGACAAGACAGAAGTACTGTTTTTGGGGGACAGGAGGCAGGCAGGTGTGGAGGATTCCCTGGTCCTGAATGGGGTAACTGTGCCCCTGAAGGACCAGGTGCGCAGCCTGGGAGTCATTTTGGACTCACAGCTGTCCATGGAGGCACAGGTCAAATCTGTATCCAGGGCAGCTGTTTACCAGCTCCATCTGGTACGTAGGCTGAGACCCTATCTGCCTGCAGACTGTCTCACCAGAGTGGTGCATGCTCTGGTTATCTCCCGCTTGGACTACTGCAATGCGCTCTACGTGGGGCTACCTTTGAAGGTGACCCGGAAACTACAACTAATCCAGAATGCGGCAGCTAGACTGGTGACTGGGAGCGGCCGCCGAGACCATATAACACCGGTCTTGAAAGACCTACATTGGCTCCCAGTATGTTTCCAAGCACAATTCAAAGTGTTGGTGCTGACCTTTAAAGCCCTAAACGGCCTCGGTCCAGTTTATCTGAAGGAGCGTCTCCACCCCCATCGTTCTGCCCGGACACTGAGGTCCAGCTCCGAGGGCCTTCTGGCGGTTCCCTCACTGCGAGAGGCCAAGTTACAGGGAACCAGGCAGAGGGCCTTCTCGGTAGTGGCGCCCGCCCTGTGGAATGCCCTCCCATCAGATGTCAAAGCGATAAACAACTACCTGACATTCAGAAGACATCTGAAGGCAGCCCTGTTCAGGGAAGTTTTTAATATGTGATTATTATTATTATTATTATTAAGGATTTTTTTAACCATTTGGTAAGAAAATCAATCTATGGTATATGGGAGAAATATAAAAACTTACTAGAACAGAAAACATCATGGTGGCTTTCCCCACTTGAAGTGGTATCATTGAAAAAATTGAATGTGAAAAATAAATGGGCAACATATAAAGAGCTGTTAATGGAGGTGGAGAGTCAATTGAAATTAAAGAACTTTGAAGATATAAGAGTTATTAACCGACTGGCTACAATATCACCAATTAAATGATGCATTTAAAAAATACAAAAGAAACAGATTTAGTAATGAAATTTCAAGGTTTGTAAAAGAGCTGTTGGAAAGTAAGGTAAAAACACTGTCTAAAACAAAAATAGGTAAGCAGTGCGGGCAACAACAATGGCGGCAGTGCAGGCAAAGCCCTGGTGAGGCCGGCAGCATCACAGTGACGGGAGCCAGATCTGCGGCCTGAGGCAAATGGCTTCACCTTGCCTCACTGATGGGTCGCCCCAATGGGTGGTCTCTAAACAGAATAAAAACGAAAGGAGGGTGAAGGACGTGAAAGGTGTAGAGGAAGCAAAGAAATGGGCAGGGTCTGTAAGTGGTTTGGAAAGACAAGAGGGGAGATCTATGAGAAGAAAACCTGAGTGCTCAGGGCAAAAGGCCCTGCTATGTGCTATGTTATGTACCCACCTAAAGCGAAACATTGAGATAATCTGCATTGGCTGCAATCTTGACAGTGAGGATGTACATATTCCTAATCTTCCCCTGCCCCCAGCACCAACCAGCTACAAGGAGGATCCTGGGATATGAAGACAAGCCACAATGGCAAAGTTCTACCTCCACTGTGAGAAGCACCATGACTATTGAACCACAACTGCTGGGAAATCACAAGTGGGCAGAGTAGTGTTGCTCTTTTGCAATGCTTGCAAGTTTTCACAGTTTGGCTGCTGTAAGAACAGGATGCTGGACTAAACGGGCCATGGGCCTGTTGCTGCAAGGTCTTACAGTGTTCTTAAGAGTTATGGCATCAGAATTCTGCAGGGCACAAAGAGAATAATGGGACAGAAGATTGGGGAGGGAGTGGGTTAACTGAAGGGGGTAAGCTGGGAAGGAGAAACTGGAAAATCACGGAAGAAAGGGAATGTTTGGCAATCAATGGAGCTGCTGTAGATATTGGGATAAGCCCTGGTGGGTGAGTTTGAGGAGTGTTGTTGTTTTTTTTAAGAGAGTGAGAGGCACAGGTGATGTGTTTGGGGCTTTGGAGAGCAAAGGGTTGATCTAACGGCCGAGGTTTTGGGGAGGGAGATGAAGTAGCAACAAGATGTGGTATATTGTAGCTCTGAGCCACGTTATGATTTTGGCTTGTAGTTCTGAAGTCCAGGGACTTTGGCCGCCCCGTGTATTTAATTTCCTTCTATCAGTTCTTCAGACAAAATATTATGTGTGCGTTAATGCTGAAGAGACGCTAGCCTTTGACCTTGCGATTCCAGAGGGAACATAAAACTGATGTCATCCAAGAAATAAAATAATTAAGGCATATCCATAGATGCACGGCAAACTGGGGGACGTTGTTTTCTTTGGACAATGAACTGATGTATGCTCAGCCATATGGACACTGACATTTTTATGCGTAGTTGTACTCTTCCAGTCCCAGCGCACCTGCGGTACTAGTGGTTTTGCTTTCTGATCCTAATTTCCCACAGTGATAGTATGTCAGCAGCAACAGCCTGCAGAATCTGAAAACCTGCATTTTACTTTCCTTATGAGCTCTGTGGGTTTTCTAAGTCATCCAGTAGCTTCAAATTAAAAGAGGCATTTCATCTGGAGGAATTAATCCCCAAACTTTCCATTGTGAGTTAACCTTGGGTGTGTGTCGTCCCCCCCAAAAAAAAATTCAGCTGAGTGATTTTGTTATCACACCTGCAGTACAGTTTGGCTGCTGGGCCATGATCCGTGCACCGTATCATTAGATGTCAGGGGAGAGAACGTACGTCAGTGGTGCAACACTTTACTTGCAGAAAGTCCCAGGTGTGGCAGCACCTATGCTTTATAACTCCATGCCTGCTAGGTAGGCCTTCTTGTTATATTGTTTTAAGGAGCTTCCAGGCAACCTGTTTGTGGAACATTCATCCCAATTTGTTTGCAGGGAGATTAGATGATGATGATGGCTATCTAATGAGCATTCACTCAGATTTGCACTGAAGCAAAGGGCATTTTCCCATCACTGTAGTTTGTCAAGGGTGCTGGGAGTTGGGTGTGTGTGTGTAAACTACAGTTCCCAGGATTCTTAATAATAATAATAATAATAATTTATTATTTATACCCCGCCCATCTGGCTGGGTTTCCCCAGCCACTCTGGGCGGCTTCCAACAAGACACTAAAATACAATAACCTATTAAACATTAAAAGCTTCCCTAAACAGGACTGCCTTCAGATGTCTTCTAAAAGTCTGGTAGTTATTTTTCTCTTTGACATCTGGTGGGAGGGCGTTCCACGGGGGGGTGCCACTACTGAGAAGGCCCTCTGCCTGGTTCCCTGTAACTTTAGGGGAAGCCATGTGCTTTAAATGTATGGCATGGGTGCGACCTCTGTTGGGTGTTTCTTTTCAACTTGTGAAATGCGCTCCCCACATAACTCTACCACCTTGGGCTCTCTAAACCTGCAAATTTTCATAATAGCTCCGTAGGTTGGAACGTGGTGATGATAACACCAAGGTTGCAGGTTCAATCCCCATATGGGACAGCTGCATATTCCTGCATTGCAGGCAGTTGGACCAGAAGATCCTCAGGGTCCCTTCCATATAATATGCCTTATTCTAATACCAATTATACCCTATGAGTTAACAGCTCTGTCTTGTGCTTATAGATCATACATTCTTAAAAGAGGTGGCTCACTTTAACAACTTGTGTTAATTCCCTGAATGATGTACAATTTCCCTAGCAAGAGAAGAAAGCGCTGACCTTTTTATATATCCCAAGAGACAGCCCGGTAAATCTCAAGAGTTCTGGTGATTTATCTGTGGAGGAGCAATCCTAAATCACAACAGCTGCAGGTCAGCCTCCCACAATGCCATCTGGGGCCATCCTGGCCTTTAAGGTCACCGCAGAAAGATTCACGTTGCCACTTGGACTCCTGACTCTTCTAGAGCTGATGGCTAAACCTCCACCGGCATTGTTAAGGTCGGGCCTGCCCCGTGAAGCTGCATGCAGCAACAGCCTAGTTGCCAAGTGGCAGGAATCGTAGGATCACAGAGTTGGAAGGGATCACGAGGGTCATCTAGTCCAACCCCCTGCAATGCAATAATCTTTTGTCCAGCATGGGACTTGAACCCACAACCTTGAGAGTCTCATGCTCTACCAACTGAGCTATCCCAGCTGGCAGGAAAGGCTCTATAAGGATTCCCTTAACCTGCCACACCAGAGTGTGAAGGAAGAAAAAGGACAAAGTTTAAGAAACAGGAAAGTGTCCTCCTTTCATAATTATTTCAGTATGTTACTGAACGAAACCTTACACAGCCTAGCGAGCTGTTTTGTGGCCAAGCTGGATAGCTTTCAAGGAAAATGAGGCGGTGGGTGGTGGGGAACAACGACAAGGGTTTGAAGAATCAGACTGAGCACACAGAACATGTTTGTATTAACAGCATTAAAGTGCAATTCCACCGGTCTACCACTGCCATTTGCATCCCAGTTTTCTGGGACAGATTCCACCAGCTTTACCCATTATAAACAGCACTTCTGAGTCCTCCTGTGGAACAGCTTCCCCAAAACTTTGTACTTAAATGCGATCGTTTAAGAGCTGCCCACTCTTTTCTCCAGAAGAGATGTTGTGTCTTTAAGCTGCACAAAAGGGAGACTATCAGCCAGTATGTTGCATCACTAGAGGGAAACGCACCTGTTAGAGTCTTCCTGTTGTGCTGCTGTTGAAGGTAAAGAAGCCCTGCCAGGAAGAAACAAACAAACAAAATTAGCAACAGTGCGTTAATGGTAGTTAAGTGTTCTTGGTTTTCAGCGTTTAAAGGCCTTGGCCGGATGCTCCTTGAGCAAGGCTGGAAAAAATCCAGGAGGGACACAAAAAGAAAAAGAAAGTTTAATTAAATTTTTATTATCCTCTTTCTGTTAAAAATTCTCTGGTTTAAAATTAACACTAGTAGGACCTAATCCAGCACAGAGTAAGGTGTACTTATTGAATTAATTGCAATTGTGTTGGAATAGGACTACCATTCTCAAAAAGACCTGCTCTTGTGTCTTTAATGGCAATTCGATTTGCGGGAAAACAAAAGCTTTAGTTTCTTCACAGCATGGGGCTGAGCATTAACATCAGTTGCTAAGGCCTGCACACCGTGCTCTTGTCAAAGGCACAGGACCAGGCAGCATAAGTTTTCAAACACAGCCAGCACCACTTCTCAAAAAGGAATCTAAGCCATATTGAGTAAAAGCCTTCCTTCCTGTTAAAATAAGAGAGGGGAACCTGTGGCCTTGCAGATGTCGCTGGACTACAGCTCCCACCATCCCTGATAATTGATGTGAAATGCCTGCAGATAAAAAACAACAACACCTGACTCTTTGAGGTCAAGCCTGAGATGTATGACCAACAGGTTATATAATATTATTGTGGCAATTCGTGAACCAAACAGCACAGACTCTTTGGGTCAAATTACATGTTAAGTGAATATTTTTATTTTTAAGGTTTGTTTAAATACAGAACACATTCTTTTTGCACTTTTGCTGCAAGAAGCAATTTGAGGGAGGGGAGGACACACAGTAGCCGAGCAGAATTTGCAGTGGCACATTGATGCAAGGGGAAAAGGGCTAACTCTATCCCTCCTTTCCCACCCCCCGCTGCCAGGTCAGATTGGGGTCCCATAAAGCTGCTTTTTCTTGCCACTGTTAAGCAAACCTTTCTAAAAGCATATTTCACAAAACATATAGCTTAATTTTTACCTCACAGAGGAGCATTTTTTTCCTTCCCAGTGAGTTAAACTGCGTTGATTTAAATCTCCCTACTCTGGAAATAGCTGGTCCCTTCGGAGTTTGGTTCCAGATTTCCTCAGTTTCAAACAGTAAACACTGCTTCCACCAAAACCTGCAGATACAGCTTTTTGGGGGGTGGAGAAACCAAATTAAACCAGTCGATTTAAAGCAGCAGAGAAGGGTCCAGTTACCTCACGGTTCCTCAGCAAGGTTGAGCTGAACATGACGCAAAAAGAAAGACACCAGCCAATGTGTGTGAGAATATTTACTCAGACTGATCTGTTTCTGAAAGCATCTGTGAAGAAGTGTTAAAACTTTACCGCTATGGTTTTCTGTGTTAATAATGACTATATTCAGACCCTGAAGAAGCACACTCATTTTCTGTCTCAGTCAATAATCTATTTAAGGCTGTGGGCCATGTCAGACATAGGTATCTCAGCCTAATAAACCACGGTTCATTAGGCTGGGAATGATGTGATGCACTCATTTTCTGTACTCCTTTGTCTGCCACTATCAGTACTTCTGTTGTAGTTTGTTTAAACCAGTGGTGGCCAAACTTGGCCCTCCAGCTGTTTTTGGAGTACAACTCCCATCATCCCTAGCTAACAGGACCAGTCATCATGGATGATGGGAATTGTAGTTCCAAAACAGCTGGAGGGCCAAGTTTGGCCACCACTGGTTTAAACCATTCTTTCCCATTTGTTTAAACAACAGTTACTCCTTACATCAGAACCAGGAAACTGTGGTTTAATCATTTTCTACACATGAAGATCAGACCAGAGGCGCAAAACTAATTCTCAGCCTAATAAACCATGATAGTTTCTTTAGTACTGGGTGGCAAAAGAAAAGTTATAGGGGGTTCTTGAGGAAATATATATATATATATACACTAAATTTCCACAGTGTGCATGTAGACATTTGGCCCTGTCTAGAGAGGATAACATGACTACACTTCTTCTCTTGTTCAGAAATCCAGGGATACTAAGAGTCTCCTGCCCACTTTGTAAGATAACATTGGTGAAAAAAGGAAAGTAAAGGAGCATACTTGTTTTTTCCCCCTACACAGTCCACACACAATCTAGACCTCTTGTGTTTAATTGTATTTTTAATATTTTGTTGGAAGCCACCCAGAGTGGCTGGGGAAACCCAGCCAGATGCATGGGGTATAAATAAATAGATTATTATTATTATCATTATTATTATTATTTGTATTTTTTGCCCCTACAAAGTGCATATTGAGAAACTGGTTTCATTCCTAGAAAAGCTCATTGATTCTGCGTTACCCTGCACTGTGTTCATTTCAAAACAGGTATAAGGTGGTCCCAGGAATGGGGAGTGTATCCAAACCAAATGACCGGGTTGAGGGTTTATCGAATAACCACACTGAAATAAAAAAATAAGGTCTTCTATATATAATAAATGTTCATAAATGTACCAACCAAGCACGTACAAAGATATGGGGACCACATGTCTGGGGCAGCTCAGAAAGACCGCCCTGAAACCATTTTGACTCCCAAACTGACCAAATATTTTCTCTGCAAGGAGGGAGGGGGTGAGGGAACCTTCCCATTGTCTCAGGAATTGGGTAATCACCATCTCAAAGGAGTGGCCAGACTACCAGGAAAGGCAATCAGATAAGGCATTATCAGATAACCTGGCAGACAGGAAAAACAACAACATTCAAATTTCTGTTGTAGACAACCTTTTCTGTGATGTAGGTATTATGTTTGTGAGGGGTGGTCTTGGGTTACACCCCTTCTGTGATGTATGTATGATGTATGGAGGGGTGGTCTTGAGCTCCAGGGCAGGGAATTTAAAATTTAAAATATAAGGGCAGGCACACCTTGGTTCAGGGTCCTCCTCCTTTCCTGCGTGTGAGGGGAGCACCCTGTTGCAACAGCTCAATAAAGATCAGGCTTACTAGCTGCTTTGCTTCTCAATATTTTCTGGTTGGCCTCTGTTATTTTCTCCTACCGATGGAGAACCTACAAAGGACTCTATAAGGGCTCTTGTGTCCCCCCCATAAGGGAATAAGGGCAGATTTTTGTTTATTACAACACCCACCCAGGATCAGTAGGATCTAGAACAGCGGTTCCCAACCTTTTTTTGGCCATGCCCCACTTAAGTGTCTCTAAAATCTTGATGCCTGCCTCCCCCAACATTATTCAAAAAGTGAACTCCTATTCATGTGTAGGAAGCCTAAAAGGTCCATTCACTGTTAATAACTCATTCTCGAATTACCCCCTTAAAAATCAAATTTCCCCCCTGTTGGGAACCACGGATCTAGAATCAATCTAGATTGAAAGCGGCATGTTGTGAATGATTCTGGATCGAGGAAAACTACATTAGTGTGTACGTAGCCTTTGGCAGGAAGTCTAAGGATGTTTAATTGGAAATAAGCTCCGCTGAAATCAATACATTTTACTTCCAAGCATAATGAAAGGAGAAATCTTTTTGATCTCCTCCCAGACACCATTTATTGATGGAACAGTGAGAACGCCCTCTAGTGGCCAAAACTAGAGCTGTGCTGCGTCCTAAAAGATCAACAAATAAATGGCGCAATAATCTTTATTGTTTTAGCTGCTCCAGACTAATGCAATTAACCCCTTTGGAATATGTATTTGATGGCTGAAGAAATGATTGTGATAAAAACAGTTTGTTTGTTTGTTTGTTTGTTTGTTTGTTTGCAGTGATGTTTGTCTCATATTCAAGTTAGTGAATGAGCAAGGGTTTGGAAAAAACTTATTCCTCGAAGCTACATGCAAACCACACATTTAAAGCACATCCCTCCCCCCCCCCAAAAAAAGAATACTGGGAACTGTTGTTTGTTAAGGGTGCTGGGAACTGTAGCTCTGTGAATTACAGTTACAGGTAGGTAGCCGTGTTGGTCTGCCGTAGTCGAAACAAACAAACAAACAAACAAACAAACAAACAAACATCCTTCCAGTAGCACCTTAGAGACCAACTAAGTTTGTTATTGGTATGAGCTTTCGCGTGTATCTGAAGAAGTGTGCATCCACACGAAAGCTCATACCAATAACAAACTTAGTTGGTCTCTAAGGTGCTACTGGGACGCGGGTGGCGCTGTGGGTTAAACCACAGAGCCTAGGACTTGCCAATCAGAAGGTTGGCGGTTCGAATCCCTGCGACGGGGTGAGCTCCCATTGCTCGGTCCCTGCTCCTGCCAACCTAGCAGTTCAAAAGCACGTCAAAGTACAAGTAGATAAATAGGTACTGCTCCGGCGGGAAGGTAAACAGCGTTTCTGTGCGCTGCTCTGGTTCGCCAGAAGCGGCTTAGTCATGCTGGCCACATGACCCGGAAGCTGTACGCTGGCTCCCTTGGCCAATAAAGCGAGATGAGCGCCGCAACCCCAGAGTCGGTCACGACTGGGCCTAATGGTCAGGGGTCCCTTTACCTTTAAGGTGCTACTGGAAGGAATTTTTTTATTCTGTGAATTACAGTTCCCAGCGTTCTTTGTGAGGTGCTTTAAAGGTTATGGTATGAACAAGACATTCAGTTGGCACTTCTTGCCTACAATATCAGTCGGCTTCTGGTATAGTGAGATCTAGCAGGCTGGAATTGCTGAAACCTGCTCCAGTCACTTCAGAGCTTGCCGTAAGGAGTGGGCAAGTCAAGTGGGGCTTGGAGCTCAGGGGAATATGGGATGGGAAGGAGAGAAAAGGGAAGAACGTGGACTCATGAGTGAAACAGCGAATTAGTTTAAATAAACTTCAGGTGTTCCCATTCCTAAAAGCTTGTGGTTCCCTGAAGCACACCCATTTACAAAGAAGGATTTTAAAGAAATTAACCCGTTATCAATCTCCCATTTGGGAAAACCAACCAAGTACAAACTATTCAAGCCAACAATAATTAAATAATGTGCATAATCAAAAAGTTTGCTTCCCACACTCCATGTACTACCACCCACCCACCTGAAAAGCTCCTATCATCATCATCATTATTTTATTTATTCATTGCCCATTCTTCACCCTAAAGGGCTCAGGGTGGGTTACAGCTTAAAAAAAAATATTTAAAACAACTTGAGGGCAGGAGAGAATCAACCTCCTGGCTTCTTGCTGTGGCACAAAGCTACTATTTTTAAAGGTTACTTGTGAGACATACTCATTTCCAATGCTGAATCAAACACGCATTCATAACCCTGTTTTTCCCTTCATTAATTACAGTAATCTGAAGCCTCAACAGAAGACGTAGCACGATGAGCCATTTTGTTTTAATCACCACATTAGTCTACAACTTGAAAACATTAATCTAATAATCAGGCTTGCAAATGCTGACGGTTTATGGAAATGTAATGGAAATCCAGCAGCCATTCAAGCGAACATCTGGAAAGGGCATTTTGTGGAGCTAATAAAATAAGAGAGTTTCAGAATTGATGCTAGTAAGCTTTGTCTCCTCGTTGGGTTTGCTTCCCCCACCCCTTCTCTCATCTCTTTTGTCTTTTCAGTTCCTGCTGAATGTGAGATCTTGGGAAGATGCACTTTCACACTATTAGCAATCTCCAAAGGGACCTTGGCAGCCAATTAGAGGGGCCAGTGGGAGAAAAGGACAAAAGAACCAAATGCAAAAATCAATATCAATATGAACTATCTGTGCCCTCTTGGCCCAAGACTTGCAACCCAGAGACTTACATTTCTTAAGGGATTAGGATACACTTACGAGAAACTCTCCAGGAAAATAAAGATGGGGACAGTCTAAAGGAGGCTTTTTGAATTTCAATGAGCAACGTGATCTTTTCATCGGGAAGATTTTCCCTCCCGATTGCTTCATTGATACACAACTAACTTAAAGAGTTACCATATTTCTTCCATAATGCTCCATCCATGCTTGCTGGGGAAGAGGGGAAAACACACAAAAACAGGCTCTAACTCCCCCAGCCCGCTCCCCTTCTCCAGATTTCCTGTCTTGTTATACCAAAAGCCGTAAACAATATGCTAAGCTAAGGTTACCCTGCCAATCAGCCTGAATTATTGACTTCTGCTATGAACTATTTACTAGGGGGTTCTTGGTGGATGGCTGGAAGCAGACCAAAGCTCTTCTGGGGGTAAATGGAAAAAAAAGAAGCAAACCCTCGTCTAGAATGAATGCTCTCCAGGTTTATTGTTACAAAAAGCCATTCAACAGTGACTCCACAATGCCGCTGATAATTTGCACTTAGCACTTGCGTGTTTTGACCCCCTGCGTAGCCACTAAACACCTGAAAAGTCAAGAGGTGCATTCAGGTGCACCAAGTAGCAACTTCACATTTTTAAAAAACACAGCAAGGGCTGCTGTTCTTTTCCGGACACAATAGACCGAAGGCAGTTTCTGGGAATGCTTTTGATTTGTAAGCATTTAGCTGGCGTGCAATAATGCTCCAGAAGCAAAGGCCAAGGACTGACGGGCAATTTTTGCATTTGGGAAGATAACAGTGCAAGATTTACCCCTCTACTTGTCGAGCTGCCCTGTTTACAAGGGGGTGGGGGGAAGGCAGGCCACAGAATTATAGAGTTTGTATACAGTTATACAATTGTATACAATTATAGAATTGTAGAATTAAGGAAGTAATATTAGATTGTCATCTGTTCCAACCCCTGGGGCTCAATGCAGGATCTACAATGTAGGAATCAAGCAAAGTATTCCTAAGATACAGCCAGCCATCCTCTGCTTAAATACTTCTATTGAAGCTCTTACTAGCAAGGGGGTTTCTGATGACATTCAAGCAAAATTTGCTTCCCTGAAATTTTCATCTATTGTTTTTGAGTCCTCTGGAGGAACAGAGAACAAATCTGTCCTGCCTTCTTCTTTTTGGGTGAGTGTTGGGGTTTGAAAGTCTGTAAGGTAAAGGTAAAGGGACCTCTGACCATTAGGTCCAGTCGTGGACGACTCTGGGGTTGCAGCGCTCATCTCGCTTTATTGGCCGAGGGAGCCGGCGTACAGCTTCCGGGTCATGTGGCCAGCATGACTAAGCTGCTTCTGGCAAACCAGAGCAGCGCATGGAAACGCCGTTTACCTTCCCGCCGGAGCAGTACCTATTTATCTACTTGCACTTTGACGTGCTTTTGAACTGCTAGGTTGGCAAGAGCTGGGACTGAGCAACGGGAGCTCACCCCGTCACGGGGATTCAAACTACCAACCTTCTGATCAGTAAGTCGTAGGCTCTGTGGTTTAACCCACAGCGCCACCCGCGTCCCTTGAAAGCCTATAGATTTGTGCAATTTAAGTGTATTAAAGCCAGGTCATCCTTGCGTGACAAACACATTTTTTAAAAAACATGGATCTGGGGTAATTAAAAGTGAGAGGGAAATGCCTCGTGAACAAATGATTAGTGGGAAGAAGATTCATAAACGCCCCACATGAAAATCAGGGTAATCAAGGTTTGCTGCTGTATAACTGCCCTGCAAACCAACCAACATGAATATCCATTGAAGACTGGGCACCATCTAACTCTACGGAAGTTTTGTGCAAGTGAATCAGGAAGAATGCTTAATGAATAGGTCATCTGGCACTCTTACAGTTAGCCACTTCTTCAAGGAAATTTGCTTATCAAAACCCACCACTACTAAAACTTTCCTGTGGTGTCTGTGAGTCTATGGGATTTTCAGTAGTGCCCTTCATTTGTGGAATGCACTCCACAGAGAAACAGGCCTGGTGCAACAGACCAAACCTGTGCAGAGACGGGTAGCAGCCAGGTTCACTTGCCCTGGGCCTCGGAGCGCTAAGCCGGCTAGCTTTGGGGTAGGACCATGGGCTCCAGGGAAGGGCTGCACCTCCGTGCTATAGCATGTGCTTTGCATGCAGAAGTTCCTCAGTTCCCCAGCATCTCTAGGTAGGGCTGGGAGAGGATCCCGGTCTGAAACCCTGCTGCCACTCAGTGTAGAAAACGCTGAGCTGGATGGACCAATGGTCTGACTTGGTACAAGGCAGCAATTGCATTCTTCTTTATTATTTAGTCACTTTTCCCCACTGCAGGCAACCCAAGGCGACTTACAAAAAGCATGCTGTATGATGTAGCACAGGCCATGCAGGGCACAGACAGCTTAAGTCTTCCAACACCTCATCAGCACTGCCTCCACAGCAGCCATCGCCTCCCTTTGCCTAATGATAGGGCCGGCCCTGCATATCCACCCAATGTAAAAGAGTAACCAGGCATGAACCTTGAATCTGCCGCAATAGTGAGCAACCATCTACTGTGGTTCATGTATAGGTAAAGGTAAAGGGACCCCTGACCATTAGGTCCGGTCATGGCAGACTCTGGGGTTGTGGCGCTCATCTCACTTTATTGGCCGAAGGAGCCGGCGTACAGCTTCCAGGTCATGTGGCCAGCAAGACTAAGCCGCTTCTGGTGAACCAGAGCAGCGCACGGAAACGTCGTTTACCTTCCCGCCGGAGCGGTACCTATTTATCTACTTGCACTTTGACGTGCTTTCAAACTGCTAGGTTGGCAGGAGCTGGGGCAGAGCAACGGGAGCTCACCCCGTCGCGGGGATTCAAACCACCAACCTTCCGATTGGCAAGCCCTAGGCTCTGTGGTTTAGACCACAGTGCCACCCGCGTCCCTGGTTCATGTATCGCTGTCGTTTAGTCGTGTCCGATTCTTCGTGACCCCATGGACCAGAGCACGCCAGGCACTCCTGTCTTCCACTGCCTCCCGCAGCTTGGTCAGACTCATGCTGGTAGCCTCGAGAACACTGTCCAACCATCTCGACCTCTGTCGTCCCCTTCTCCTTGTGCCCTCCATCTTTCCCAACATCAGGGTCTTTTCCAGGGAGTCTTCTCTTCTCATGAGGTGGCCAAAGTATTGGAGCCTCAGCTTCAGGATCTGTCCTTCCAGTGATCACTCAGGGCTGATTTCCTTAAGATTTCCTTAAAATGTATACAAACAGCCTAAAATCTGCCCCAGGGAGTTTGATCCGCCAACGGGCCAGTATCGACCATACATCGCACACCCTGTGTCTCTTGAAGATACAGGGCTTCAGTGCAAAGCTTCTGCTGTGCGTACAAGTACGGAAAGAGAATTACAGACGCAGCCGGGCTCCAGCGGGTAGGCTTTCTCCCTCCAAAAACTGACCAGCCCCATGGGCAAAGTCGCTGTGCGATCAGGAAACCATGGAAACAGCAGGATTATAATTACGGGCTGGAGCCTAATCAGGGGCATGGTAACTGTTTGATCTCTTCCCTGCCTTCCAGCCCAGACATCTCATTTTGCGAGGTATGTGTGCTTATTAAGGGAACATTTGCCTCTGGGGGTAACCTGGCCGGCAACCTTATTTGGTACCACAGGGTGACTTCCTCTGGCGGGTACTGTGATTTGGGAAGGAACTTCATCCACCTCCATTCCAATCCCTTCACTATTCTACTTCTGCGGAGTCAATTAAATTACCTGTTGATCAAACAGGGACAGAGGAGGAAGCCTGCCTGCCTGACGACAAGCTTTTCGTAATCTATCTATTTCAGGACATTGGGGTGAAGGAAGACACTTAATTAACTCTGAAGCAGGGAGACTACAACTGAACTAAACTGAACAATGGAGCTGCCTCCATCTGGAAGTTCCAAATGCCTTATGGCTCCCCTTTCAGGGAAATTCATGAACATGGATTGCTTACAGCATTCAAGTAACTTTTTTCGTCTGCTCATAAGTAGGAAGATCCAAGGCGGATGTCAACACCTGGCATCCTTAAGCTACAGGGCTACAGTACCCCAGCAGGGCCCACTGCCAACATCATCCCTGGCCTGCTCCCATTATAAACATTTCTGGCACAGTGCTCTGAGCAGAGCTGGGTGCCATATTAATTTCCGGCAATGTCCCTGCCCTAGCATCGCTTTGGGACACTGAGATGCAGAGAGACCCGGCCATCCAGTGTCGTTCACAGCACAACTGCTAATAGGTAAGCCTAAAAGGGTTCATCAAAAGACATCACTTTGCTCAGCCTCCAGCCACCCCCCCCAAATCTGCTCTGGATGGAAGCACAGCCAAACAACTGCACGCCTTAACTGCTTTTCCACATTGCAACGACATTTGCACATAGGCAGGGCTAGGGATCACTGTTAAATGCCACCTAAAGTACATGAACTTGGCATGAACAGCAGGGATAAGAATCTCCAGGCCTCATGCTCCGCGGACCAGTAATTCATAGAAATCTTTGTGTGCAGTTCATTATAATAATAATTTTTTATTTATACCCCGCACATCTGGCTGGGTTTCCCCAGCCACTCTGGGCAGCTTCCAACAAAACACTAAAATACAATAACCTATTAAACATTAAAAGCTTCCCTAAACAGGGCTGCCTTCAGATGTCTTCTAAAAGTTTGGTAGTTATTTTTCTCTTTGACATCTGGTGGGAGAGCGTTCCAAAG